TTTTCCACTTTGACAAGCTGACGTCGTTCTTCTTCGCCGAGCTCAAACCAGAAGGTCCTGATATTTTCGCGCTCTTCTAGAGTAGATTGATTCCAGATGCTGCTATTTTTCATAGGCTTTCCAGTAAATCGACTGATGTATGGCATTGATTGAGGAGGCGGAGGGTGCGAGAAGGTGGCGGACGGGGTTGAAACAGGAGTCGAGCTGCGATCAGCATGATTGTGGGAATCGGATCGGGCTTTCCTATTTTTCTTCCTCTTCGGTACCTCACCTGAAGCAGCATGGTGATCATTGGGTCCGTTCATCGTGGGCGGTCCGCGGGGATGTTCTGGTGACGCATATCCGTAATGATCACCGCTTGCTTTGTGGGTGCGATCTTCAAGGTCATATTCATGGTCATCATCGCCGGAGCGCTGTTCATCTGTTGCTGGCAAGTCCGCATCTCCGGGACTGTAAGTATCAGGATGTTCCGCGGCTAAGCGAGCAGCTTGTTTCTGTCGGCGTTTCTGCTTCTTGCGATTCACAGAAGGCGCAGATGTCGCAGTTGATCCGGTGGATGTGGTACCTTGAGGACCCCGCGCGTGGGTGTCGCCGTTGGTTGCTGGAAGCGGAGTTGCTGACATATGGGTCGCCATGGTGGAGGTCAAATAAGCTGCAGAGACTGCCTCAGCAGCATACTAATACCACCAGAGCAAGCTTTGAGTTAGAAAACCAATGTCCGAGAGAGTGGTGGTAGAATGAGGAGGAAAAGCGGAGAAGGGAAGAGCCAAAGAGCCCTACGAACAAAGCTCCGGTGATTCCACAATCTGATGCTAACTTACCGGAATTATTCCCCTTGGCGTATTCACGCACAAAGAGTCAATCGCGTTCTTTGTTATTTGCTTAGACGACACTTCCGTAGTGGCAAGCGTGAGGGGTGAGATAGGATAAGGACACGGGAGGAGGGGGGTTGAAAGACAATAATCCCGGCGGGTCACGACGTGTCTGCACTTCGGGTTAGGTCCTGGAGCACTGGCAAAGGAGGAAAACAAACAATGAGTCAAAGCCAGGATCAACAAGATATCAAAGCTGAATGAGCGCCGAGGCAAGAGGTACGGCTGATCGAAACGCGAATGAATGGATGGAGTGATGGGCTTTCCAGCCTTCTGGCTGGCTGTCGTGCCGCCGCAACGGGATAGCCGCCGCAAGCGAGCTGATGCCTGAATTGTCAGGCTCTAATCCCGAATTGTATGCTTTGGTCGGTAGTCTCTTGATTGTTGAAAAATATTTTAAACTATCCACTGTAGTAAGTTTAAATTCTCAGCTAGTAGCTCTCCAGCCAAGTTATGATCCCTTGGTTACAAGACCAAACAGGGCTACATCCCACTGCTTTCATGTTGATCGCTACATTGTTATGAGTCACATGATTATTGATATGTCCGCCTTTGATCTGCCAGCAATAACCCCCCTACATTAGGCGGTGGGTTGGAAATGGACAAGGGGAAACAAAGTATGAGCGCTCTGATCCACCGAGCTGTGTGAGACACGGAGACCGCTAATTAAAAATATCTCCCCAAACTGATAAAAAATAGAGGGAAAAAAAAAGGGTCCCCATAGGATGATCGGACGTCAAAGATACCCATCTACCTAGTCCCTTCATAGTCAAACTCGGCGTAAGAATAAATCTCCGCTTGGACAATTGTAAGCGCCTTCTTCCCCTTCATCTTATCTCCAGGGCTTACTCTTCAGCTTCAGCCTGTCTTTTTTTTGTTTCTCTCTGAAGCCTCCACTCACTTTCTACCCTTCTCCTCACTCTTTAAACCTATCATTTTGAGGTTGCCTAGGGATTCTCGTGTCTACGTCAAACCCCATTGGCCTCAGCCGCAGCGCGACCTTTTCCCCCTCCCTAAACAACTCACGTCACTTGGGTGCATCTTCAGGTCACCCATTCATATCTCTCTGTAAACCTTTTGGGCACTATCTACCCAGGGCCGGACTTTCCTTACTTATCCGTGTCGACAATTCTCGTAATCAGTTGAATCTGACTCGGAAGTCCGCGTCATCTCGTTGATCCACAATATCCTCCGCTCGCCCTCATTACCCTTGTGTATCACGAAAGGGTTTACAGCTCTGATAATGTCGCAACAGCAGGATGATAATGTCATGCGAAGGTATGTGCAGCCCATTTTGACGTGGTGTCTTACATCCACGCTGTATGGCAAGGAGATTATGCAAGCCGATTGCAATTCCCGGCCTAGCCCTTCCGATACCATTGCCAGTGGGATTCAAGGCAGAATGGTGTTCGCGTATACTAATTTGAAGCTCCTGATAGGAAGCTTGTCATCATTGGCGATGGTGCTTGTGGAAAAACCAGTTTGCTCAGCGTCTTCACCCTCGGGTACTTTCCAACTGTGAGTTTAGTCATTAGGCCCCTAGAAGAAGCCCCTAGATGCAAGTGGCTAATACGTCCTTATATCGCAGCACTATGTTAGTACTATCGACCTCGATATATGCCCCCCAAATCACAAGTCTAACATTTCCCCGCTAGGTACCGACGGTATTTGAAAACTACGTGACGGATTGCCGCGTCGATGGCCGCTCAGTCCAATTGGCTCTATGGGATACAGCAGGACAGGAAGACTATGAGCGCTTGCGACCATTGGCTTACTCGAAAGCCCACGTGCTCCTGATTGGCTTCGCTGTGGATACTCCGGATTCGTTGGAGAACGTGAAACACAAGGTTCGTCTCAGATGAATTCAAGACTCGGGGGGCAGTGGTACTGATATGCGTTATAGTGGATCGACGAAGCAAACGAGCGATGTCCTGGTGTGCCGATCCTTTTGGTTGGATTAAAGAAAGATCTTCGTGAAGACCCATTAGCGATTGAAGAAATGCGCAAGAAGTCACTCAAGTTTGTGACGACAAAAGAGGGCAGTGATATCGCAGCGTCGATTGGAGCCCGCAAATATCTTGAATGCTCGTCCCTGACGGGCGAAGGTGTCGACGATGTATTCGAGGCAGCTACCCGTGCTGCATTGCTCACGTTTGACAAACGGAAATCGTCTTGCTGCGTGGTTATCTGATGATGCAATTTGGGACGTGCAAAACGCCAACTCTTTCTCTGCCAGCGCTCGGTTTTTCTGTTGACTTGGAACTTGATTGATACAATTTGGTGTAAACCATGACCTCAATCGACACTCCGTTGTATCATGCATCACTGGTGTTTGGGAGGTTCTTTTGCTAACCCGGTCGATTGATCTGGGTACGATGTCTGCTTTCCGGCTATTTTTGGCCGTGCCTTTTCCCTCGCAGGTATTTTTTTTTTCTCTTTTTTCCACGTCTTTCCTTTTTGCTCAATTGCGTCTCTGTGGCTGATTATTATGCACGTGCAACTCCGGATTCCCTTCCTTCTCACCATTCAATTCCCCGAAGTACATTGCGATCTCACTCATTGTGTTGTCTTTTTTCCATGTAGTAATTCCGGTGCCTTTGTTTTCAGCGCTCATTTCTCATACATTGTGCTCACAACCCGATCAGGGTACCATATAATCAACTATCTCCTTTCGGCAATTCATACCTTGTAGACTCATATTCCCTGTACCTATATATATAGAATTAGAGCATATTGCACAGGAATAGCATACAATTTAAACAAAGTGATATCGAGCCTGAAATGCAAACTATATCAATATAAAAAAAAGAAGTGCATATGTTACATAGCGCCAAAATGATACATATATCCTGGGCCCTCCAGTCCAATGAATCTTCAAACCAACATCAAATCCAACCAGACAACCTATCTCTCAAGACCTCTATTTCCTGACAGGCTTTTTCCAGTCATAGTTCCATCCATCAGAAGGAGGAGTCTCAGTCTGCATGCGAGCATACTCGATAGGGAACATATCAGTGAAGATACCCTTCTTGTTCATCGAGACACGGAACAGCTTGCCACCATCTCCCGCACCAGTGCGCAGCTCCTCGCACGCATCCTGCATGCTCTGGTACTGGCGCATCATCTCGAGTTCGTGCTTACGGCGCTGCTGGGCCTGGAACAATTGCCAGGCGCGGTGGATAGTCCAGTGGCGGAGGTAACGGTTTCGGGAGAAGCGGAGGGGACGGGGGGTGAGAGGGTGGTGAAGGAAGTAACGGATCAAAGCTAAGGGGTTGGAAACATATTGTTAGTTTTTAGGTTCTTTGGGTATAAGACGTGTTTGGTTTGGTTTGAAGGTTAGGGCCTCGGGACTCGGGTGAGACCAGCTCCGTACAGGGGTATGGCACATACTAATGCGCTTGTCAATTACAGGGCCGTTGTTGGCCTTTCTCGCAGCCATTGCGCTTGTCGTTGAGAATGACGCGGATTGCAGGGCTGCTGTGACCGGGCCGGGCTGTTGTGTTTGGCGGTTCAGGGTCTCGTGGCACGCCCGGGAAATTGATGGGCGGACCGGCGCCATTGACATGGGGATCTTGAATACATTCGCGAGAGACGCGAGGGCTGGTGATAAGGACTTCATTGTGATAATTGTCTGTTGAGTGGAAGGAGTGGGAAGGGCTCGATGTAATTGAGTTCTACGGGGAATAATTCCTTGACGGCAGAATCTTGTCCGCCTGTTTAGCCGCGCGCTTGGGTGATATTAGCATTGCCGCTGCATAGCTTCGACGCATTTGTATGTATGTAGCTCATGTTCTATTTAGGGAACGATTGATTTAATTGCCAAATAGCAGGGTTCGGAGGAGTCGAATTTACTTGAAAGAAATAAATTTCTACGTCTGATGACTGGTCAATGAAGCAGAAATTTGATAATAAGTACAGATAAAAAAATTGATACATGGCTTTGAGCAGAGATCATAACTTGGTATTTTTGTCGAATAGAAGAGTAAAATGTTGAGAGTCATCGAAGGCACCAAATGTGCAGTTCCCACCAAAGCCATCAAAGGGAATGCCATGAAACGCCATAGAATGCAATTGACGTGCCGGAGAAAGCAGTCGAGTCGATTGAAACAAGGAATGATTTGTTCAAAGCTATCCAGTGGACCGTTTTGTGGCGTGACGTTTCTTAGCTCGATCGTAATTCAAGACCTTGCGGCGACGGTGTGTTTGGGCTAGCTTCCACCGGCAATAAAGAACCAGTGCATCCTTCAACAGAACGAACATGCACCCGCCAACAACACTGCGACCCCAGCGGGTCTGAAGTAGCCCCAAACGGCCACGATCCATAACTGAGGATGTCCATGACTTGGGCAGAAGACACTTCAACAGGCCACCCATTGACGCTGAGATTGCTGGGAATACGAGTGCCCCGAGTACGATATCAGCAAGATTGCTGGTATCGGCAATGATCTCGTTCTGTCGTCGCCCAAGCCCTAGTGGGTTGTTGTTTTGGGCAGCATCTTGTGCTCCGCCCTCGGCACCTTCCTCTTGCCCGGGAATGGCCTCAAGGTCCGGCTCGTCTTCGCCGATTCCCATTTGCAGCTCAAGATCGATCTCCATCAGAATCTGTCCGTTCCCATTATCACCGAACCGATTGAGACCCTCAGCTTGATCTTGTTGCTGCGCATCATCCAATATCTCTTCCGCCGCGCGGGGCTGTACTTCGGCAATCCATTTCCGTTCCAGGCCACCAAACAGCCGTTCGTAAATCGCTCCATAAAAGCTTTTGACGTATGGCAGGGCGGCAAACGTCATAGCCGGTGTGGGTGGCCACAAGTCGAAGTCGGGTTCCTGCCCCGGGTTATGTGCGGCGAAGAAAAGAACCGGTATAGCGGGAAGAAGGCCTTCGGCATACCGAGTTCGCGAAAATATCAAGACGAGCGGGATAAGCGGCAAGCCGATATTCATCCCGGGATTCCATGGGCCCTCCATAGTCTCCTCCATGATGTGTTTGGCTTCCTCAGTTCCAAAAATGAGGTACATTGAGTAAACTCCATGCGCGCAGCACCCGGCCCACACAGTTCCGGCCACTGTAAACATCATGCCAGGAAGAACTAATCGGCCTGCGACGCGCTCGGCCAGTCGCATCATATCGACTACATAGCTCCGTGGGCGAGTGACCACAATTTCGGTCTTGCACTGAGGGCACATCATTGTTACGCCACCAGCGGTGCTTTTGCGTGATCGAGGATTTTCCATGTCGGCAAGCCAGTCGAGCAGACATGCCTCGTGGGCTGTTAGGGCACAAGGGCAAGGCGACCGCCATTCTTGATTCAGTGGCGAATCCTCTGTTTCATCTGTATAGCAAATCCAGCATTTACGCGGCTCATCTCCATCTGAGGAATGAGAGGGTTTCGATGATTGACTAAGTGGTTGGCTGGAAATATCTGATCCGTGACTCGGGGTCGATACGCTCTTATCCAAGAAAACGGTTTCGGTATCCTCCATCGACTCATTCTGAGGTGAGACGCTCTCTTGGGAGATGATATTTTCATCAGAGTTGGTGGATGTGGTACCATCGAATGATCTGGCTCTGCCTGCTGCAGAGTATCCCGGGACGGACGCCATCGTAGTGGGGACAAGGTATGCAAGTCAGGGCCGATGAGAAATGTAGAGAGATGGTGCGATAATGATCTAAATCGGGCTCGATAAGAGACAAAGTATGGGGTTCAGCATCTTCTGAGTAGAGAGATGAACCACGTAATCAGACGAAGCAAACAAATGTCTCGAATTTTCCCCCCAGAGCACAAGAACAGAGGAGCTCCATTCCGCTAGGTGAAGGTCGGGGTCTCTTCTGTGAGCCGCGGCTGTCAAAGGCGGTCACGTGAGGGGCAATCACGTCACATTGGCCATTATCCGGAGATGGTGAATGGTCAGACATCTATATATGTGACCTGCTTCCGAATGCGTTTTAGTTTATTGTACAGGTACATACCTACATATGTAGATGCACTCACTCCTGATCAATGTTTGTCTTTTATACACTTATGCCTGAGAGATCAGGCATTTAGTCGATATGGGAGCCTATGTACGTAGTTATGATAGATACAGGAGGGTCCATATTTCACTTGGGCAGTATGGGAATAATCCAACTCCTTCCAAGGTGCTTGCTCTGTGTATTTGTAGTAGTCTATGTAAGTTCGAGGCTGGGGCGGTAATATTTTACTCGGTGATTTATAGAAGGGCAGACCTACATACCTAGCTGGGTCCTGATTCTGGACTTTGTAATCCCTCAATTTGGTAACTACAAAACACTACTGTCATCTACATGGAAGGATAAAAACAAATCATCCATTAAAGCAGAAAAGAATAAGGTGTGATCTGAAGATCTGACGATCTGGTGATCAGGTGTCGGACATAAGCGACATCATAGAAAAGCGAGGGGCAACCCATCCACACACCAAACTACTGTTCAGGTTGAATGTTACCATCAGACTTTCTCTTGACATCAGCAGCTGACGCAGCCAGGTCTTCCAGGGCATCTTCCAGTTTAGCGGGAGCCGAGACGGATTCAGCCATCGCCGCAGTAACGGGTGCGGGCTCAGAAACAGGCTCAGAAACAGGCTCAGAGGGCTTTGTCACGATCACGTCGTCTTTCTCCTCATGCTTGTCAGCAGACTCGGTTGCTACCGGGGACGTCTCAGCTGGTTCCGAGATCTCTGCTGGGGTCTGTACAGGCTGAACATCTGCTGTTGTGGTTTTGGTAGAGGTCACGTCCTCAGCAACGGGTAATCCAGGTGTTGGGTCCACAGATTCACCGGCAGTATTCTTGGCGATTGGAGGGGCCATTGACTGTTCAGGTTCAGCAGGCACCGATGGTTCTTCCACTGCAACGGGAGCAACAGGAGGCTTCTCCTCGTTGTCACTAGTCCCAACAACCAGGTTGCCATCCTCGCCGACTTGCCAAATATTCAAAGATTCTGTGATCTTGATCTCTGGAATAGTGGGGAGTCTTGATGTAGTTTTCTCGGCTGGCTTTCGTCGTGCTGGGCCACGGGCTCTTCCCTTGCGAGCATCGCTCAGAGGCTGCTTCTCAGCAGGCGGCTCGGGCTCCTTTTGTTGAGGCTTGGGCTGTTGTGGACCCAGCTGCAGACGTGAATTCAGATCAGTGAGGAAGCCCGCCTTCATGGCTGCGATCTTGCTTCCACCGGGACGAACGGGGATTGCGGGCTTAGCCTTGACTGCAGGGGCGCTTCTCGGGGCTTCAGCAGTGCTTGCTGGTGTCTGGGAACTGGGCTTAGCGGGACGAGTAGGGACCTGGGGCTTGGGTCTGTCTGGGATTGATGGTGGTTGGCGCTTTTCGCTCGGTGAGGTAGACTGAGCGTGTCGCTGCGGGCGTGGGGGAATTCCAGGCCTGGAAGGTACTTCTGGACTTTTCAATTCTTCTTTGGCGGGCTCAACTGTGGTCACCAGCTGGTGACTATCGGGAGCATCTTCCCAAATATCTCTACTAGGGAAACGCTGTTTGAAAGTGTCTGGTCGCACGGGAGCCTTTTCTCTGACACTCTCGCCTTCAAGGATATGGGAAGCCACCTGATGTGAGTCGAGTTTCGTGTTCTGCATCTTGCGTGAGACCTCTTGCTCGGGTGTTTCGAAAATTTCGGAAGAGTCGCGCTTAGGTAGATCTGGGGTCGTGACGGTAGCCTGAAGCTGCAGACTGTTCGGAGTGTCCTCCCAGATATCCTGGCTAGGGAATCTATGCTTGAGTGTATCAGGCCTTTTCTTGAAGCGATCCGCAGCTGACTCTTTCTTAGCATCCTCTTCAGGGAACAACGGTTCATACTCCTCGACGTCTTCAAGCGGTGTATGCGCATCCTCACGCGAGTCATAGCGGGTCAGCGCCGGGAATTGGCCTTGCGCGCTTGCTGATCGACTGTTGGAACGACTGTGCGTGACACTAGGAGTGCGACTGCGGCCTTCATCCTCAAAACTTGCCCGACGATCAAATGTCGGCGAGACAGCGGGATGTAAGTACGCCGACTCAGGGCGCACTTCATCAGCAGCCAAAATTGGCTCATCATCCTCCACGGCATTCTCATATGTCGACTCATTCTCTTCTGTCGCCGGGGTCGGGGCAAATCCGTCTGGGTGGTGCAAAGGATGCATCGGATCATCCACATGGATCACGCCACCCTCACGTTGACTGTGCGAACTGGATCTACGGTGACGCAGGTTTGCGGTGGGTTTCGTCTGCGTAGCTTCTGAAGGGAAGCTCATCTGTCGAAGTGGCGACTCAACAGCTGGCTGGCTTTCGATTCGAGCGTCAGGAGGGGGAGAAGCAATGAGATGTATGTACTCGTCGGACGCTATGTACCCGACTTCCTCTTCGGGAGTGCCCACAACGGTTGGGGAAGTACCTGGCCACATTATTAGCTTTCAAGCGACAGCGCAATTGCTTCAAATACTCACCAATACCGGAACTGGTATGGGCTGAGCTTCGAACAATCTTGTTCAGATCATCGCTACTCATTGCCCAATCAGGACGTGGAGTTCCGACACCAGGGCCATACTGTCCTTCTTCCTTCACGAATTCATCGGGATGTTTTTCATACCAAGCCTTCTCAAACTTATCGGGATGCTGGATACCATGTCCGTGCAAACCGTAGCTACCAGGGGGCAGGGAGGAGTCCCGAGCGCTACGAGTGCGGTTGTGGTTACGACTCGACCGCTGCAAGCCTTGTTCGAGGTATGGGCTGGGGGATGGTGCCTGGACGTCACCGGCATTGGGGTACATGGGCACGCGGAACCCCTGTTCCTCTCCGAGGAGGGCAGAGTGCCGACGCTCATTGGATGCAGTTGAGGATTCGGCGCGCGAGCCGCTGGTTCGGGAATTTAACGAACGACTTGAGCGTTCCTGTTCCTCTCGAGCAGGCGAAACGCCACGGCCCAGTCCGGCTGCGGCAGCCTGCCGGGAATCAGTACGGGTGACAGTCTGGACTTTTGCTTCAGCACTTGATGTCGGTAATGAAGGTCTCGGTGCATGGATCTTAAGATCACTGCTAACGTTGCGAGTCTCAGCGGGTGTCTGGTGTCGGCCATCCGACATGTTTCCTGGATCAAGATCCGCATATTCAATACCCTCCTCGCCAAGAGATGGTATCGTGACGCTGGGGGGACGTGGAGGCAGATCATTCGAAACGGTGCGACTCATATTAGGACCGGTCCATTCATTGAATGGGGAAGGCGCATAGCTATCACGCATGGGCGAAACCGAACGATCATTGCGGCGGTTGCCGGGGCGTGGCGGTATCTTGGGCATTTCTAACGACGATGTCGGTCGTGGAGATCGAGCCGGTCGTGGAGGGATGACCGGAGCAGTTTGCGTTGACATGATGAAGTTCTGGGAGCTGTTAACAAGTCAGCGGCAGCTCAACCGGAAACCCCACGGATACGCTTGGCCCCGTGCGGGCTAGAAAACAATGGATACATGGCCCCAACCAACATGCAGGGATCACTGCAACCAAGAGCCAATACTATGGATATGCATCAAATTGATGCAAGACTCTTGAGAGCAGATGACCTATGCAACCTATGCAACCTATGCAACCCATAACAAGCATGCAGAATGATTTGCTTACCCAGATATGAAGAGAAACAATTTTAGTCCAATTGGAACAAGCGGTCAAAATGCACAATCAAAACAGTTAAGAACTGCAGAAGCAGATATTGAAGCAATTCCGAAACTGAGTTTTGGGGAAGAGAGATGATGTATGTTCTTTCTGCCACCTGGGCTGGGCACGCCTGACGTGCTCTGACCGCAAGAGATAGTGCACGTATTGTACTAATACTGTATTATTACATGTTATATAGGAGCCAACTACAGCGATGCATTACATCTAATGCCCCCGCCGATGAGATCAGTAAAGAGCCTTGATTTTTCAAATTCTGAATCTTTGAGGCATTTTTTTATTATACTTTGAATCCTGCAGATGTCTCATCTTAGTGGTTAATATTGGTCTTGAAATAATGCCTCGTTTCTGTAGTATTACAATATGTAGGTTACCCGCAGTGGCTAGACCGTCTCTTTTAAGATCGAGATGTACATGTCCCCTATATTGTGCACAACTAAAGATAATGAGTTCTCCTGAGATCGGTATATTTTAGGGACAGGGTATAGAGTCTAGAACTTGATATCGGAGTTGTTCTTTGACGTTTTTCTTTAGATAAGATGATTTCTCTGTGGTTGGATTGGCTGGTCAGACCGAGGCGGTGAACTGTCAGGGTTCTCCGCATTGCATCATCGTTGGTTATCTACAACTCTACTACAACATAACTCTACATATACAAGTTTATTGTAATCTCACAGAACATTCTTGACATTTATGCTAGGGAGCTCCCACTCCCTAGGTATCTCCTTTATCAATGTTGTGATTCCTCTCAACTCACTAGTATACATCTGTTCAACGTTGAGATCCACTCTAACCGAAACAGCAATAATACCCGCTACATATTGATCACCAGGGCTAAAAGAAATTTTGCGGGGTAACATGACCTGTGACCAAGTTTTCAATGTCGATTGGATCATTTGCGCCACGTTCCTGGGCTCAGCTGTCGATATCTATAATTCAATCTGGAATGGTGGCTTGTCTTGCGCAGGGCAAGCTGGACAGATTGCTGCCCAGCCCAGCTGGAAACGGTCCGAGGTTGTCAGCCTACGGATTACGAAAACTGTGACATATAGAGTGCATGTTCATACAATGTACAACATACGTGGTCTCGGATCGGCCCATATCTAGCATTCAAGGCTATATAGTGTGAGCAAATACATTCCCACTTGGTCCTATTGGTCGATCTCTTTTAGGGCCAAGTACAAAGTAGGTATAAATGAATGTACTTCCAACCATATAGGTATTAGCCTTGAACGAAGTATCACCCACACGAGACCTATCTATGCTGCTACCTAATGGGCCTGCGTGTTGTCAGCCTAGGCCAAGTGTCCGAGTCGATGCCTACAGAAACAAGCGTCCACGTGGATCCAAATAGCTCCCGCTTCAACAAATCTACAATTGTATATAGCTGAATGTATACAGAGTCTAGTCTGATATTCTGGTTGAATTAAGCTTGGTCAATGAATCCACCCTTTATGATAAAAATCAGACCACCTATTATGGTGGACGCAGTCCACAAAAAAAATAGAACGAAAGCCACGGATATCTGCTGTAGGAACGGTCATCAACTTGGAAAACAGACATGTCCAGCAGGATCATCCGGAGCCAAACCGAGACATACAAGTACAGGAGCATAAAAACACAAAACTATTTCATGGCGCATTCCAATGCACACTGCCCGAATGGCATTTTATCTTTGCACCGTCTGCATCGAGCATCTCGTCGTGTCACCCAACCCTCCAATCACCAGGATTAATCCCAATATGCGTCTATCTGATATAGACAAAAGCAGGAACAGCTTAGCGTAAACGTCATGCCATCAGACAATCATCTGTGCAACTCCCTGACCACCTAGGGTCTTGCTACCAACAAAGTCTTGCTTCATCACGGCTGCGAGAGCATAGAACACAGCGGCGATGAGAAGGAAGACGGCACCAGCAATCAAGCTAGAAGCCCGTTCAGCAAGACTGATAAGTTGAACACCACCAAGGACGGCGTAGATGAGGGCGCGCATCCAGCAGGTCGTAAAGCGGCGGATAAAGGTATCGAATTTGGAGGATGTGGGACAAATTCGGAGGAGGAAGGGTACTTCAATGAAGAGAATGACGAATGCCGAAGCACTGGGGCTGGTTAGGTTTCGCAATAAATTAGCGGGAAATGAATGCGCCTCACATGCTGATGATACTGATGATAATCAGAACCACGTTGAAGGAAAAGATGTTCGCAATTCCTAGCGCAAGGCAAAGAATAATACACAGCACACCCGTCCTAGATGTTTCGTTAGACCAATCCCTTCATATGCGAAGCTAGTTTTCGAGAGAGCTTGAAGGGCCACTACACGAGGTAGCAAACACCATCTGATCATTCAATCAAAATGATCAGTGCTCTCCTGCGACAGTATTCAGGCTTGTGAAAGCACAGGGTGTTGCAAGGCAACGTGGTACACTAACCATTGTCCATAGATGCCTAGAAAAGGCCAGCAAGGTTAGCATATTGAGATACATCGTTGCAGAATCCGGGTACTTACTAAAATTTCGCGACCGAAGCTCCTCGCCCAGCGACATGGTGGGCACTAAAAAGAATTTAAGGGGAAATAAAAGCCGATGATCAAAGATGGAGGATTCACGGATGATCAGAGGTGTCAGAGGGTCCGGCAAAGTGTACACGCGGCTGATTATCCAGGGCGGTCAAAGGATCGAAACAAAACAAAACAAAACGGGCAACAACGATCAATATTGCTCCAGTAGCAATGGAGTGAATGGCAGATCTTTGTTGTAGGTCTTTGTTGTAGGCCGGGATATAACTACTTGATCTTCAGTTGCGCAGTGTTTCAAATGCTAATATTGCTTTTGTTAAGATCTTCGAGGTTGTCTTCCCAACCAAGTCAATTCCACCCCTATCACCAGGCAGACGCCAATAGCCAAGGCCCCATTATAGTCAAGCAGAGATTTCCACTTAGTCTAGCACATAACAGACTCACAGCCTATTTTGGAATTTTTGAAAGAATCTGGTAAAAGAACCAACTAAGCGGTGATCCCCATATAAACTATGTATGAACTCACCATGCAACATCTTGACTTATGTGTTTGGCTATAACATTTTCGAAGCCAGCTTCTTTTTGTATGTATATGTTGAAAAAGCAGAGGGAGCATAGCTGATTCTCTATAAAGCAAGCGAGATTAGTTCTCTCTATATATCACTAGCCTTGAAAGATCAGCATGCTGGTAGGCAGGTGGGTAAGTAAAAAGATGAAAGCCTAAGAAATAAATAGTCAGACAAGCCTGCGGAGGCTTGCGAGCCATATAGATCATGAGGACCTTTCTAGATGTCGTTGCACAGGGTTTGGTATATTATATGGCCATTGACCTCGGTGAACATATATATCTTCGGCCACCGTATACTCTCGTATATTTCCACGCGAACATATTCTGCATACTATGAGTTCAATGTCCAATCCAAGGCTTCAATTGGTTCTACATGAGTGGTTGTGGTATACTCTAGGGTTAAACAAGCATACTTCGGTAGCACAACGGCAACTCAACCACTAAACCTGAATATATATAACGACCACAAGCTGCCACCTTTTGGATTCTGTTTCCCAATATTTGAACTACGAACTTGAATTGATATTAACTTGTGCTTCAGCGACCCTTTCCTTTCCAAAACACAATGTATCTCGCCATCTCACCAGCCCTAGCCCTGCTCTTTCTGCAAGTCCAAGCCCTACCGACAAACAAGACTCTCGAAAACTTCGTGACCCCCACATTCATTCCTATTCCTTCGGGCCCGAATTATAAGCTTTGTACCCAGGGCTGCTGGCCCGCTGCTCTCCTCTGCTCGGTATGTATATATATTACTATCTAGTTTGACAATTGTTTCCCATCGCCGGAAAAAGTCACACCCACCAACCATCAGCAGAGCCCTTCAAATGCGAGTGTATGTGACCCCGTCATTTTTACCAGCCCTCTTCTCGAGTGGTATACACGTAGAGAGTTTGGTGCCATTAGCCTTGGATGCACTATTGTGCCTTCTGCCCAGCCGGATTGCTGGAGATGTTGCCTCGATATTAGTCCTGTTTTTTAGGGCATATGTGGGCCTAGACCAAGGTTGGAACAGAACTAGAACAAAGTGGTTCATGGGGATCAATCGAGAGGTCCATAATGCCTCGGTAGTCTCATTCCTTTGAGGGGTAGGACGGCTATACGGCCTTCGCAGTGTCTTTTACCTCATATATTCCGAACTTTGTTACTGGCATCCAAAATTTATAGGCATTGAATTTAAGCCACATATACAGTTGGCATGTGGGATGTGGCGTTGGTCACATGCGAGCATAGAACATGTAGTAGCTTTCTGTTTGGCTGGATCCTTATCAAGACATGATCTATCAGATCGTTTTCCCTCTCCTAATAATGATGTGAATATGTTCAATATTTTGAATGTTTCTATGCATGCTGTAATATCATATTGAGCCAACTGGGTGTTCAGATCATAAAAGTTTAGCATTCCATGAGCCGTGTCGCAAGTAACCGGAAAAGTTCCTATCTACTATACTCCCTACATATGTACATACTACAGTCCTTCCTTGGTCTAACATGCTATGTGACCCCTTAAGTCCCCGGTGAAAGTCTTCGGCATCAATAACCCAACTTGGCACTCGATATTAGGGTTGATTAATAGTGTTTACCTTGATTATTAACGCCAAATAAATCAGCGAGGCTTATCAATGTACGGTCCCAATATGTAATACCCCTCATGCCAAGGGATGATCTCCCCAGTTTTCGGAGTCACTCCGGGTCACTAAGCTTTTGAAAGGGTTAAAGTATTAATACTCGCGGAATGGGGTCCGCTCTTGCTGATTCTCTTTTCCTCCCATATTTCTTTTGCCTGCTATGGTTGATTCAAAGGATACACTGGAGAAGCCCTCCCTACAACAATTCGAGGATGCATCTGTCCAAAATTCCCCATATGGCTCCGATCTCAAGGAAGATGGGCTAGTCGCAGATGCGGAAGCCTCCAGCCTCGGCCTACCGACCTTCGAGGGAGTTGATGAAAATGCTGTCCTTCGGAAGATGGACATCCGTCTCATTCCCATGCTGAGCATGCTATATCTGTTGGCCTTCTTGGACCGCGGGAATATTGGCAATGCAAAGATAGAGGGACTTGTTGACGATCTCAATATGACAGGACCTCAATACAACTGGACTTGTATGGTGTATCCCTTCACTTGCTTGTTTTCACAAAAGCATGGCCAATTGACACATGTTTATGGGTAGTGACCGTTTTCTTCTTTACCTACTGCGTATTTGAATTGCCAAGCAATCTGCTCCTGAAGAAACTAAGACCCTCAAGATGGCTTCCCTTGATCATGGTCGCTTGGGGAATTGTTATGGTAATCGCGCATTTTATATGAAGTTGTTTCAAGTATCATTTAATAACGGAGATATTTCAAACAGACCTTGATGGGAGTTGTCAATAATTACGGTGGACTACTCGCAACTCGTCTGTGTTTGGGCGTCGCAGGTATGTTGATGTCTGCCCCCTCTCGACCTGCGCATTGTTCTCGTCAAGGCTAATAATTGCAATGAAACAAAATAGAAGCTGGTTTGTATCCAGGTGTGGCATACTACATTACACTCTGGTATCCACGCCATCGAGCACAATTCAGACAAGCTCTCTTTTTCAGCGCCGCCAGTATTGCAGGTGCATTCTCTGGGCTTCTTGCCTACGGTATTGCTGTAGGTAATCTGCTCGCCGACAGCAATGGAAATTTTACTAATGTATCTCGAAATTCCTAGAAAATGGACGGCGTGGGCGGCTATGCTGGCTGGAGATGGATTTTCATTCTTGAGGGTCTTCTCACGGTTATTGTGGCACTGATAGCCCCATTTGCGATTCATGACTCCCCGGAAACTGCCACATTTTTAACTGAAGAAGAGCGTCGATTTGTGATACACAGTTTGCGCATTCAAAACTCGGTAGACTCGCGTGAAATTGATCAAACAAATGACAAGTTCGAAATGCGCTATGTCATAGAAGCTTTCACTGACTGGCAGATGTGGTTGGGTCTATTTAGTAAGTGCTACTTGTTTCTGGATATTAATGTATAGTTGACTGATCCGTGCAAAGTGTATTGGGGTATCACCTGTCCGCTATACGGCATTTCTCTTTTCCTTCCCTCGATCATCAAAGACCTAGGTTATACGTCTTCGACCGCTCAGCTCCTTACCGTAAGCTCTTATGCTACTCCTTATTGAAGCGGAAATTGACATCATCATATTAGGTACCAATTTATATCACTGCAGCATTTGTGGCTGTTATTGCAGCGTGGATATCAGATAGACGCAAAGAGCGATCCCCGTTCATTCTCTTTTTCATGGGTATGATTGGAATCGGCTTTATTATCTGTCTCGCATCTACTGGGCGCGGAGTTCCAGGTGTTATGTACTTTGGTATTTTCGTAGCGGTCGTTGGTAAGCGCATCAAAACTACAACCCCCGCATATTTATATTCCCTAACTAACACAAATACCAAAAAGGAATCTATCCAGCATTCCCCGGAAATGTCACATGGCTCAGTGTCAACATGGCGGGCGACTACAAGCGAGCCGCCGGTATGGCGATTTACATTGGACTAGGAAATCTGGCAGGAGGTAAGGATTGTGCATCGATTAGGAGTATGAGATTCAAACTAATGGTCCTTGCTCAACAGCTATGGCCTCAAACTTTTACCGCGCTCAAGATGCGCCAAAATACATCCTTGGCCACTCCCTCGAACTTGGTTTCGTTGTCGGGGGTATGATAGCGACTGTCGCTCTGCGTCTGGCGTACCAGCGTATTAACAAAAAGCGGGATGCTATGGATCCTTCAGAGTATCCTGAGAATCCCGACTCGCTGGGTGATCGCTCTCCGCTATTCAGGTACATGCTTTGAGGTAAATGCGAGAGCTGATGATTGAATGATAGAGATTGAACGCGCTTATTTTCGGTATTCCCCTTATAAAGACATCTTTCTCCCTCACCTTCTATATACATACACATAAATAGTAGAAACTGCTTTCCCATGTCTACGTTCCATATCGTGGATTTTATCGCAACAGAAGTAGAATTATACATGCATATAAGGTGTAGAATCGGAGTATTAATGTGTCTGATCTGATCAATGTTGTATGTACAAAGTGCAGGTATCTGCTGGCTACTATTGCATGGGGGGTTTGCTAGAACGGTACTGAAATTTCAGGCAGAGGAGAAGTGTGAGCATCAATCTCCAAATCCTGTCCAGGTGTGAATCACAACGCTGTTGCTCCATTTCTCTTTTTTCAACTTCCACTTGTATTACCGTTTCCTTTTTCCTTCTTCAACTATGTATAAATCTTCTCTCTATCAGAACTATATTTATATAGTCACTATACTGTTCCGATTTTATAGTTCCGATATTAGTTTCCCGGATCCATCTTCCATCATCATTTATTTTGACGTCCCTGGGGCCCTTCCTGGCAATTGGCTGAATACATACATATATAGTAACCAGAGCTCCTTAGAGGCCAATTTAGTCCTCGGAAGGTGCGTTGTCATGCGCAACTTCCTTATTTACATATAAACCTTTCAAGGAAGTACCTGCCACAGAAAGGTCCAAGGTTCTTTCCTTTTCTCACTCAGCTCTTTTCCAAATTTTCCAACCTTTCCAGACTTATTCAACTCTTTTCTTCTCCTTACTAAATCCAGTCCAAAGGGTATTGCCCACCAGACTCGCCATTTCTCTCAACTTAGAGACCCCAAAGCCTGCCGCGATACGGGGAAACCAGCTTCTTCTGGAAGTGGTCTCAAGGTCCTCATCGCAGCCGACTGGGTATTCACCCAAAGTCAAGGTGCGGATCCACGCCAGACTTTTCTTTCAAAGGGCAACAGCTTGAATTGTTGGCTTTGCTGCCACAGAGTGTGACAGTACACTTGTCCTAAAAAATGTCATGAATGCCGTGGATGGCCAATGTCTCATTGATGATCCTTGTGGTTTGTTAGGTCAGAATCTCCTAGATCCCCGATCAAAAAGGCAAAGCAAAGCAACCAACCTCTACGGTGGTACCTCATCAGACCCTTGCAGCTTGCAGTCTAGGGAAGACGCGAAGAGATACTGATTATGGTTGTCCTCGTGTGGGTTGCTACCTACATGTATCTTGGGCCACCTGGCCTTATTTACGGAGTAACGTTAAAACGCTCACCCATCTCGTCATGCTCAGAAGGACATAGGTCGTCGAAATCAAAATTCTAAAGGCAGCGTCTAATTGCAATTTTCCACGCCTTACCGACTCAGACGGGTGACTGCCCAGGGATTGGAATTGAGGTACCACAAAACCAAGCTCATTGTACAATTCTAAAAAGCTCAGCATCTGCTACCTCATTCAATTCCGCCGAAGCCTATAACACATGAGCCATCCAGTCTTATCAAATATGGATGACTATGGAGGTCGCCTAGAGCGGGATTCCTATGTGAAGTAAGTCACAACGCTCTAATAACATTATGATATCTACTGAATGGACTAGTGACCAGTCAAATTTATCCTCTACACAAAGCCTGGCAAGGGTTGGGATCCTTGAAAATAGAAAGCTCCGTCGCCCATACTTTGATGAGGAGCAGCAGATTTTGGTCGCCCTTAGTGCTACCTGTCGTCGCCTGGACCTGACCTCTTGTAGGGTGACTATTTATCGGAGGGCGAAGACAGGAGCACCAGTGCACGACCAGCAATGCCATACATCCATATGGGCAAGCCTCCAAGTGTCATCCGATTGCTAGACTATTCGCTCTGTAACTGCGAGCCTGGTCATGACCCCCCAAAGCACTACAGAAGCATTTATCCGCTAACACACATGATGGTCTATCGGAGGATTCCAGAATATACCCTGGCGGAGTATTGAGGGTGTGATTCTAGTAAAGCACCTTAACAATGAGCGACTGACACACACATACCCGCTAACCATCTTACTTGTTCTGCAGACCAGATGGAAACTTCAACGATTGAGCGGGCAAATATAAGACAGCATATGCGGTTGTAACACACATGAAACAGGAATCAATAGAAATTGGAGGTCTTGCTAGTCTATGGTGTCTATTCACAGGCAGCTGCAACACGGCAGGATGGCTAATAGGTAAAGATGCAGGCTTCTCTCCAAAAAGAAAAAAAAAACATCTCTCCCAGCAGAATCACAACATACAAGGCACGGTCCGCACCCCCCTCTGATGGAACATTGCCTGAATCTGCCTTCGATGGTTCGGCTTGCAACCCGACCTTGAAAAGCTCCGAGAATGGCAGAATCCCGCATGCCCACTGCATAGCTCACTTCAGAATCGAACAACGCTATATCAGTAAAAGGGCAGAAAATTCTGACCAGTAACTCGGCGGGCCCACCCTCGTGCAAGAATTATGGAGGAGGCAACAATTATTATGGCTTCCAGGAAGCTTTGAGCATATGCTGGGTCTCCCTGAGAAGATGCTAGGCCTAAGAGGATGTCGACCGATGAATGCTCGGTGATAGCCTTGCTATGACAAGCCAACCTGCAGCATCATGGCATGGCAATACATGTCTGTGGTAACAAGGAATCCAGTGACCATCTTCCACTGAAAAGATGTGAGCATCTCCTATGACGAATAAGACTCCATCTCAATTCCACTTTCAAAGACCCCGACTTAAGCGGTGCTCAATCGAGTTCCTCACAGCCACACCGATATGGAATAAACCGATTGATGGTGAAATTTGATCTTGAATTGCCGGAGACAGCAGGATGGTCTGCAAGTTTGGGATCGGAAACTGAGTTGCAAGTCGCAAATGTAAGTTGGGGAAGAACAAACACATCTCAAGCTCCTAGCGAGGGAGAGAACGCATGCGGGCGAGGCGTTGAAAGTACCCAAGCGAACCATGACGAGGAGTATAAAAGGACCGGGAGCACCTGGCATAGGAAGATGAAATCCTCCATGACACACAACCTAGCTGGCCCACCATATGGCCAGTAACAACTATAAGGTGGAGCTTTGCCCCCCCCCCCCCCCCAATAGCTAGCTTTGACCAGATAGGAATGGATCATTTTTAGCCAACTTGTACCCGAGTGGGCTATGTTGCTTATTTCTTGCGTTGAAACATTTGCCACATGGTGGCCCAGGTGTGTTTCAACTACCACATTTTGTCCTTGGTTCTTCTTTGGTTTCCTTTTAGCTATCTCTTACTTTAACATAAGCTTCTTCAGCCACTCAGCCACATTGACCCTCAGAGTTAGATCATCACGGGGAAAGACCCGACATTCAATCATCATAGCATCATAGCACCGTATCACACCCTCAACCGTAGTGGCCACAATGATCATCACTCAAGACCCCATCTCACAGGGCCACCTCCTATCTACAAACCCTCCGATATCCAAAGCAAAATGCCCTCAACCCCGTGGACGAAACCCGACACAAGCACCCGCCCCATCGCCATAATCGGCGGCGGCGTGATGGGCCGCCGAATCAGCATGATGTGGATATCCTCGGGCTTCCCCGTAATGCTATGCGAGAGAGTAAGCGAATCAGACAACGCAGTCGGCTACGTCCAAGAACACGAAGCCGAGCAAGCAGCCAAACAAGGCAAAGTCCCCGCCGAGCTGAAAGCCACAACATCGCTACAAGAAGCCGTCAACAATGCATGGATGGTGATCGAAGCAATCCCAGAGAAGCTGCAGATGAAGATCGATATCTTGGCGCAGATCGATAAACTCGCCCCGCCGGACTGCGTAATCGCCAGCAACTCCTCGTCGCTGCGGTCGAGCCAGATGATCGTCAACACGGAGAAGAATTACCGCATCTGCAATGGTCACTACTACATGCCGCCGGACCAGAACTACTACGAGGTGATGTCGTGTGGGCACACTGATCCTGAGATCTTTCCGTTTTTGATGGAGAAGGCTGCGCAGGCTGGTTTTACGCCTGTGCATGCGAAGACTGACTCTACTGGGCTGATATTTAATCGTATTTGGGCGGCGATTAAGCGGGAGGTTTTGCTTGTGATGGCTGAGGGTGTTACTGATGCTCATACCATTGATGAAATGTTTAGAAGTTGGTTCAAGGCTGAGAAGGGGCCTTGCCAGATGATGGATACTGTTGGTTTGGATACTGTGTACAATATTGAGCTTGTGTATACCCAACAACGTAATTTGGATACCACTGCCAGGGATTGGCTGAAGGAGAATTATGTTGACAAGGGCAATCTGGGCGCCAAGGCTGGAAAGGGTTTACTTGGATAGAGATCATTATAGATTGTTTTTAGCAGTTGCAATACAAAAGTGATATAGAAGAAACAATTGAAACTGCAGTTCTGATTAAAGCCGAGAGGTATGATGAGACATGACAAACCGGAATGATTGATGTATTGTGTTGGGTATAATGTAGAATTGCACTCTTGCCCCTGGGATTACAGAACCGATTCACGTCAACTCAGACAAGTCCAATTATAGCATGCCAACAGGCTGCAAATCTTTGTGGACAAACACGATTCGAACCGAATAGGTGATGTACAAGAGGGTCGAAGAAAGGTATAAGGATAGAAGGAAATGACCAAAAGAAGGTGACACAGGGCATGAGGATAGGTTTCGAACGTCCAAGGAAAACTGGACAGGGAATCAAAAGTCATCAGAGGTATTAGTTCCAGGAGACACGATGATAAGAAATTAGGCAAGGAACGTAGGTAAAGTGAGAGGGAAATCAGAACATAAGGTCGGTAACAAATAAGCGCGCTCTGAAACCTCGAAGGAAAGGGTATAGAGTGAAAGGCATTAGGGGCAGACCCTAGGGTGCGACTTGCAATCATTAGGGTATAACACACCCATAGGGGCAATTAGTGTAAAAGTGGTTTGGCAGTGAAGAAATTAGCCAAACAAGGTTGAAGACAAATGAGCGAAGCCTTAACCAGTGAAACAATAATTAGAAGGCTTTCCTGCGGCGATGGACTTTCCATTCCGCTTTAGCGACACGCATGAACATTTCAGTGTCTTTGATGGGAACCCAGCTGGTGAGGACTTTCATGATATTCTCAAAGTCGGACTCGAGAATGATATCGCGCATGCCATCAATAAGGGCAGCAGATGAAGCATGCAAAACATCAAGACCTTGACCAAATGTCCTTGGATTTTCAGAAGGGGGGATTTTGTTTTTCCCGGCAGAGGTTGCGGGGCGGCCACCAGTGTTGTCTTCGGCATCCCCAAGAAGCATGAAGACATCCCACACCCGAAGCTGAGCTGGGAAGGGGATCGAGTAATTAAAGAGAGTGAGGTACCAGCGGGTACCATAGGCTGTGGGCGGGATTCCAACCTCGTTCTGCAGAATGAGATGTTAGGAGACACTCGTCGCTTTTCGAGTGAAATTGACTTACCAGTTTCGTGGCTACTTCACCACCAGCGAGCCACTCTCGTTCGAAGTCGGCCAAGGCCTCCATTAGACCAGCAAAGCCAGACTTGTACAGCTCTTCCAAACCTCGCAGCTGCCACAATCTGACGAACATAATAAAAGCATGCTCCTCATCGTAATACGCCAGTAATGTAGCCGCGAGAGTTGCCATTCCCTGCACGTACCCCGTATCTGGAAAATATAGTGACATGGCGTGAAGGACACGGAACAATAGTCTTTGGCCACCCCGATAGCGCCTCCGAAACATAATATGGCTGGAGATAGTCCGCGGTACATCAATATCAATTTGGACATCATCGGGTGATGAGATGAACTGAAGCTCGTTAAAGGCTGAGATGAGTTCGTCTGCAGGTGGGCTGCCCTTGTGGCGCCGGGCACTGGCTTCAAGAAATGAGTACCAGGCCGTTGACCGCCACCGATCTGGGATGCCTTTCCAAGTTCGCTCAATCAACTTTGAGCTCTGCGTATCGAACTCAAAAGTCATACCGCCGCCGTCCTTGGACTTCTTGGTCGGCTTGGCCATCTTGGTCCACTTGTCTTCACGTTGCCACTCCTTTCTTCGCATTGCGCGAGTAACCGGTGCATCTTCATCCTCACCAGCAGATGGAGTTGGCAGAGTGAGCATGTCAGCCGCCTCATCTTTGGCTTTTCGGTCTCGGTTGTGAGGCAGATGATTGGTCGCTGTGCGCAAACGAGATGTCGTGCGGCGCAATGGTGGACCATAGTTGCTTTGTGATGAAGATGGACGGCCGCCCAGAGAAGTTTGGGATATCTTGCGGGCTAGAGACGGACCATTGAAGGAACGGTTGCTGGACGGAGCAGTGGGCGGGCGAATCGAACGTTTCCGCCGAGGTGTCTCAGAAGCCAGCAGAAGGCTCGTTGTGACTCGCTGGAGCGGATTAATATCGGAACCCTTAGAGTTCTTTGCAGGTCGAATGAAGCCATAACGATCAACTTGTTCTACACCGACATTTTGCCAATATTCAGCACCGCCTGCTAGCTCCTGGGTTTCCCTCTTAATTCGGGTACGCTCTACTTCAACAGACGCCCTTGGTTTGGTTCCATCTCCAGTCTTATTCGGCTGAGCACCGAGTTTTCCAGAGGTTTCAGTATCCGGAACCGTAGCCTCTTCCCATAAGACCCCGTTTTCCGAGGCCAGTGCTTTCGCAATCTCGGATTCGGTAACATTTTCTTCGCCCTTCTCATACATCAGACGAACTCGCCGTGATAACATATCTTCGTCTGCCGAGATTGCTCTGCTCGGAAGACTAGTTTGTCTTGGGTGAAGAGTGCCCTGGGGTTTGGTGCGCCGAGGAACCGCTTTCGGTGTTCCATTTTCTCCTTCGGGCGCGCTCGTGATAATGGGAAGGGGGGCGGCGCAACTTCAACTACCTGTTGATCACGATTCTCTTTTGATATTTCCTGAGCAGGCTGGCCTAGCCCTTGACGGGGCTCCTCCCCTTCCAGATTCTGCTGGGGCAGCTGTTCTGGTTGTTCGGGCTGCTTGTCCAGTTTCTCCTGGAGTAGTTGTTCTGGTTGCTCGGGATACTCGCCCGGCTTCTCCTGAGGCGGTTGTTCTGGTTGCTCGGGATGCTCGTCCAGCTTCTCCTGAGGTGGTGTTGAATGCGGGCGTTTCGAATGATTCTTAATCAGACTTCCGCGATTGGAAAACTTCATCGACTGATCCAGACCATCCAAAGAGGCTGTGGGTATATCTAAGGAGATACCAGCGAAGGAGTGTTCGATTTGAGGCACTGGCGGAGGCTCTTCCATGCTAAGTTTCCTCTCCATCTCGAGCGACCGTTTCCTTAAACCACCCCACTTTCTTTCTGACCACCGAGAGCCCGGTCTTGAGCCCGGTCTTGAGCCTGGCCTCGAGCCCGGTCGCGAGCTAGGACGGGCGCCTGGTTCATCCACAAGAATGCTGGGCACGCTGCGCAAGGAGTGCGCGCCCTCCGACCGAATCGTTCGGGTTTCATCTCCAACGGACAAGGATGGCGCGAGCCGTGAAAACATAAGCGCGGATGCATGGTCACCACTGGGACCGGGTGACGCAGCGCTTGTACTTAAAGACCGGCCATTGGAGGTTATAGGCGCATCGGCTGTGGGCAACGAGACCGACCGGATTGCAAGAGGGGCATCAACAGTACTTTCAAACCGAATGGTGTGGATTGTCGAATTGGACTCCGGCCGGTCGGGCGATAACGATGCAGATACCTCATTGACCATTATCCCGGCATGACTTGCGAATATGCGCGTGGGCTAGAAGCGCGTGAAAGAATAGGAGCGCAGGAACGAGGCGAAGGGGGGGGAAGATTAAGCGAAAATCCGGATCAAAAGAAGAAAGGAGCGACAAGGGGAAATTCACAAGGGAAGTTCAGAAAAACAAACTCTCCATTAAAATGAGAGATACCTGGAGGAGTTGGAGTTATTTCGGGTAGGTCTTGGCGCTCTTCGAGGTCAGTTTGGAAGTTTTCAATGGAAATCACGTTGGTTATTTGTAATTACATGTAACTGTACAGAACTGCATATGTACTTCAATTAGGTACAGTATATATGTATAATATAGCCCTAGGTATCTCCTATTTCATTAGGAGCTACTATATATTATTGTTCTCTTTTCACTCCTAAAATAGATATCAAGGGGTTTGTCCCACCTTCATAGCCCGCGTGTGGATCGTGATAGAACAAGGAGTATGGTGGAGTACGCTAGTTTCAATGTGCTTAGATTAGAATCATTGCCTAACGGTGGATATAAAATCAAGGAGGTAATCTGTTCAATTATATCCATGTGTACCTAACTACGGGGCACGTGGACAACACAGAGTAGATGCAATTGAAACCTTCAATTCCCCCCTGTACGCCTCCAAATATACAAAACGCGTGGAACTCCTGTAGCCGAGGCTTGGGCAACCAGCTCTCAGCTGTCAATGCAGTCAATACAGTCAAAAAAAAGGGGGGAAACAACACAGCTAGAAAAAAAAAAGTATCATAAGGGCATGAAACGGTCAATCCAGCGACTCAGTGTTAGATCCAGCTCAAGCCACAGCAGCCGTGTGAGCTGATGGCGAGTCGCGAGTTGGACGAGCCCGATCCACAGGCTCTTTGGGCAAGAGTTCAATCTGACGGACTAGGAAGCTCTTCTCATCCGTAAATTGATCGTCATCAGTTCGGTCCTCCAAGAACTTAGGCAAAAATCTCAATAGTCGATCGCGGTTATTGATCAAAATCCGTTGCACTGCCACCGATTTGGTCGGGTTGGCCACAAACACCTAATTCTTTGTTAAAGCGAGCGTTCACTTGGGTTTATGGCGATTTGGGGCAAATTTAGGGCAAGCTTACCTTAAAAACATGAAACCCTTCGTACTGCACCATTTTGCGATCGTCCCGCAGCAGTTTCATGCAGAGTTTGAGATTGTCCCCACTCTCCACATACGCCATCATCACATTGTAGTTCGCACGGTCCAACAGAATTTCCCCCAGAAGCTTGATACTTTGACGCTTGGTCACATATGAGTCCGAGTGGACTAGTATGTTGTTGAACCGCCCAAAGAACAGTTCAAAATTGGTTGCCAAGTACGAAGTCACGAGGCTCTTATGGCGGGTTAAAATCTCCTATGAAGGACATGTCAGTCACCTATAATCAATAGTCGTCATTCTGGACTTTACCCTGAATGTGGTGAACGCGTCTGCGCTGACTTCAAAATTGCTCTTGTCTATCCAATCAAAAAATCTCCAGAACACACCATCTCCCCTTTGCGGGTGGTTAGGTTTCACCTCTGATAGTCGTATGGCGGTTTCTCCTTCACTGGATTGATCATACAGTACAATCGCAGTGATGACGTCGAACTTCAATGCCTCCCTGAGGATGACACCACAAGGCATTGCACTCTGACTCTGCATGTATCCCCGGCATAACTCGACAATGATTTCGGGTCGATGGTGAACAAGGTATGATATGACGGGAGGATCTTTTTCCATTCCATATGAATTAGGTCGGAACCGAAGGATATGAGAGAATATGGTCTGCGTGTCTTTTCTGGCTTCGAAGGGAAGCAAATGGATGTTTTGAGATAGATCAAAGAGTAGATCTTCTTGGAGGGTAGCTTGTACAAGTGCATGGACTTGATCCACCGATGCGGAGACCTCTAAATATCACTAGGTTAACTTTGTGATATTGCAGCTTGGGTGTTACTCCCAGGAGACCAACCTGGTGTTCCTTGTACTATCACCTTCATTTGGCCGAGCTGCTTAGCCAGCTCCTCTTCGGCCTAGTACATTCGTCAATCGGATTGTTCTCTCTATGATTGATGCCTCCAAACAAACCTTGGGAGCATTCTGGGAGTCATGGATCCTCAGTAATAATTCCTTCGTTGTCCGGACGATATCAGCAGGTTGCCGCGACCGGCCGCGATTGAAAAAGAAAGCCATGGTGAAATGGGGAGAATATGCGGCAAATTGAGAAAGAAACTGGAGATTAAGGCGACATGTGATAAGTTATAATTTCAACGGAAGAATCGAGATCGAGTCCAAGGGGAAGCAAATGTGATGTATCCGATTCTAAGTTGCGAATAAACAAACCGGGGCGGGGCAACCGGAGTCCTTCTGCCTGAGGCATCAACCGATAACGGATTTTTATTTTTTTCGGTATCAAAATGCTAATCTCTGCCCCTCCTCCTCCAAGGTTAAAATAATTTGATATTGACTAGTATAAGTCATGTCAGCTTCCAATGCAGTGAACCCGCCCATGGGTGAGAGGTTCCCGGACTCCAATTCAGTATCTGATTCGTCCGATTCCAGCAACGAGGAGGGCTGGGAAGATGTTGAAGCCGATGAGGAGACCCAGCCTGTGGTTGGCCTCTTCACTGACCAGGTCTTTCCCGATGCCCGCTCAATGCTGAAGGATTGCAAGGAAAAGTACAATTTTGATTTGCTGAAGATCCAGAAGGACCTTGGTATGTCTATCTTCTACTCTTCTAAGGGTTCAACAATTGAGACTAACTATTTTTCCGCTTCTAGATTTGGATTTCCTCGACAACATCAAGTTGGTCAACTACGTCCGCACTGAAGTCAAGAAGGGAAACACTACCCCCGACGTTTCGTCCAAGTCCAAGTTCGAGGATGATGTCTATCTCAAGCCCGTTTTGGAGGATGACGCTCTCTTGTATAGCTTGGATGACCTGGCCGAAGAACAGGGAGAAGATGCTGTCCCCGGCACCGAGACAAACCGACAGGTTCTTGAACTCCAGGAAAACTTGGAGCGGTTGCAGACTCAATTCTCCGAGTACCGTCTTGCTGTGCAGCAGTCGATGGATGACCAATTGTCGAAGGAGGATGATAAACTTGCTGAATCCAACCCGCAGCCCTCGGCCAAGGCTATCGATAGACATCAGGATGCCGAGGATGGATATTTCGTCTCATACGCTTACAACGGTAGGATATCTCGCTCAACTGATTATTCATATGATGCTAACATAGTCTAAAGCCATTCATGAATCTATGCTCAAGGATACTATCCGTACCGACTCTTACCGCGATTTCGTCTACGAAAACAAGCACGTTTTCAAAGACAAGGTTGTTCTTGATGTCGGCTGTGGCACTGGTATTTTGTCCATGTTCTGTGCCAAGGCTGGCGCAAAGAAGGTCATTGCTGTGGACAACTCGAACATCATTGACCGAGCCAAGGAAATTGTCCACGACAATGGCCTTGAAGATGTGATCACGTAAGACTCATAATCATCCCCCGATAAAGGGACAGCACTGACTCTCTACAGCTGTATCCGTGGTAAGATCGAAGAGGTTACTTTGCCCGTTGAAAAGGTCGACATCATCATCTCTGAATGGATGGGTTACGGCCTCCTTTTCGAGGCGATGTTTGATTCGGTCATCTACGCCAGAGATCGTTACCTCGTTCCTGGTGGTCTTATGGCGCCTTCACACGCTACCCTGCGCCTTGCTCCTTATGCCGACCCTGATTTCATTGCGTCGCACATCTCGTTCTGGAACAACGTCTACGGTTTCAAGATGGACAGCATGCTTCACAAGATTTACGATGAGGCAGTGGTCCGCAGCAACCAGCCCACCACCGTTGTGGGAGAATCTCAAATTTTCTTGACACTTCCTTTGCACACCATCACTGTCGAGGAGCTGTCGTTCTTGAAGGAATTCCAGGTCACATTGAACCAGGATATCGATGCATTGGATGGATGGATCATCTGGTTCGACATTTTCTTCATGCCTTCTAGAGATTCTGTTCTACCTGAGGATGCTATCCCCTCAGATATGCAAAAGAAGGGAATCGTCTCATTCACCACTGGACCTCATGGAACTGAAACCCATTGGCAGCAGACTGTCCTTCTCATTGACCACGCTAAGGACCACGCTAAGCAAGGTTCCCAGGCCTTGAAGAAGGGCCAGGTCATCACCGGCAAAATCGGTTATGAGAAGACTGAGAAGGGCTCTCGGGGAGTGGACATCAGTGTTGAGTGGGAGTCCGATGCAAACGAGAAGGGGGTCCAGCTATGGGGTCTTGTATAGGATCGAGTGATCTTTTGATACGTTTTCTGATGAACTAAAAGAGATATGACCATCTACATAAAAAAGGACAGCACTTTATGATCTGGGATACAGTGAATATAAAAATGATTTGCATTTAGTAACAAGCAATTTAATGGGTATCTGTGTCGTAATTTGAGTCATAATCTCGTAGAAAATGGAACATCTAGGATTGGTTCTTTGCTTCAAGATGATTTTTCCCGCATGGGACCCTCAGAACGTCTGTCATGACCATGACGATGACTGCGATGAGAGGAGTGGTGATGAGAGCGATGATGGGATCGATCTCGACTATGATCTCGATGGCGGCGATGATGCCTGTCAGAACTTCTTCGGTTCTTGTCGCGTTCTCTGTCTGGCGCATCCAGTTTGAACCCATCAAGGCTGTCCACTGACGGGGACCGCCTCCGCCGATGGCCTGACCGCCGCACCTCCTCAGCTTTTAGAGCTTCGAGCTCTCTTCGCTTTTCATCATTCCACCGTTTCCGTTCCTGCTCTGTTGTTTTCAACTGACGCACACCCCGCTTGATGGCCGCAAGTGGGTCATCTACACTCAGACGAGCCTGTGTCCTTTCCTTGCGCCTTGGGTCATCATTACCCCACACATCTTTCTCGGGCATCGAACCTGGCGCTGTTGCATTTTGTTCTGCGGAGGAATACCACGGTTTTCGACTAATGGTCTCCTTGAAGCCCGCGGCGTTGGAGAACCTCATTGTGTATTGGTCTTCATAGCTGCGTTTCTTCCGTGCCGCCTCAGCCTCTGCTTCGGGGTTCTTCTGTGTCTTAGCAGTTGCGACTGGAAACAAGTTGATATGGCCGGCCTTGTCTAGAATCGGTACTTCTGCTGTATCGGTCTTGCGAGAGGCGAGCATCAACTCTTCCCGCTTAGCAACGGCTTGTGCCGCATCCTCCCGAGCGTATCGTATATCCCGATCCGTATCATCTTCTCCGGCAACCCGTCTTCTCTTGCGGAATCCTCCGGCGTCGCTGGCGGACTTTCTGTCTTGTCGAACCCCCGGTTCAGACGGCAGAAGGGGGGCGCTGGTGGAGGCGTAGGCGGACGTTCGCCGCGAAGAATTTTAATCCTGCGTTCGGCATCGACCTCTTGCATGATACGTTCATCTTCTTCCTCGCGGGCTTTTGCTTGCGCCTCGTCGCGCCTGACGCGCTCGATATTCTCGACGTTGTAGACGTTCCATGACTTTTTACCGAGGAGATGACTTGAAAATAATTAGCGGGATTCACAGATATTATAAGATCGAGTGAAGAAATCCACTTACAGAGGCATCCTGGAAACTTGTTAATCTTTGCGTGAAAGTTGAGTCTCGATAGCAAAGAGCTGGTCTTATCGATAATGACGTCCCCACCGCCCGTCGCTGTTCCCGGGGGTGGCCAAATGCCCCGTCAACGGCTTCATGAATCCGACTCTCTTCTCTTCATTTCGTATTGGGCATGCTTGGATATTGATATATCCAGTAAACCCTTGAACATAAATTTTTGGTAATTGACTAAACATCACCTGCGCTGCAGAGCCGACTGACTTGCACAGTTGCCTGTTCCTTTCCCGACACAGTGTCGCTAAGACAATAGCTTCAACAGTTCTCAACTCAATCTCTGTGATTAGCGACAACCGAACTATTCGTCATGTTTAATCGCAGCAACCTCCCTTCGAATCCGTTCAGCTCCAGCGGACAACCGTCCCAGCAGGGTTACTCTAACCCTAACCAAGCACCCCCACGGTATGATACCGATCGCTCCCCCTCCTTCAGTGCAGGCTATGCAGCTCGTATCCACGATGATGATGTCCCGATGACTGATGTATATAATGATCCAAGGGGTTACGGAGGCCCGCCTCTACCAGGGGGCAGACCACCGCCGCAGCAGCAGATGCCCTCTAGGATGCAGTCCGGACAAAGAGGCGGAGGCCAGACTTGGACCCTTCATCCAAGCAAGAGTCCCAACGAAAACTACACATTTGGAAACCTGTGAGTATTCTCAACCTACATTTTATTCTCGGAGGCTAATACACAGCAGTGTTGCTGTTTCGCCGCAGGACATCCCACCCTCACGAGATGGCACCGACGTTCTCCTCCTCATCAATGACTTTTTCGTCTTCTCTGCTCGCCCTCTCGATGGCTTCCCTCCTGGATTTATGAGTATGTCGGATCCTCAGCGAACATGGGCCAACATCGGATTGAGAGATGCAATCAAGGTGCAGCTATACGATCCGTTTAGCCAAGGCGGACAGGCCTACCTAGGTTCCGCGGATATTGAAGTCAGCTTCGCATCTACCAAGAAGCGGGTTGAGGCTCCCTATGACCAGGATGAATTGGCACAGGCGGTGATCAGGGTAAGTCGACTTCGTCCCAAGCTTGAATACATGCTAACAGGCCCCAGAACTTTGAAAACCAACTATTCTCGCCTGGCCAGAGGATTCTGATGGATAATAAGAGTATCCCACTCTTACTACAGGTCAAGACCGTTCAGCGGGTTGATTTGACATCAGAGAAGCCCGATCTTAGTTCGGGAGAAGTCGAGACCGACCCTACGGCCAGGGGTATTCTCACACGGCACACTCAACTCAACTTTTTTAAGGATACCCAGACCGGTATCAACGTAAAGCCGTCTAACCGCCGCCCGGCGGCCAACTCTATCATCCAACCGGGCTTCAAGTTCCAGGATATGGGTATCGGTGGTTTAGACTCTGAGTTCAGTACGATCTTCCGTCGTGCTTTCGCCTCTCGCATTTTCCCTCCTGGTCTTGTTGAGAAACTTGGTATTCAGCACGTCAAGGGTCTCCTGCTTTATGGACCTCCCGGAACGGGTAAAACTCTTATTGCTCGGCAAATCGGAAAGATGCTCAATGCTAGAGAGCCCAAGATTATCAATGGTCCAGAAGTTCTGAACAAGTACGTGGGTCAGTCGGAAGAAAATATCCGAAAGATGTTTGCGGATGCCGAGAAGGAATATAAAGAAAAGGGCGACGAGAGTGGCCTCCACATCATCATCTTCGATGAGCTGGACGCAGTGTGCAAGCAGCGTGGTAGCAGCGGTGGTGGTACCGGTGTCGGTGATAGCGTGGTCAACCAACTGCTCTCGAAACTCGATGGTGTCGACCAACTGAACAACATCCTGTTGATCGGTATGACTAACCGAATGGATATGATCGATGAGGCTTTGCTGCGTCCCGGTCGTTTGGAGGTGCACATGGAAATCTCGCTCCCTGATGAGCATGGTCGAAGCCAGATTCTCAACATTCACACCGAGAAGATGCGAAAGAATAATGTCATGGATAAGGATGTTGACTTGACCGAGCTTGCTCATCTGACCAAGAACTTTTCTGGTGCTGAGATCGCAGGTTTGGTCAAGTCTGCCTCATCCTTTGCTTTCTCCCGCCATGTCAAAGTCGGTACTATGGCTAGTATCAATGATGACGTGGTAGACATGAAGGTCAACCGGGCCGACTTCCTTCAGTCCCTTGATGAAGTCAAGCCCGCCTTTGGTGTGTCCGAGGAAGAGCTGGCCAGCCGCATTCCCTACGGTGTGATTCATTACTCTCCGACCATCAGCGAAATCCTGCGGGAAGGCGAGTTATTCGTCAAGCAGGTTGGAGTGGCTGAGTCAACTCCACTTTTCTCTGTGCTGCTCCACGGTCCTCCTAGCAGCGGAAAAACTGCCCTGGCAGCACGGATTGCTATTGACTCAAGCTTCCCCTTCATCAAGTTGATCAGCCCCGAAGATATGGTTGGCTTTAGTGAGCCAGCAAAGATCGCACACATCAGCCGAATCTTTGACAGCGCCTACAAGAGTGCTACAAGTATCGTTGTGATCGACAACATCGAGCGGATCATCGACTGGGTGCCGATTGGTCCTCGCTTCAGTAATAGTGTGCTGCAAGCTCTTATGGTCTTCTTGAGGAAGCAGCCAACTCACGGACGTCGTCTGTTAGTTCTGGCCACGACAACTGAGCGTGCCTTGATGAAGCAGCTGGATATCTACAACTCCTTCAACTCAGACATCATGGTTCCCAATGTTAGCTCTTTCGGTGAACTACGGTTTATCATGGAAAAATCGGGTGCCTTTGATGCGCAGGAGATTGCGCGAGCCCTCGAATCAATTGGCGGGCTTGGGGATGACGGGCGCTTGAGCGTCGGCATCAAGAAGATCCTCCTTGGCATTGAAACGGCCAAACAGGATTCTGACAAGGTTGGCCGCTTTGTTCGCGTCATCAACCGTGCCATTGAGGAGGAACAGAGTTTCCAGTAAACAATGTTTATAACGGGCTTTAGTTTTGTTCAGTATACCTGGGATTATAACTAGATTAGTTCTAAAGTAAATAGCTGTTCGCAATCCTACTTTCTCTTCCTTTGGTAAGGTCCTCTTCCCAGCAAACATCTAGTTCAGATTTTGATTAGCATTTGTTATGAGAACTATAAAACACCACATGACCATAGGGGACTGACTGGCACAATGTTACATATTCTAAAACTGCATGATAAATTTGTTCTTTCAATTTAATTCGACGGGAGGTTGATCCAAGAGACCGGGTCTTGCTAGTGTGTCATGTTGACTACCTACCAACACTCAAAAGCAAAACAATATACTACAACCTTTTATATAAATTAAGAGATTGAGTGTTTAATAAACTTCTAGATATTCTTTTAATTTCAACCTTTAGTTAGCTCGTATTCGATTATTACATAAAGTACCAACTGTTTTAGCTTGCTAAGCCAGATATAACAGCCTTCAGCATCAAACTCGCAGTTACACAATAACATACCATACAACAATTAGCGGTGCTCTACAGCCCTAGAGCGAACCAGGCACACCATACTGAGGCCTGATATTACAGGCTTACAGGCAGAAATCCCTATACCATACGGGAAAATAGGTAAAACCAATACCAATTAGAGAAACCTCTCTACTATACGTCAAAAGACACAGACTACCTCTCCAAGATATACACAGAAACCCAACCAAAGAAGCAAAGGTGCGCCAAACCCAAAATAGAAGCAAAGAAATCCCAAACAATCCCATCCCCATCCCAAGATCCCAATTTTGTCCATACCAAGGGGAATTCCTCATCACATCAGTCATCAAGAAGCCCAGCGCAGCCCAATCAATACCCATCATAGGCGTACTTCTTCGTAGAGCGGCGGTACTCATCAGGATGGGCCTTCTCGGCCTTAGCCTTCAGGGCGCTATTTCCAGCCACGTGTGTCAGCCTTCTAGAAACGCACTCATCGGCGCTAATGCCGCAGGCACGGCGCTGATCGACGTGCACGTGCCAAGCTCGTCCGGCGGAGCGGAAGCCCCTGTCGCGGAGCGGAGCGGAACTTGCACGTCCATCGTACCACATTGCCTGGTTTTAGGGGGTGCATTTGCTTACCTGACGCGCTTTTGCGTCCATTCCAGATCGCGCTTCGTCTCTCGTGCGGTTTTTAGGCCTTCGGAGAAATTCGCTCGTGCACCTTTCAGTCGCCGTTGCGCGAGCGCTTGTAGCTCGAGTAGTTCTTGCTGCTTTGCATTCAGCTGGCCAGATCTGTGTGCAGTTCGCTGTTAGCTTGGTGTTTAGCAAATCCTGGGATTGTTTGCTGGGGTCTTGTTTTGCTAATCACTTTTGCCTGGTGGCGGTGATTGTCGTGAGGAGGAATTGTCGCTAGTTCTGATGATGTGCAGGTTGTAGGGAAACTCACGTCTGCGCTTGTCGTGCTAGACCCTTGTCCAATGGAGTTGGATCAAATGCGTCCTGCATGTGGTCGCTCAGGACATCCACAACATCGACGCCGGAGTACGATGCAAAGCTGGAGTCGTACTCGCCGGCAGAGCTGAAAGTGAGCCCGCCAGAGGAACGACTGCCGGCGGTGGTGCTTGCATCAGAGAACTCTGGCGGGGAGCCGGATACTCTGGAAATAGGGTAGAGAGATGCTGGTGTCGGCGCCTTCGAGGGTGTATGGTGGTATGGGTAGGCAGCAGGCTGGTAATATTGACGCTGGGTGGCCATGGCGATGATTGACTGCAGCAACAGCAAGTGTTATAGTATAGCAAAGAAGAAGTATGAAGCTTGAGTAAACTTCAATGATGTGAGATGAAGCAAGAAGATGGGAAAGATGTGTAAGATGTGCAAACGGGCCTAACTGGGAGTGATGGGAAAGGAAGAAGAAGGAAAGACAGTCCCCCCTGGGCCAGACGAGGCATTTTATAACCTTCCGCGGGGAGTCTTCTTTCCGGCGGATTGTCCCATTCTGAGGGAGGCGAGTATGATGGCAAGGATTGCGAGGGCCTCGAAGGAGCCATTGGACCACTCAGGGCACATTGACTCGCACCCCTCCCTCTGTAACCCCAATCCCCGAGCTCCGTATGCATGTCTGCCTCCGTATCTGCCCGCCTATTTGCCTCTTGAACCGCCTTGACCCCGCTCAGAGTGGAAAAAAAGACTTAATGTGTCTGGCTGAGGACGCCAGCCTTCCTCCACTAGGGTTTCCGCTGTTCCGTGGCGCCTTGGTACGAAACCGGTCTTGATCTACGCCGCTCTTCCTGGTCTAAACTCTTGGGGTCAAAGCGCAGACTGCAAGTATTCAGGGATTGACTAGGAAGAGCATGGAAGGTGGATTTGAAGAGGGTAAGATGGGTGGAGTTGGGGGGAAGCTGAGATATAAATATCGCCTTGGCCGTCCTTCCTCCCACCTTTTCCTGAGTTTTTTTTTTCTCCTCCTCTCTCATACTTATCCGTTTTCCCCCGCCTTTGTCCCTATTAAAACTGTTTTTTTTCTTCAGAAATTCGGGGGCTGGGGAGAGGACGATCAAGGTTGATTCGTTCGTCAAAAGCCCCAAAGATAAGACGGACTACACAAGAACCGGTATGACAATTTCCCGCTCTCTAACTGTTCAAGTCTAACATGATGATTAGTTGATCAGTTTCCTATACCTACACAGCATTTTAGTTGTATAGCTGTGGTCAAATACGCTCTTCCGCAATAACCTAAAAGATCCCGGGATGTCTCGCGGCCTTACATCATCTTTAGGATCGGAGCCCAAGAGCCCAAAAATGAGGATCGCTGCAATCAATTCAGGTCACACGGAGAATGTTGGACATCACTGCATGAACCAAAGGACCGTGAGAAAGATTGAAACTCGAAATTGTTCCCAAATCCGTGGCCTCATGCTTTTTTTGCAAGGTTCTATCAAGAATCATCCTAGCAATATATGAGCAAAAAGGCAAATCGTACAACCAATGAGCAACAGGTCCACGTCGAATAACAAGAAGAACAAAAAAAAAAAACTCAAGTGGACGGTGATCCTTGTCCCTCCGTTTGTCCGCCTGGAGGCGGCTGCTATTGCTGCACACAACAAGAAATCCCCCCTCTTGCACGAACCCACCAATAGCCATCAGAGCTCTTGCCAGCAAGACAAAGGCAGGGCAGAGTATTGCTGCATCGACAAGCGCTGTAGACGCCTATCAACGTGAGAAGAGAACACCCCACTCTATGCAGATGGTCGATGACTTGCCTGAAGATATCTATGGGGCATGTACGATAAAGGGAGTCCATCCTGCAAGCCTCGTCGGAAATACTATATTTCGAGAAATGCTGTGCCGCCCACGACCCTTCATCATTGGTCCTAGAACCTTGCTGACATGAATAACACGCAGGCCCAACTGGCTGGGAAAGGAATGGGATTACAGGGCACACCCTTCGAGGCCCGGGTGTTCTAAACCGGATCTGGATCTGCCTTGCTGACTCTACTTCTCTTTTTTTTTTTCTCGTTCGCCCGTTGATGCCTCACCATGCCTAAGCCAGGCCTGCATGCCTTGCAGCCTGATGACTCACGATATGCCCCGTAAACACACAATGCTACCGAGGAACCCTGTGACACCACCCTCCTTCAATTCTCAACATGTCATCAGGACCCTGGTTTGGTGAATATCGCAGGGATGTAATTCGTCTTCCTTTGTGCTGAAAATGGCTGAGCACAATCTTTTATTCGACCAGGTCAATATCGGGCAGCACGGCAACTAATAAGGCGCAGTACACAATTCGGCTTGGGAAGGGGCCATACACCTTTTTTTGGTCTGCCTTCGCTCTTCATAGTATTTCCACTAACTAGGTCCTGATCCGCCCCTCCTTCAACTCTGACTTGATACTCAAAGGAATTGCTCTGAACCTTCTAATCTGAACCTTCTAATGTGACGGAGACCGAATACTCCGTATACGTACGATGCCAACAGAGTTTCCCTGCATATGTTACACGAGCACGCTGTTTCGATCCGAGTATCGAAAACAATCGTATGTGTGCCTGTTTTCATTGACTATAGCCTTCAATTAATGTCTCTTTGTCTAGGGCTACCCAGGTGGTGTGATGAAGTATTTCCAAGATTGAATAATCTGCAACCTTTCCTTCAAGTGCCCCAATTTCAAGTCTCTAAATCAAATTCAAATGCAAATGCAAATCCTAGATTATTATTTTTCCAAGTGGGGGGTTGCGGGGATTTTCTACTTCCTTCACCGCCACATGCGCCATGCCAACTCATTCACTTTCCCTTTTTGGGAAATATGTACTTACCAGCCTCTTGTTAGTCATGATTTATATATTACTGTGCATTCAGCACTATTATGCGTGTCAGAAAATAGACATTAAAACAATGATCTAGTTCTCCGGTACTTGCCATTAAGATCTAGGCTGCTTTAGCTCGTGATGCATAGTATATTGTATGATATATATTTCGACCTCGAAAACTCCTAGAGAAAAATTCACGGCAAAGAGCCCAATTATCTGGCAACATATTCCATGCACCATCTAAACGCCGACGCAGAAAGAATATTGAAAGTTGAGTGAAAAGAAAGAGGAAAAAAGAGGTCAAACGAAAAGAGTTGGATTATTACCAAATACAGATCCAGACGATAGATAGCCCTGGAGGTGTGCCACGCGCTCATAATCTGGTATCACAAGAATGTAAAGAAAAGCAAAAAAAAAAAAACAATGACAAAACAAGGCATTCTGCTTGCTTCATAAACAAAAAGCAAGAATTAGAGCACTGACTCCATGATGCACAGGCTCAGAGGGCGAGGGGAATCTGTGCTCATGAATGATCAGAGTAAAAATCGAGGTAAGAGCTAGTGCCCTCCTGAGCCTGTGCAAATGCTGGGGAATATTATCAATGACTCAAGACCAAATACAAATGCAAATGTCACAATGGGGCTTCCAAAATCGTGATATCAGGCCCAAAAATGTAAAGCACGCTTCATGCGTGTCTAGCAAACTTCCAATGACCCCCCTGTGCAATCCCCCGAATCCGAAAACACAATTCCAACCAAAATGAATCATCAAAAATTACTCCGTGGTCCATGATAAGAATGTTAAATGCAAGAACCGGAGGAGAGGGATGTGGCTGGCTATATATGTATAAAAAAAGAAATATTCAAACAGAAACATGCTATTAAAGTAGCAAAGATGTCGGGAATGGAGGTCGCCAGGGCAGGTCAAAGACCTGGGGAAGTCCCTAGCGGCGAGCAGCGATAGCTTGTTGGTGTTCTGGGCCAAGACGGTCTCGCAGAAGCATGAGTGGGCGACCAGGCTCGAGAAGACCCATCATCATCTTCCCCAGTTCATTGTGTTTGATTGGTTTGGTGACGTAGTCATTGAACCCTGCGCGGGCAGCGTTTTCGATTTGATCTGTCATTGCGTTGGCTGAAAGTGCCATGATTGGAATCTGTGGGTAATGGTTCAATTGCTCCCAGTCACGGATGTCTCTGCAGGTATCGTAACCGTTCTTGATAGGCATCTGAATATCGCACTACGAATCGACGTGGTTAGTTTTGCGGAAGAAAAAGGGTCTAAAGCAAGACTCACGATGATGAGAGAATAGTATCCGGGCTCTTTAGATAGCACCATGTTGGTGCACTCCAATCCATTGGATGCAGTCTCCGCCATCAGCTTGATTTTATCGAGATACTTCAACATGACCTATATATGAGTTAGCAATCAATTCAACATAGTTCTTAGAAATCAACTTACATCTCGATTGGTTTCGTCGTCCTCGACGAGCAGAACTCGATAACCCTTGTTGCCCAGAACTTCTTTCACCATCTTGGAGACAGTCTTGAAGTTATTATTGATCTCGCGCGCCATGTCTTGATTGCGATCCTTGCTCAGCTCACGCTTGCTATTGGGATCAAAGATAGACGAGAAAGCAGAAGGTTTGACAGGCTTTGGCACAATGAAAACCTGCTTTCCTAAAGCTGCTAGCTCTTTGACTCGTGAGCTAATTTGACGCTTCTGGTAAAGGTCTGAAATTATGACAATGACGGGCGCGGGATCCGAGCCTGAGTCTGCGATGTTCTGAATAACCTCCAAGATATCATCTGTTGGAAGATTCAGAACAAGATGTGTGCAAGGCTCGTTGGAAGTAGAGTGCATCATATCTTTCCATTCATCAACATCAAGTAATGTTGTGACTTTGAACGGAATCTCATGAGGGACGACCTGCTCAATATGTTGCTTTATGGCTTGCCGGGAGTTTTTGAGCGGACACAGAATGACGATGGAGAAAGGACCATGAACGGGTACAGATACCGGTCCGATTGGCGTATCTGGAGAGGCAGATGATTGAGACTTAGGCGACGTGACGTGGGATGGTATGTCGGGCTCTGTAATAGCAGGTTCGATTCTTGTATCCGAGACTACATCTGGCATATTCATCACAGCTCTTGTCTCCTCCAATGGAGGCGGCAGGGGCGCGGGGCCAATATCTGGGGTCGGAAGAGCAGATGATGCGATTGAGAACGAAGCAGAAAAAGTGGTATCGTAGCTTTGGCCGGATGAGTCGGAATTTCTGGGAGCTAGAGGAGGTGCCTGTTGATAAGAGGTCGTTCTGGACTCCACCGGCCTTCTTGAAGCAGTTGAACTCTGGCGTATCAATTTGGGCTGCTCAGAGGGGGAAGGCGGCGGAGGAGCATCGACCTTGACATAGAAAGAAAACTTCGCTCCCTGGCCCTCTTTGCTGCTCGGAGTGAGCTTGCCTCCATGCATTTCGACAAGTTGCTTCGACAGGAAAAGCCCCAGACCACTACCTGCATGCTGCTGTGACCCATTTTCTCCAAGCTGACTGAATCGTTGCATAAGTCGCTCCGCATCATGAGAGCTGAATCCCTTTCCGGTGTCCACGACTTCAAAGTTCATGAATGCCTGGGTATCATTGGGATTCGCAGATGGATCCCGATACATGCCACAAGAGATGTGAATTTCACCTTGCGCAGTGAATTTGACGGCATTGCCGAGAAGGTTGATCAGGACTTGACGAATTCGGAACCGATCTCCAATCACCATTGATGGCAAGTCTTCGCTTATGAGATAGTTGATCTCGAGTCCCTTGTCTATCGCCCGTGAGGCGATAGTATCGATTACGTCCTCGATCATTGATCGGATATGGAACCAAGATTTGACCATAGACATCTTGCCGGCTTCGACGCGGGAAACATCAAGAATATTGTCGACCAGCTCGCGAAGGTTAGTCGAGCTGTTTTGGATGGTATCAAGCATTCGCCTCTGGTCGCTATCAAGCTGCGTGTCCAGAATGAACGGAATGGTACCAAGAATTCCATTAAGCGGGGTTCGGATCTCGTGCGACATGTTGCTGAAGAACTTCGTCTTGGACTCCATTTGATGATTCAACTGTTGCATGGCCTTGTTGAGTTCTCTTTCGAGGTTTTTGCGGTCATTAATGTCGGTGCATGTTCCGTACCAAGAGGCTTCTTCGCTGCCGAAACTGCTTGTCTTGACACGTACCAGGCGAACCAAATGCCATCGGAAATCGCCACCTCGAGAACGAAGGCGGATCTCAGTAGAATAGAAGACTCGGCCAGTCTCATCTTGCTGTAATGAAGCAATGCCGCGCTTCACAAGTTCATCAAGAGCTGACCCAACTTGGAACTCACCAGGTCTGCTATCATCCTGGTCCGCGCTCGGAGAAATTTTGTTGAGCGACAGCTCACCGCACTTTTCGAGATCGTCCGGATGAACATGTTTAGCGAAGCCGAGATCGTGTGCTTCCTCGAGGGGTTGACCGGTGTACAGATTCCACTGCTCGTTGACGAATATCAACCCGCGGGTCTCCGTTGCCTCAAACACAATCTGTGGGATCGAATTGGAAAATGCACGATACTTTGCATCAATAGCAAACTTCTCCCTCTCTTGAATTGCTTCAAGCTCGGCAATATGCTGCTCATGAATGTCAAGGAAAGAACCAATCCAGTACAATACCTCTCCTGTTGACGATAACAGCGGGTTGGCTCGGAAAATGAACCAGCGATATGCCGATTCATCATTGAATCTTCGGACACGCACCCTTTCAGTGAACTGTGCACCTGTGCGCAAGGCATTGGCCCATTTGATATGAACATGCTCACTCTCGCTACTATGGATATTCTGCCAAGGGTCTCGGAATCTTTGATCCTGGTGCTGACTTCTTCTATAAGCGTCGAACTTGGAATTGGTCCAGATCACTTCCCCACTCTGTGGTTTCGCCAGGAAAAGATGCAATGGGATCGAGTTGAGCATCAGCTGGGCTATCGTGTCAGAGAACGGACGCGGGAGCTCCCGTTGCAGTTGGGCGTACAACGAGTTTGTCGACGCTTGACGTGATGATTGCTGGGTTGGCGAAAAAGTATGGGACGGTCTGACCTCTTGGAATGGTGATGTGACATAGAAAGATTGATCTTGTAGGATGTTCTCATCGCCGATGGTTGGTTTCCAGGCCATTTTGTCGGGAGAAACTGGCGAGTCAGTGGTGGCCTTCGACCTGGAGAGCCGTGGTCTGTGCTGGGACGCATTGTCTCGGGTACTTTTATTTTGCGGAACATTGAAGTAGCCATCAGCACCTTCGCCGCCAGGTCGTGAAGTAACCCCTGGAGATTGATTTGCAGACCCGAATCCAAGATGGCCAACATCAAACCCAGGGGTTCCCATAGTAGAAACGGTAGGACTGAACTTCATAGACGAACGATCACTAGGGCTAGTCATGCTCGCATGCGCGGACATTGGGTTGTTGTCGCCAACGGAGTAGCTGACGTGACCGCTAAGTCCGGCAACAAGCTCTAGCTCACTGCTTGCATCCGAGAAAGTGCCCCCGAGACCTAAAAGATTACCATAGCGAGGAGCTTCCACTTTGGATGATAGCTGTCTTTCAAGCTGGCTATATCGCTGAGCCAAGCAGAAAGAAGCTGTCAAATGCGGCATCAGAAGTGCAAGTGATTGTCTGAGATTAGGAGGATATGGAACAATTGTGCACAACATCGACACAACAGCAACGGGAAATCTCAATGTCGATGAGGTATGACGGTGAGATCTTGAGTGACCACCATGTAAGAGAGGAATATGGATGACAGTCTTTGACTGATCGACCCCAATGGCCTCGAGTGGAAGATTATTAGAGTAGTCATGTGAAGGCGGATTCTTGGCGAAGGCCCCTTCATCGACCGAATGGTTTGTGAAGAAGGGATTCTGGTCTGCATTTGTACGGGGAGCGGGTGATGGAGCAGGGGACTGAGACCACGGAGACTGCGGAACCTGTTCATATTCATCATAATGTTTCAACCCAGCGACTCCGAGGCTTTGCTGCACTGGTACACTCCCGATTCCTTTGTCATCAGGACCTTCAACATCAGGAGTAACTTGAACCATCTCATTGGGACTTTCGACTGACTCGGCCCAACGCTGTGGATATTGAGCACTTTCTGCATATTCACGTGTTAAGATGGTAGGACGGGTACGCCCGAATAACTTCACCACGCCTGTACGCTTGATGAGCGGGTCTGGCTCTACCTCCAGTGGTCTAGGTATGGGGAACACAGCCTGTCGCATACTGCCGAGAAGACTGTTGAGTGTATCGTCTCTGGCTTCGGGGTTCTCTCCCATCAAATGATCTGTGCATGGCGGGTTATGGGAAGCGATATGTACGTGCTTTTTCTCGGATTTGATATTTATCTTTGAAACTGGTGGTTGGTTGGGGTCGTGAGGGGTGTGGCCTTGGTTTTTATCAAATCCAGCGAATGAGTGCCGGGATAAGAGAGATGGCCGAGAGGGTGCAGGCGCTTTAGCCTGGTGGAACACTGCCTCGGTTTTCTGTTGCACGTTTTTGCGTGAATGAGGCGTCTCTGTTGAGGATTCCTTCTCCATATGACGCGCTTGAAGTTCATGCAACGATATATCCACGTTCTGGTTAAAAATTGCCTTTTGGCCCCAGGGTACGTTCTCCAAATCGGTCACATCTCCAGGGACAGCAAGCGACACACGCTCAGCCCCGTAATATGTCTGCATTATATCAATGAGGTTGGACCACCACGCTTCGAGCCCCGAATCCGCATTCAGCTGAAGTGTCAGATCATAAAGATCGGGACTGACAAAATTTGGATCTTCCTGGGTTTGGCTATGATGAGCAGGCAGAAAACTCGGATGCGGTTCGGGAGCGTTTGATTCTGGAGGTAGAGATTTCTCGGATGGAAGCTTCAATCTAAATGGTCCCCCACGCGCTGTTGGTTCAATCCCCATTTTGACTGATTTGTTTTGAGTGTGTGAAATCTGTGTGTGTAGAATTTGCATATGTGGAAAGGGATAGGAAGGCGTCCGTTCTGGCCTGCGATCAGAAAGTGTCTCTGTCTGAGCACCTTTGATTGTCCCTGTTGAACCTTCCGAGCCTGCGGAGGTATGCACGATGGCAGCTGGAGCCTCGGTTGAGGTATTGGATAACGGATTGGACAAACGTCTCTTTTTTGGAGGATCAGTCGAGTGTGTAGAGAAAGGTGGACTCTGGGACAAGACTGGTTGGGTTTGCTGCATCTGTTGGTATACAAGAAGATCTTCCATCTGCTTTCGAAGTTCCTTGAGGGTATGTGAACTGCGTCCTTGATCCTCTTGTCGCTCGGCTTCCGATCGTGGATACTCGGTTATGGGCGTTAGCCCAACAAGCTGGTCTGTAGAATCACCGCGCGACAGACGAGATGGTTTGAGGGACGACTTCTCAAGGGCATCTACTCTCCCCGCAAGTTCATCCACCAATTTTTGGGATTGGTGACCATGTGGGGGGCGGGGACCAGGCGATCGAAGAGGCTGCATATGATGAGATTGAGGCACCCTGGCAGGTGGCAGTGTCTCTGTTGGTGAAGGGAATGGAGGGCTCCTCCTACTATGAACATCCCCCATTCTCGCTCCTCCGTGGAGGGAAAGACAATAAAATGATATCGATGGTGACGTACGGGATGGAATGAAATGAGGCGTTTATGGGCTTGACGGAAATTGCAAATGGGAGGACAAATCTTGGCGAGGGGTTGTAAAGATGCCAAATAAAAGAAAAGTGAAGGTTAAAATATGTGAGAGTATTAGAATATCATGGAAGATGAATAAGGTTGAGGCTATCAAAGAACAGATAGGTGTTCGAGAGATGAGAAACAACTTTCACATAGGGTACCCGCCAGGCCCATTGCTTGGATCGATATGGGAGTGGATGGTAGTGGATGAAGGAAGGGAAAAAGTGGACTGGGGGCGTGATGCACCGGGGGGGGAATATTATGACGTAGGGAAGAAAATAAAACTTGGTGGCTTTTTTTTTCCTTTTATATATGGCTTCGATTTCTTCTATAGCCCTATATATTAATATCTATCTAGTCCCAAGTCCTTCACTCTTGATTTCACCTCTTTCTTCTGATTCACTCTCTATATATTTGGAAGTCGATGTTTTCCCCTTTCAAAACTAAAAAAAGACTCCAAATATGACGTAGCCCTATATATTTGTGTACCTGGATATTTATTCCCTTCAGGGCTGTACTCGGCACTACGGTGAATAGTAAACGACGACGTACTTTCGTCCAAATCCAAACCTCTTTCTTCCTACCTTTTGTGATATGCGTGAAATATGAAATATCCACAGAGGTATCCGCAGTGCACATGATCATTTTGGATTTTGGCATCTGCCATATTAAAATTATATGCAACTCGTGAATATCTAGATCGAAGGAGACGGTCTAGACCAAAGAATTTAAACCCCCTATCCCCCTTGATTCAGCCTCAGATTGACGGAGAATGGGGTATTATTATAGGGGCCAAAATGCACTTTTGAGGCCTTTTGCAGATGGTCCAACCCCCCCCCCCTGGAACGAGGGGATCGACCCGCCGACGTCAACGGGGCTCCTGTGGCGCCAAATCGGTTGGATGTGGGAATGTGATTAGTGCATCGACCGACAACGCCCCCCTTTTCCGCAGAAAATCATAAAACACGGAAATGAATATTTTGGGGTCTGCCATACTTTATTTATGTAGAATACTAATATATATTCTGAAGTCTATGGGGTAGCGTAAACCTTTTGCATATTGTAAATGTTCGGTCATCCGATCTCCAGGTGAGCATCAGCTGAGAGGAATCCTGTCGTCCGGCATAATATACAGAGTATGCATTCCATTCTTACTGGGCTGGCTGACTGGCTCGCTTATGTGAAGTCTAGGCTTTCTAACTACATATGTACATATGCAGTCATCCCTTATTCTCCTTTGACCTTGGTGGGGCGCTATACCCAGTTTCTTATAGTTACCATAGATCATGACTTTGTAAGATCTCTAATCGACATTGTGTTGTTTCCATTGCTCTTAGTAAAATCTCAAAGCCATTAGGGGGCCCCAAAAAACAGTTAGAACAAGAGGTTCATTGTAATTTACTTTCCTAACAGCTGAGGAATACAACATATGTCCAATATATAAGTAAGGTACAATCCCCCATCCAATTAAAGGCAAGTCTCCAGGACTACGGAGTACAACCAAGTGCTTATGAAAATACAAGAGCCCACATAAAAAGTCAAAATGCCATGCAATCATATGTTCATCTACCAGGACTAGGAGAGTTCTGAAGGTTCCGACTGGTCCACTCGCCGTGCAGGCCCTCGGCTATTTTTGCCAACCTCGGAGGACTCATCCAAATCCCGAAGAGGATTCAACTCCCTTTGATAAACCGGTTGTTCATTGCCCTTCAAACCCGACCCGGTGGGGTCTCTCCGAATGAGGAAGCCCTGCACCCGGGCATCATTTGAATCCATCTGTTTGACAGTGTTGTCTTTGCGGCCCTGTAGGACACGGGCTGACTCTTCGTTGACCCCACGTAACCGCTCATTGAATCCAGTATTCACCTGTCCGATCCAGGATGCTTGAAGGGCTCCCGCAAACAGCACCAACAGGATTACAAGCCGAGAGAAAGTGCGCTGATCGACAACATGCTGCTGAGGCCCTTGATGGCGGTTATGCCAGTCTTCCCAATCCTCCCATGTCGCATTTGAGTAGATATTCGGTCCATATGAGTTGCGTTCTATTGTTGTTTCCAATACCGTGTGGGTCCAGCCAGTGCCATTTCGATCATAGGCTGCCCGTTTGACTGGATCGGAAAGAAGATTATGTGCATCAACCACAATTCGGTAGCGCTTCAGTCGAGTCTCAGCAGTCAAGTGATTGAAAAGAGGATGGCCTTTGAGATCCCGGTCGGGGTGATAGATCTTAACGAGGTCATAGTAATGTCTTTTCGTGTACGTTGCGCCACGGGGTAGATTCAAGACGTCATACGGGGTAAAAGATGAAGAGCTAGGCCATGAGTAGTTCTGATGTGGGAAATCTGCTGAGGTGGCGTAGCTCCTGCTTTTGTATGGTGCCTTCAGTCCATAGCCTGCAGAGTTGGTGTTGAAACGAGAAAGCGGGCGGAAGACGGTTGAATTCCAAAATTGCGGGTGTTTAGCATATAGAGGATTAATTTTCTTGAACATTGTCACATGGTGTCATTTAGGAGAGCACGGTTAAAATATCCGCTGCGCTCCTCTTAAAAGTCATCGTGAGGATGAGGATGATGGTCCCATGGATCTTTCGGCGCGGCCTCGGGACTGGTCACGTGTAGCTCGATATTGGAGCTTTGATCTAAAGATCTTCAACACTTCGATCTCTACATTTGTTTTTCCCCGCAGTCCCATTCCAACAGCAACAATGGCTGGGTCCAACGACGATCGCCCAGAGCGCCGGCAGCACTCCGTGAATTCACCCTCAGATCAGACCCGTGAACGCCGGCGACGAGATGCGCCTCAAGACGACCACTATTCGGGCTCAAGACGACGCGACAAAGATTGCCGGAGCTCTCACCGGGATAGCTCTCGACGGAGGACATCCCGTAGTCCCGCTGAAAGAACCAGCGGCCGAAGTGATCGTGATCGGCCTCGCCGCGAGCGCAGAGAGCGTTCAACAAGCTCAGCTGCCGAAGACCGCCGCAGACACAGACACCGCAGCCATCGACACCGTGATAGCCGCCACGAAGACGAAGGGAGATCTTCTCGAAGGCACCGCGGTACACGATCACGTTCCCGCTCGCCACGAAAATCACGCAGCCCTCCGCCGCAGGCATTGGAACGACGCGGCCCCCTCCCCTCGCAGTCCGACGCATTCACCGATGTTGCACACCCTGGAGAGGCACCTGCGCCAGAAAAGCAAAAGCCAAACTTCAATGCCACGGGTAGACTCGCGGCGGAAACCAACACAGTTCAGGTTCAGGGTGGTGCGGAAATAGTTTTGAAATACCATGAGCCTCCAGAGGCGCGCAAGCCGCCCTCCAAGGAACCTTGGCGCATGTATGTCTTTAAGGGGCCAGACTTGCTGGAAACTGTTGAATTAGCTGAACGCAGTTGCTGGCTGGTCGGTCGCGAGCGTATGGTGGTAGACTTCCCACTTGACCATCCCAGTTGTTCGAAGCAGCATGCAGTGCTACAATTCCGATTTGTCGAAAAGCGCAACGAATACGGTGATCGAATTGGCAAAGTCAAGCCTTATCTTATTGATCTTGAGAGTGCAAATGGCTCGAGCATTAACGGGGACACCATCCCCGGTGGTCGCTACGTGGAAGTTATGGATAAGGATGTAATTCGCTTTGGCCTAAGCTCGCGCGAATACGTCCTCATGCTGCCTCCCAGCTGAAGATTGATGCTTTCAGCTTTGTTTAAAGCATTGAAGCGTTACAGGCCACAAGAGATTGATGAACAGAATACAACAATAATATTACAATTCGGATCACAAGTGATGCAAGCTTAACAACAGTCTTTGCAGGCAGACAAGATCGAAGCCTTTCATCAATGTGATGCTTGATCTCCTTGGCCTATCCTTCAACCTGGCCTATCGCCTAGTATTTTGTCTTTTCATTGGCTTCGTTCAATGCTTCTTCTGCCTTGATCTTGCCCTTGTCCGCATACCCGGCCGCCTCGCCCTTCAACTCTTCACCCTTTCCCTTTGCTTGGCCAACGGCACCCTTAGCTTCACCTAGTGCTTCTGCTGCCTTGCCCTTGCTCTTGCCTGTATATTCGGCCGCCTCGCCCTTGACCTCTCCTCCCTTTTCCTTCACTGAGCCAACGACATCTTTAACCTTGTGGGTGACTTTCTCTGTTGGCGAAAGTCACGTTAGCATCAGTATCTCATTTGTGAGATTACATTGAACACGTACCACCCGTATTAATGCCCTTGACTGCTGCATCAGCAACGGTCCGATCGACCTTCTTTAGTGTCTCCTTTGTCAAATCAATAGGTCCCTTGTTGCATGGGGCTGTAGCTGAGATGCAGCGAATTGCTTGGAAGCTAGGTGTGGTCTGTGTCGCCACCCGGGTTCTCAAGAGAGGAGCGAAGCGTGCTGCGGACATGGATTTGAACATGATTGATGTAGTGTGGTAAGGGCGTGGTAGAAAGATTCCGATAAATTGGGCAATTGGAGTGTGATTGAAGAAATATTTTATGGATTTCCCCAGATTAATGTAGAATACCTTGTTTAAATAGGGAGCTTTAAAATGTATCATACTTGGTTTTACTTGGTCGCCTCCGGGTAGTTGGTTTGTGGCGACGTCATGAGTATGTAGCCCACCCTTACGTCGATTGATAGTCAGTCTGGCCAAGGTAAGGTTGTTCCCCAATCACGTTATTCCATTGGCAGGTCACGGGACTTGTACATGCCCAAATCCGGTTTTGAATATGTCATTTTTGGTGTCATTTGTTTTCTGGCTGGTAAACGCACGTCGTTAGATGAGGGGATAGTGGCTAACAAGCAGATATAGGTAAAGCTCAAGTTCCTACTAGAGAACAAGCGAAGACTGCCTATAAAACCATAGAGATTGAAGCTATGCATAGTTCAGTAGGTAGTATGTCAAGAGCAACTGCCTCTACCATTCTAAAATTACGAGAAAAGAATGTCGGCGACTCAAAACAGGTTTTATTTTCATCACCACCACCTTCGGAAAATCACCACATTCTATCTACAAAGTAAGAGCCAGCTGTCTATCTGGGTTATATGTAGGTATCTTTTTCAATATAACATGGACCAACATAGGACTTGAGCTCAAAGGATATTTCGTGTTGTCTACAGTGGGATTTTGTAGATCACATTTCCCCTAACCTAGCTCAAAATATTCTCCAAGAATATGTACGGCCGTGACTCTTAATATAATGTGAGGACTAGAAATTAGGGGTAGGAGCTACACTGCGATCTTTGAGATACTCCGATATATATGACCGAAGTCGCAGTTGGGTTATTTCTGTATCCCCGAGGCAGGGTATCCCGGTTATATTGCGGCACGACGAGTCTTAACTCGCCATGTGACGAAATCATACTGATTGAAGATTAGTTTGTCTGTTGCCTCTAATCGAGAGATCAATTATGGGCGTAAGGAAGTCTCAATCTATGTCTTGCGTTTTCTTCATGCGATCCGCTTTTACTGTTAAACTTTCGATGAAATCTGGGAAAATTACTGTGCTTCCACGTGCTAGGATCCCTATTGGAATATTGTGCGACCAAGATAGTACACCCTAGGCTTGTCGTAAGACCCAGGGCAAACCCGACTTGGCCAAGGGTTGAAGTCTCATGATATTAAGAAATGTCGCAACCCTCGTATATATCACACTTGAATACAAGCAAAATAGGTATTGTACATGACTAAGTTAGGATTTTGCGATGCCAAGATTATTCTATAGTGAGAGTGTTTCGTTATGGATTACTAGTTTCATCACAGAATGTAGGGTAAACCCAAATTGGAAAGTGTCTGACCTCGGGAGGTGTCGACATAACCGATCTAATCTAGTAGTCGCCTGTAACAAATCAGATTTGAATTACACCCAGGTTCAAAAGAGTTAACTTGCTTTGTCCCACCTGAATAGATAACAAAGTATACACCGCAGTGCGACCCTGGGATCTAAGCCGTTGGCAAAGCTGTTACCAAGTACATGAAGTATAGGAAGTAGAAGATATGAAAGTGATATACAAAATGGGATTGCATACATATTAATTTCCACATTATCGAGTAGCGCCTAGATCTGGTGGAAGCTTGGCGACCCAGTAAATAAAGCTTGAATTGGATCAAGCTCCCGGGCTTAGCGCATCTACCAGGGCTGAAACCGATCATCTATATGCCCAGATCCTTCAATTTACACTCTAGAAATATAGTTAGAGCATCCAACTCGCAGATATCTCGCAGCCAACTCGCAGATAGCTCGCAGATAGCTCGTAGATAGCTCGTAGATATGTAGTAGATATAACAAACTTGTGGTGAGAAGTGCGATATACAGGATAGTTTGCATATGTTAAAAGAATGGTGGTATAAACATCTGTCCCTGGACCTTAACGTATAAAGTCTCCTAGTACATAGCGATCTAAAGCAAATATAAAGTCAACTTCTTCCAATCGGGGGGAAACCACCTAACTTTCCTTTCCTGGGCTTCATGTCAGCGGTGGTTCTTTCCCAGAGGTTTAAAGTTTTCTTCCTTTTCACCTCGTCTGCTCCTTCCATCTCTTCTTTCTCTCTTTCAACCAACATAATTTCATCAAAACACGCTCTGTTTTGTTTTGGTTTTTGTTTTTCTTTTTCACTACTCTTGAATACATTTCTACTGGATCGCCCTTCAGAGTACAAAACACTAGAAATGGAGTCCGCAGAACACACTAGTCAGGCTAATCTCGCTAAGAAAGAGGAGAAGTCTTTGACCGGCGATATTTTCCCTGAGCAGGAAAAGGTAGTCGTCCAAACTGCACCGGCTGAGCTCAACGCCGAGCACGCAGGCCAGCCCACCACACCTGAGGGAACCGAACACCCAAAAGGTCCCACACTGGCTTTGATTACACTGGCATTGTGCTTAGGCGTATTCTTGGTGGCTCTTGGTAAGTTTACACTTGTTTTTGCCCTATACCTTGGGAGTTGAGTCCAGGGCTCAGATAACGAATATTCTCCAATTTTACAGACAACAGCATCATTGCCACAGCGATTCCGAAGATTACCAGCCAATTCCACAGCCTTGATGATGTTGGATGGTATGGAAGTGGTATGTCAAAGGCCGATGCGACCTAGGTTAACGACGTGAACTGAGCATATTGTTTACTTTTATTTCAGCATACCTCCTTACTACGGCTTCCCTTCAGCTACTTTTCGGGAAGTTTTACACTTTCTTCAACATCAAATGGACCTTCCTCGTCGCCATTGGCTTGTTCGAGCTGGGGAGTCTGATCTGCGGCGTGGCTAACAGCAGTCTGACGCTTATCATGGGCCGTGCCATTGCTGGAATTGGGTCTGCTGGAATTTTCTCAGGCTCGCTCATCATGGTGGCTCACTCAGTGGCCTTGGAAAAACGCCCATTATACAATGGCCTTATCAGTAGCATGTTCGGCATTTCGTCCGTGGCTGGACCTCTGCTTGGTGGGGCTTTCACCGACAAAGCGACATGGCGGTGGTGTTTTTACATCAATCTTCCCATCGGAGCTGTCACTATCTTGGTAATTGCAATCTTTTTCCCTGCCCCCAATCACCATATCAAAGAAACGACATGGGCGGAGCGCATTAAAAAATTTGACCCGGTGGGTTCAGCTCTTTTCCTCCCTGCCATTGTCTGCTTGTTGCTAGCTCTGCAGTGGGGTGGCACCATCTATGCCTGGAATAGCTGGCGCGTCATTCTGCTGTTTTGCCTTTTTGCTGTTCTGATTCTCTTGTTTTTGCTTGTCCAGTACAGACAGCAAGACAACGCTACGGTGCCACCACGCATTTTCTTCCAGCGCACTATTTGCTCCGCTGCCCTTTACAGTTTCTGCCTCGGCGCTGCCTTCCTATCTTCTGTGTACTTCTTACCCATCTGGTTCCAAGCCATAAAAAATGCCAGTCCCGTGAGCTCAGGGATCATGAATCTGCCGATGCTGATTTCTGTTGTGGTTGCTTCTGTTGTATCGGGATTCATCATCACCCTCATCGGTTACTACACACCCTTCATGATTTTCGGTTCAGTCCTTCTCGCTATCGGCTACGGTCTCATGAGCATGTTCCACGTGGACACATCCAAAGGCGTTTGGGTCGGCTATCAGATACTTGCTGGCGTTGGCGTTGGTGCTGGTATGCAGCAATCTATGATTGCTGCCCAAGTTGTTCTTGATATTTCTGATATACCCAGCGGCACATCTATCATCGTCTTCACCCAGACTCTTGGCGGTGCGCTTTTTATTTCTATTGGAAACAATGTTTTCAGAAACAAGCTGGTTGAGTATCTCGCAAAGAACCTCCCCAACCTGGATCCAGCTTTGATTCTCAACACCGGTGTCACTGGCCTCCGCAGTGTTGTCGACAAGACTGACCTACCCGCAGTCCTCCTTGCTTACAATGACGCACTTACTCAAACTTTCATTGTCAGTGCAGCTGTGGCCTCTGTCAGCATGATCGGTGCTTTGGGTGTGGAGTGGAAGAGTGTCAAGGGCAAGGATCTTGCCCCGGGAGGAGCCGCATGATTTTTCATGAGCAACCTCTTCGTCCCAATTTGTCAACTCTAAGTTAGGGCCCCGAACTCTTAAAGAGGAAGGTCACAGTTTAATGGCATGTATGTAGCAGAAAAATCGAAAAAGTTATTCTACTATTCCATTTCATGTAACTCATTTCATTGAGGTATCAAATGCCAATTCTCCTTATCGGATGCATGTGAAATACTGATAACCCTAAACTGCCACTGGACCGCGGGACTGTGGCAGCTAACCCAAGATGTCTTAGCGTCTTGTTAACCCCAGATAAGCAGCGGAGAACATCGAGTTTCAGGTTGACTTCACAATATCTTATGATCCCATGGGACATTCCACTCCATGAAATGCCGACCAAGCGACGGATTTTGTCCTGCCAGCCGTGCCGACGGCTGAAGACACGATGCGAGGTTCTTCCAGGTTCGAGGCAATGCGCTCGGTGCATCTCTCTCAGGTAGGTAGCCTAATAAACTTCCATTATTTATTGAGGATGGTTATGGGGTTAATCGGATATCAAATAGGCTTGAATGCTCTCTTCCATCCACATCTGCTATCACCAGCCCAGATTCAGGATCTATTGGTAGACCAGAGAGGACGTCTACCCAGCCTATTGAATGCCATTGCGCAAACCGGTATTTATAATTTTGTCTGTATAAACCGAGGCTCTTTTTACTGACTAATGTCTACTAGGCTTGACGCTCTGGAAACCTCACTCTCTGAAATGAAAGAATTGTTAAAATCTCACCTTCTCGGCAATGACCGGCCAATGATAAGAGATTTTGCGAATCAAATGCACGGAACAAGCAGCAATTTAAACCCGAGAAAAGATATCGATAGCCAAGCCACGAGGCATGTGCCATCGGAGACCGATATATCGGCAACCACCGACATCCAACCAGCACCAATCGCAGTGGTGCGCCACGTTGGAAGTCTAATCACCGAGCGGGTGACAACTGGGGAAAACGACTCGCTTCGGGGAAATATGACCCAGATGGGCTTGGATTCAGACAACTTCGCCAGTGTTTTCAAGCATGGCTTCGACCAGATATCATCATGGTACCCATTCCCACATGAAACTCATACGGATCTAAAGCAGAACCATCCTCTGCTATTTGCCATGTGTCTACTAGCAGGTATTCGGGCAACGGCTGGTCTAAACCGCACAAACTTGCACATAACCCTTCATACATTGGTCAAGTCTCACTTGGGCATGAAGACTCTAGAGACGCCCGTTGATATCTCTACCATACATGCCATGCTTATTTTCAGTGCTTGGAGCTTTGGACCACTTGTGCCAGGTGGTAAGTATATCGACAGCTGGCTGATGAGCAGCACGACTATCACCCACTGCATGCTCAGCTTCCCTCTATCTGAGCTTGTGTCTCTCGTAGGATTGTACGATGAAACCAATCGGAACATGTGCAGGATGTGGATTCAGGCGTCGCTGGTGCATCTAAAGTACGTACTTCCAAGCTACAGTGGTAAGCCCACTTCTAAATATGGACATAAAAGCTGACTAGGTTCCAAGATTTGCAATCGGCACCGGTCGGCCATCAGTGGTTCCATGCGAACGTCTTCATCAGTGGACGGAGATTGTCAAGTACCCCGGGTTTGAAGCGTTCGATCACATCATTGCAGCAGAGCTCAAGCTCTATATTCACCTGTACGAAGCTATCTACCACACCGTCAGCTCCGTGCCAGAGGCCTGGGAAATGGTCAATAGATGGGGACGCAAATACCTTGGAGGTGAGCAAGTTAATCTAAGCGCGCTGGTGGAGGTATTACTATGCTGACTTTTAAACACAGAAGGCACCGATGTACTAAGATGGGCGCACTCTTGCGCGTCTCTCATACTATCTCGCTGGGAACTGGCAAAGCATAATCAAACCACGTCTCCCGACTCGCTGATGCGCAATGAGCGTACCAATGAGCTGACCGAAACGGTGATTCGCCATGCTCAGCTGGTAGTGAGAGAGATTCTTATCCTCTCCACCGCTGATAATGCGTTTGTTAGACCAACATACGACTACCTGCTTACCGCATACGCGGGCATTACCCTAGCGGAGTACTGCTCGAGTATATCGGATGTGCACGCAACATATACGTTGATGGAGGATGTACGGACGCAGGCTAGGATCCCTAGGAGTATTGAGGGGGTATTTAGTTGGGCAACGAATGTTGTACAGAAGAAGGCAAAGGACTTTTTGGATTTGAAAGCGGCAGTAGTTCCCGAGGACACCTTTTATTCATATCCAGGCTCGGTCGCAGACTGGGCGCCGTTTCGGTTTATTGACTCAATGCCCGCTTCTGACTGGGAGGCGATGAATGGGCCTATGCAACAATTTTAAAATCTATGAATCGCGTTGTCTGTTATTTGACTGTAATTTGAATTGAAATACATGTCTCCTCGAGTACTAGTCCTTATCTTCAAGAAGAAATAGGCTTTCCGTGTGCGAGTTCAAGTCGGTTTCGATGCCACTAGACGCGAAGGTTAGGCATATGCAATACCGAAAAAGTATAGAATGGGGGTGGAAGTTACCTTTCCACAAGAGATAGCCTCATAAAGCGCAGGATGAGTCTCGTCAATACACGAAGGCACAACCTTACAAACTGAATCGGGATTGAAACCCAGGAAGAAAGGCATCGAGTACCTGGAGGTAGGCTGGCGATTATAAACCCTGTGCACTGTAGACTTGAACTTATTATTCGAAAGACGCTGGAGGAAATCGCCAATATTGACCACCAGCGTGCCAGCAATAGGCCGGGCATCGAGCCACTCATCGCTGGCCGACAGGACCTGCAAACCGCCAGACATATCCTGCCACAGAAGAGTGACACACTGGATATCAGTATGCGAGCCGATGCCGACGTCAACATCCCCGTTGTTTTCCTCGAGCGCATCGGCTGGGGTAGCGGGATAGTGTACGTAAAGCCCGTCTGCGCCGGGGTTCGTGGTCACAGAGTCAAAATAGTCTTCCGGCATGCCTAGAGCAAGCGCGAAGATACGGATTATCTTGCGTGCGAGCATGAGGCGGTGCTGGTAAAATTTAATAGTTGTTTCCTGGAACCCAGGGAGATGGCTTGTTGTCTCCCATGCGAAGTCATCTTCGGTGGATAGTGTGTCCGCGTTGGGGACAGTTGGATCGTTCCTGGGATTGTAGCGCAGAGAAAATGTCTCTTTGCGATCTGGGAACGTTTTTTGTTAGTCATCCGCGATATGACAGGGATATGCCTGCCTTGGTGGGGGTGGGAGGGAGAAGTGTTTACCCCTGGTTTCGGTTTTGTTAATTTGGGTAGTTCCGAGCCCATGCCATCCATCTGCATTCTTTTGCGTCTTGCTTGATGCTAGTTGTTTCTTTTCGATTGGCTGGTCGAAGAAAGCTTGTGCTTGAGATAGCGCATTCTGAATAAGCTCTTCTGAGATCCCGTGGTTTTTGATGTAGAAAAAACCCGTGCTCTCGGCCGCCGCCCTGACTTTGGACGCGATGGACTTTCTCGCTTCTAGATCCCTGTCGATAGAGGCGAGATCTATGACCGGGATCTCATCATCGGTTGGTGGGCGCGGAGGAGCAGTTGATACCCGGCGGAATTCTGGCCCGCTCAGTGTCAGGAGTTCGACTTGGGTATATTCGACCAGGGTTGCCATTGTTAATTCGAGATATAACCAATACCAAGTCGAGGATGCTCGTGAATTTATCCACGTTTTCTCCCCCGCAATGCGTTCGGAAGATTATTGAGGTCAAATCCACCGGGGACCGTCGGACAAGTGTCGGACGGCAATCGCCGGCCTATCTACGCCCACATGCATGGGGGGAATGATAAGCCAAGATAGACTTACATTTGTTACATTTGCTTTTTATTCTCGTGAGGAGATAGCATCGGCTTCCCGATTATGGGTGTTTTGTAGGCTGCCAGTGGACAGTTCAGAGTTAACTCCTTATCAGTCAATTGGCCATTTTAGAAGCCCTAAACAGCATATATCCTACACGTACTTCTCCATCCTTTTCCCCCTTTGTTCAAGTTTCAGAATTTGCCACTAAGATCATCACTCTTATTCGACCCATCTTTACCATCTTATTCTTTTACTCCACACTATACCCCACCAACCCAATCCACAATCTCCATCATGTCCAAACTATCACGGCTCCATGAGCTCTTAATAGTGAAAAGAACTGCAAGAGATGGACTCGATCGCCCCGTTGATATGCTTGACAATGACTCTATCCGACCGACACCAGTAAAAGAGCGAACATGGTCCCAACTCACCTATATCATGTTCTGGTTCTCTGCGACTGCGAACGTCAGCAATCTATACACAGCTTCCACGGGAATGTCCATGGGACTGACTATGTGGGAAGCGATCGGGTGCTCCTTCGCAGGCCAGATTCTTGCCGGTGTGTTGATGGCTATCAACGGACGTGGTGGTGCTATGTACCGCATTCCCTTCCCCGTTCTTTGTCGCGCCAGCTTTGGACATTGGGGAGCATTATGGCCGACTTTTAATCGTGCGGCCATGTCAATTGTATGGAACGGTGTGAATTCCGTTCAGGGAGGGCAATGTTTATAGTGAGCTTTCGTTCTTTGGAACCTCCAAGAGTGTGATTATTGACCTTTGTTTCTAGTGTCTTCCTCCATGCTATATTCCCTTCCATTGAAAATATCCCGGATAAGATGGGATCCAAGTCGGCTTTGACCTCAGCACAAATGATGTGTTTCTTCGTCTATTGGTACAGTGACTAGTATCTGAATACTAGATCTGTTGCTAACCAATCTCGACAGGTTTATCAATTGCGCATTCTTGATAGTGCCGGTACCGAAAATGAAGGGCCTGGTCTATGCCAAAGTCGTGGTCTATTTCGGCGCAGCCTTTGCTATGCTGGGATGGACTGTGAGCCTGGCCGGTGGCTCTCTGAAGTCAATTAATGCACCCTCAGAGATTAAGGGCACCGAGAAAAGTTATCTTATTTTCAAGTTTTTGTTCTTGGGACTTGCAAGTTGCGGAACTTTCATTTCCAACGCGTCTGATCTCCAGCGATATGCTACAAAGCCTAATGATGTCCTCATCGGCCAGTTTGTCAGCTTCCCATTGTCGAACTTTTTAGTTGCTATTCTCGGCAACCTCATCGCATCAGCTAGCAAAGAAATCTTCGGAGAGGTTTGTTATATCAAAAGCCTTGCTTGAAATTTGAACTGACGGAAATTCTCTAGCTTATCTGGAACCCTCTGCAATTCTTGGATAAATTGATGGAAGGAGAGCGGTACACCTCTGGCAACCGCACGGCCTGTGCCTTTATTGCTCTGGCATTCGTTTATTCAACTGTCTTTTCTGCCATTTTCGAGAACTCTATCCCGTAAGAATCCTATTTTCACACATTGATAATCCGAATACTAACAATCATCAGTGCGGGTAACGACATTGCAGCTCTGCTACCACGATACATTTCAGTCAAACGAGGATTCTTCATCTGCGCCGGTAAGAGAAGAAGAAAAACTTCAATCCCGCTTGCCTCAACCTAAAGCTAACAAATCCACTAGTCCTCTCCTACGCCATCTGCCCCTGGTATCTCCTCGCATCAGCCTCAATCTTCATCACATTCCTCTCCTCCTACCAAATCTTCCTATCAGCAATCACCGGAATTCTGATCTGCGACTACTACGTTATCCGCCGAGGACTACTCAACATTCCGGCCCTCTATGTCACGAAACCAAGTCCGTACCGATACTTCCACGGATTTAACTGGCGCGCATTCTTGGCCTATGTTATTGCTATTGCGCCGAACTTCTACGGTTTCCTTTTCCAGATGGGTGTCAAGGCACCTCTAGGTATCCAGCGATTCTACTATATCGCTTACCCTACCGGTCTGATAATCGCATTTGGCGTTTATTACTTGTCATGTTTGGCTTCCGCCCCGCCTGATATGAAGAAGGCATCTGGATGGATGGAGCCCAAGGACTTTGTGGAAGATGATGATGTCGTTGGGAGTGATGGGTATACCATCGATGCAGTTGATCCTGGTTACGCGGAGAAGGGGGCTGTTGCGGTTACTCGAACAACTCATGGTGAAAAGAGTTCATTTTAATGAGATATGTCTCGTTGGTCGTTTTTAGAGATGCTCATGTTGCAAAAGGAAGCATGATTAATATTTGGGTGCTATAGCTTAATCTCTACCACTGTTGTCTATAGATATAGAATTTGAGACATTTCATTTTCATCTAACTCGGTTTGTTTAGCACAGTAGTTATGGATGGAGTGAATAGGTACTAAATTTTGAAATTGATAGAGTCTGTATGCCGAATCATCATTTATATGCATAATTTATCATTCATTGATTGCTACTAAACGCGTTTTTTGCAAAATTGAGTTGAGGGTTTCGGTTACCATCGCGGCAACTGGCAGGTGGTAGAAATATATTAGTAATACACCCGCTCCACTTCCCGAAGGCCCGAGGTCTCTCCCGACCTCAAGATGTACGTGCATGCACCCCGCCTTACTCTCCCTCTTCCTTATTCTCCTAACAGTCAATAATCCCGTTACATATTCGCCCCACTACTCATGGCTGGTTCTATCATACAAGAACAGCATTGCGCTAAGAGTCGTCCTTCTTCACCTTTACCTTGGGTCAAGGAGAGACGAAAATACCAAAATGCAAGGGCACAACGTCGACGTCGTCAGTAAACCACGATTCATGTCGCCACCAGCTCGCCATCGATTGACCGCTTATTGATTGACGAATACTAATATGCTTCTGCCATGCATTTCTAGGAGCTAAAAAAATGGGGCTGCTTGCACATAATTTCCCGATAGGGTCCCATAGAAGGCCCGACCACACAGACGAACCATCCTCCGAACTAGCCGTGGAAGAAATGGGAGAGATCTTCCCAGAATACCGACTTCCCTCGACGATATGCGGCACCGGCTTTTCCAATGAGCATATGACCAAGTCATCTTCTGCCAGCTGGGACATGTTGTTACACTCTTTGGCAACAGACTCAGAACGCGCAAATGTGGCTTCCATCATGGCAGCTGAAAATCTAGGGTTTAGAGATATTATCAAATACGGGATAATTCTTATGGGCTCAGCCATTGACTCGGAGTCTTTCGAGCGTGCCCTGTGCGCTCCTTTGAAGTCCTGGACGGAGTACCTTGCCGAAACTTTGGGCGATCTGGATATCGGAGCTGTATGCAGCGTCGGAATGCGTTTCTTAGCAAGTCTACAGGGACCAGCCGATGACCCTTTCAAAATTTCTCGTTCCCTGACTCGCACTCGTCAATTGTTGGATCCGCCCGTCCACTCTACCTTCCCCACCACCCCATGGCTGACGTTCGCACCTGCCTGCGTGATCAATGCGCATCTTCTATCAATTCCTCTTGCGGATATCATGAACCCCAATACCCGATCCTCTTTCTCGTGTGTCTCATCTCCCGTGGTGCTTGCTTCGAGCCTTTCACCAACCTGGGAGCAGCTCACGATCCCACATTATCGTTATATCGATACGCTGCCATGGCCGTCCGTAAGGTCACGGCTTATCATATCCTTGCACAGTAACCCTCCCATGATTGACCACGGTGAGTTCGCCAACGATTTGGTAAACAATGGCGTCCGGTGTTGGATCTCATCCCCCGGCTCCTGGCCTGGAGCAGATGCCCCATGGCACGCTCGGTGCTGGGAAGTTATGCCGTGGTTCTCCGATCGATGGCGGCTTATCTTTCAAAGTTATATCATCGATGCGAACCCGTTGTATCGATACCAAGAGTCATAAAGTATCTACTGCGTTATGAACATATGTATTGAGACATGATGGATAATAATTGTAGGCATAGCATTTAGTTAACTTGGAATAAACCTGCCTGGAATCACAGCCTTCTAGTGACTATGTAAATTATACAAAATTTCATATATGTATATACCAGTACTCCGTAGTTTGGACTATATTGTTCGAGCAATTGATTGGTGTTACTTTACGACTTTCTTTACAAGTTTTGGAAGCAATTGATTACCCTAATCATAATGCACATCGCTTTCTTGATGCATAAATACCAATACGGAGTATATTTTATCACACTCATGTGAATCCGCCTGGTATGGGATTTCTCGCATGCAATTGTATGATGCATTATGCCGAATAGCCCAAGAGATGCCAAGCCTACCGTGTCAGCATTAGAGTTTATTGTGGATCTAGCACCCGCACCCCCACATTCTAACCTTGGTTCGGACCTAGGTACTTTACCTATACAACGTACGGTACTGCACGGGAGTAGGTAAGCTGATGATCCTAACAAACTTTGAATTGTGCTCGACTGCATTATTCCCAGGTTGAAGATGTGTGCTCCTGGAGTTAACACCGGACTTTGCGGGAACTTGAGATTCCGGGACTCCGGTACTGTTAACAGCCGATCATCACAGCCGACGCCCAAATGTATGGTAGACATGTGCATACATAAAACATTATATTTTAGGTATGTAGAAGTATATAATGTCTTGCTAATTGCACTTCCACTTAGCTAGGTGTTTCCAAAAATCATCACTCTTTTTTCATAATACTTTAGTCCCTGGGAATGCCTTTTGGAACTCTCTCCGTCAGCGCCAATGCGGTGCCTCAATTTGCTCCTCCATACACGTTGGATACTCAGCACTTCAGTGATGTTACCCTCCTCAAGATTTCCTACCGTGTCACCTCCGCGAGCATTCGTCATTTGGTGCCAGATGTACTCGAGCTGGAAGATGAGCCATTGGTCTCTGCCATGCTAGTCGACTATGGCATGAGCACTGTCGGCGCATATAAAGAGTATGTCCACTCTGTCGATGTGAATTATAAAGGCAAAGCCTTCACATATTGTCTCTCTTTGATCCTGAACAACGAATCTGCCATCTTCTGCGGCCGTGAGCAATACGGCTATCCTAAGCGTTTCGGGCAGGTTTCCCTCAATATAGACACTGGCTCACACATCTTACGGGGCCATGTCGAGAGACCAGTGGGACAAATGCTTGCCAACTTTAATTTCGCACCCTCGACTCTCCTTCCCGCTGTATCTCAGACTATCCCGGGATTGAACCTTCGCGTAATCCCCTCGCCACTGGCAAATCACCCGCCATCGGTTAAGGAGCTGGTGCCTGCGATCATGGATATCACACCGAAGGAAGTTTGGCTTGGGTCTGGATCTGTCTCCTTCCCGGAACCTTCCGTCTTTGATCCTATGCATGAACTGGAAATTCTCCGTTACGAGCCAGCTGTGCTGATCCGTGGAGCAAGCTGTGTGCTAAACATGCCTACTGAGATTTTTCAATTGTAAATAATGATTAATCAACACATAGATTCAATCAAACTATGTCAATTGTAAATACATATTGGACGTGGCAAGAAACTGCTGTCCCTCTACAGCGCCGGTGTATCGGCAAAGATATTGCCCATCAGACTATATAAGTGGTCAGTGAAGAGCGCCAAACATCGACAATAATGGAAGGCCACTTACAAAGTAGGGTACCGATCGCCAGGAATTTCCGTTCGCTCTACCAAGTCGCGGATATCCTGCACCTCCTTGTCTGTCAGCTCCAGCAGAGCAGCCGCAGTATTTTCATCGACTCTCTTGGGAGACCTGGTTCCCGGAATGGGGAAAATATCGGGTCCCTGGGCAAGTAGCCACGCGATAGCAACCTGTGCAGGGGTAGTCTGATGCGCCTGAGCCACAACCTTCAGGCCGTTGACCAACTCCAAGATCTTAGGGAAGTTCTGCTCGGAGTACTTAGGTGCCATGCTACGGAAGTCACCCTCGGGGATATCAGCGGAAGACTGAATCTCTCCAGTCAGGATTCCACGGCCGATGGGGCTGTACGCTACAACCGCGATACCCAACTCACGGCAGGTCTTCAAGATATTGACAGTAGGTGACTCGATGTCCAGTGCAAAGGCACTGTACTCCACTTGGTATGCGGTAATGGGGTGGACAGCGTGGGCTCGACGGAGAGTTGCTGCTGAAACTTCAGACAAGCCGAGGTACCGGATCTTTCCTTGGCTGTATAGTCAATCCGTTAGTGATAGGCTAATTTAGTTAGATTAGAGAAGTGGGGAACGGAGGAGTGAAGGGAGGGGTGGAGGGGCATTGTCTTACTTTTTCAACTCCACCATAGCTTCGACAGTCTTCTCAATAGGCGTCACACCATCCGCACGATGGCAGTAGTACAAGTCAATGGTATCAATACCAAGACTCGCAAGACTTTTCGCACAAGCTTGCTTGACATATTCGGGATCAGAGCGGACAGACATGCCCACCTTCGGGTCGCGCTGGAGAGCGAACTTAGAGGCGAGGAAAATGTCGTCACGCTTGCCAGAGCGCTTGAACCATTCGCCAACGATGGCTTCACTTTCGCCATACAGATCGGCAGTATCCCAAAACCTCTGTCCAGTGGCATGTGCATGCTCCAGCAAAGCGACGGTCTCGTCAAGGGATCCTGCTGGACCGTAGGCTCCACCAATGCTCATCAGGCCAAAGCCAACGGCAGGTACCATAGGGCCGTTGCGGCCGAGGGGTCGAATGGGAATCGACATTGTTGCGTGGAGATTGTAAGATCTATATTCAGAGCAAAGTGTGAATGAACTGAAAAACAAATTACCCTTGGGATGATGGTGCTCTTTAAATATGTTCCCATGGATGGAATTAAGGGACTAGACTAATATGATAATGCCGGCATTGGTTGAATTACAGTTTATGAGCACAATTACAAGATACAAACCATCGGAGTTAAGAACGGACTTAGCCAGATATTGGAATCCACCTTGACGCACCATGATCGGCCAGCTGTGACTTCCGATGCAGGTCAATAGCCCCTCGGTCCTTTTGTGATCTGTACTCACGAAAAAAAAAACAAGAAATCTGCTGACCGGTACCGATCAATTTTTTTTAAAAAAAAAGCCTGTCTATATGGCGCCCAAACCGAAGTAGCATACATAGGTGTTCAGGTAGTAAAAGTTGAGGGTGGAAGTAGTAAAATTATATTCTCTCGATGTATACAGAGACTGATTTCTGCCAAAGAAAGATCGGGGGAAAACATAGCTGCTATAGATTTCGTGTGACCGGAACGCGTGGTCCATGACCGGCCTGTGTAAAGTATGGAAACATGTTTTGTATGTTGTTGCTCTACCTCGGAACTTATGTTCTGTCGTACTTGTGGAAGATGACCCAAAAGATGCAAGTAACCACAAACATGATCCCTGTCACCACACCCCAGCTAACGACCAGTAGGGGATTGTGGGATAACGGAGTGAGAGCAATTCCGAGAATCGAACCAATTGCAGTCATAAGCGCATATATGGACTGAATCACACTCTTCATATCCTTCGGGGCCTGCTTATAGGCATATTCACTCCCCGTAACGAATGCAAAGATCTCCGCTAGGGCGACCAGTACGTACATCGGTACAGTGACGAATATATTCACATGGTTAGGAAGTCTATGATTATAGGCTTCACACTCTGTCGGATACTGATAACAAGGTCCTGCATGATAAATCATCACCTGTACAGCGGTTCCGTATGCAAGGGCTAGCGTCATGAATAATAATCCCACGGTGATGCGGGACATTGGCTTAAACTGGATTTTCCGTCTCTCCAAGGCTGGATATAATAATTTCTGGATCGCTATACCGAGAATAACAAGTGCGATTGCATTACTTGTTTTGATAGCGTCGTTGGGGATGCCCATTGTTTGCATCTGGGCAGCTTGGGATATGCCGTTGCTAGAGGCTTGGCCAACACAGAGCCAAAGGGCTGGCCAAGCACAGCTGATTTTGGGGGTCATGAGTCAGACAGGATATTTCACTTTTGCAGAGACACCATGAAGATAGTAGGATAGGCAAGGAAGGACACACCAGACTTTAACGGCCTTGAAGCCTGAGCAAATCCCAGCGTGGAACTCCTCGGTCCATGGTACGGTCCTGTTATAAATTGCTTTTTGATATGCCGGAGAGGACGTCTTTAGTTTGAACCCATTTTTGATCGAACAGCCCACCACTTTGCATGCAGTTGGGAGCACTGTTCCTGAGGACGGGGCTTGCACTGCAGCCATGAATGGATTAGATCTATTGAAGGGACTTTCCTTAAGGGTATGCACTATTCAGAGCAAAATACTTACCAAATGCCTTGTCACCAATTTGCAGTAGAATGACTGAGAGCAACATGCAGGTGAAAGATACAATGTATGCTGCCCAGAAGCCAACCTTCTCCTCCAAGACGGTGGTGGCGATACTGCTTAGAGAGCCTGCATTGAGCATCCTGTAGTAGCTAAAATTAGATGCAGCCTAATATAGCATGTGGAGTTTCGTAAAATCACCAGAAGTAGACGCTATAGATGTATGTAATTGTTTGATCTCGGGTGATTACCACCAGTTCGCCCTTTTCCGTGACTTTGATCCGAGATCGGACCTCATCATACTGGTCCGCTGTTACTGTAGTCAATAAACATGACAGAGGATTCTCATGAACCAAGATAACAGTAGTAGAGAACCCTACCGATAAAAGGAACAATAGTCGATTGACACCCACCAAGTCCAATCGCGATTAATACTAGCCCGGTGATGAATCCGCCGGGTCCAGCGCCTGCTTCCATAGCTGGGGGAATAGATGTGAAGAGCATGATTGCGAGACCAATCAGATAAATACTATATTCCGAGAGGAAAACCACCGGGTTAGAGGTAAGCGATGGAAAGACTGTCGAATAACGTACCCAGTTGCCCATTTAATCATCTTATATTTTCCCCACCACCCATCGGCAATGGCACCAGTGAGCATGGGCAGAATATATACAATGGTCGTGAAAGCATAATTGATCCTCGTCGCCATTGCCTCGCCGAGGCCAAGTACTCCTGGGATTCTGTCGTTGGGTCCATATTGGATTGAGTTTTCTACACTCCGTATTTTCAGATGTAAGCGATCTTTCCAATTCAAGATTCAAGGAGATGCAAGTTACTCACGGAACGTAGCCTGCACACCATAATAGCTGAATCGTTCGGCAGCAGCAATCAAGCAAGCCAGCCACACTCGCCCAGGCAATTTGTCCGCCACATTCGGAAGGGTTTGCACCTCCTCGAGCGTAGCCTCACGGAGTTGTCCATCGGGGCTTTCTCCCGTGACGGGATGCGCCTGCAATTCTGTCTTCATGGCGTGATAGTCAGCAAGTAGATAGAAAACACAGACGATATGAGAATACAGAGCAGGAAACGGGGCATTTGAATAGATATAAAATAAATACATTATTCTTGAGGATCCTTGTTCTCCGATACTCATCAGATCGGAATCTAATCTCAGTCTCATAGATCGGGATCTGGTAGTAGGCCAATGATAACGCCGGATAGACCATTAGATGCGGAGTCCGGAGTTCACCCACCGAAATTATGTGGTGTTTTCGGAGTTCTTTTCTGCGGTAATTACATTGCTGCATCTTGGTTCGTTGGCTGGTGTTTATAAAAGTCCACTTGTTCCGGATCATAATTACGGATCAATACCACTATCAGCATGATGTGTACAAATTGAATATTCTTGCCCTATAGGCCCTTTGAATATAAATTTCCAACACTACCCGGTTCTTGGTGTGGTGACCTTACCCCCTTTCGCTTCGTAGGCTCTCACCGCTTTTAAGGGTAGGTCTCTGCGTAGTAGGTCATTTAAAGCGGAACTAAACCACTCATCCCTGGATCTTTCGACCCGCAAGCCCAACGGGTTATATCCTTTTTGACCTCCTTTTCTTTCCTTACCCAATTTCTTCCATCAAAATGTCGCCAAATTCGAAACCCGACATATTCACATACGCTGATTTTGACCTCCAAGCTCTGTGCCGTCAAGCGAGCGCGCTGCGGCAGGGCGTTTTATGTGCCTGTGACCGCGATCAACGTCCCGCCTCGGGAAGTTTTAACTGGGCTATCTTTATTTTGTTTGAAGATAGGGTACGATGGGTCTTTAGATCTGTATACACTAGAACGTTTATACCAATAGAAATAGGAATAAAGCTACTAGCAAGTGAAGCTGCTACGCTCCGATACCTCGGGGCTTATAGCGATATTCCAGTTCCAGAAGTATACCACTATTGGTAACGAAATCTCCTAGACCGCAAGCTTCTAGTACTAATATATCACAGTGCTTTATCTGATAATGATATCGGTATTCCGTTTATTTTTATGAGTGAGGCGCCTGGTAGGCCACTCTCAAAATTTTGGAGATCAGCCGGTTCTCCTAGCAAAGCCAAGATTCTCTCCCAGTTAGGCGGTATTACCTAGAAGCTTTTACAGTTACGATTTGATAAAATAAGCTCACTCTTTGAAGATGAATTCTTCAAGATCAAGGAATATCTCTCACGTGGTTATATATTATATAGACGATATTCTTTAGAGATCCCACGAGGACCTTTTACTTCCGAGGCGGAGTTCTATAACAGCCTTGTTTCTGCGTTCTTAGAGTATACAGAAATTTCGCAGTTATTATATTATTGCTTTGTGGTACCCGTTCCTTCGCGGGACGACTATCAATCCAGTATATAATATAAGAGCGCTGTAGACCTATAGAACGACTTTGTAACTGTTAGAGGTAAGACCGACTCGTCGGACAACAGATTGGATTATATTATCGCAGGCGACGCTCTCCGCGATATTATACGGAAACTTAAACTCCTAACTGTCAATTCGGAGACTTTTCCGTTGTACTACCCTGATCTGAGTGTCAATAATATATATATTAATGATAATTATAATATCACCTGTGTTATCGACTAGGTATTCGCTTGATCTATTCCTAAATCAATACTTTTAATTATACTAGGATTACCACAATACCACAACGAAATTAGTTCGGAGTTATATATACCTTCTATAGATAGCTTTATTTCTGCTATACCTAGGTCGATAGACGAGACGTCAATCCACAGATATTACGATTCCCTAGAGCGGAGCTAAGTCTCTTGGAGATTAAGCCAACTCCTCAGTCTAGACTCAATTAGTGATTACACCCTCTTTGCTACAGTTTGGTACTTTGCCTATAGACCTAAATAGGACCTAGGCTATCACTTCTTACGACAGTGGAGTTCGCCTCACTATATCCGGCTTTATAACGAAGTTCAACAGGAGGATCAGCCACTTTCGAAAATTCAAAAGTATAAACAAGCTTATTTTCGAAACAAAGATCTTAGAGAGACAATAGCTAAGAAGCTAACGCTTATATCCGAATGGAAAATGTGGTTTACTACCAATCATACGCCGAGACTTCGGAAAGATATATTTATCGCTTCTCCTAAGTTATGGAAGTGGATTCAACAATTTGTGCAGGACTAGGAAGATATATCTTGACGAGTCTACACCGGACATCAAAGTATCAAGCCAATACGCTCAACTAAGACATCCCACGGATCATTGGTCTCATTATGTTTCACATTCTCAAAATTAGATTGCACATCAAACATTGTTTGGGGGAAATACCCTCACGATAGTACCAGACTGCGGCACCAGCGATATAGAATTCTCTCTTTTCCGCGCTAGTTGGTGGAGTTGGAATCTCTGGTGAGGTCGGTGGGTGGGGACGGACTTTTTTTAGGCATACCTAGTGTTCAAATACCGTGATTCTTTCCTAGGTTCTAGTTCCCACGAGCACGGTGCCACATTTATATTGTCGATTTTTCGCACTCGCCTCTCACAAAAATTTTTCCCACATAATATGGGCGCTTAACGGCGAGGCATCAGGTAGTTGGCGGCACTCGATGAAATTAACAGTCTTTAACAGACCTGAAAAAACAAACATTTTTAACATCATGCCAACTGAATGATTTACCTTTGACCCAAGAGAATATATTTCCAGTTAAGCTTCAACTAATTCTAATTGAGCTCTCGTAAAACATCCTGCGTACTCTGCAGGATCTCTTCTGTTCTGGCAAAACGGGATCTGAGCCCATGCGCCAATTCAGGCGCCTGTTCCGCCTCCGAGACTTGACCTTCGACTGTAACAACCGCATGGAAATCTCTCACCATACTCTCTATCTGCTCGCTTATGCTGGTTTCCAAATCATTGAAACAGTCAGTCACAACTTCCGTGTACTCGCTGTGGGCTAAGTTAGAGAATTTGACAAACAGCCTCGAATGCGTCAGATGGTCATTCATGAGATTTTTCCGGCGGAGGTCACTTCCAGTTCCTAGACGATGTGGTTAATATAACGATGCACAAAGGTAATAATCTTCATGATTGTTTAACCAACCTCGCTCTTGGTTGATGGCGGCATAAGCGGGTCGCATCAGGCCTGAGATAAACGAGCTGGCATGGCCATACAGCATGTCCCGCTTTGTGAGTCTAGCAAAACAGTTAGAATCCAGATTGCGATTATCAATCTCCCGGACGTCATACTCAAATCTTTCAATAATCTTCTGGAAAGAGTCTCGGATATGATCCTCAATGCACTCTTGCCTGGACCTCATGCTTTGTTGCAGGTTTTCGAGGGCGTAGGGCGCAAGTTCAATATGCGCTACAGAAAGCTGTCAGAAGGCCATGTTTCTACAGGAAAGCATGCAACAAAAGCAATAGTCTAAACCAAGGAATACTTACCCTCGATCTCTGCTCGCAATCTTTCAAAAGTAAGGCGGGTTTCTCCCACCAATGTCCCCATCTGGGCTTGTAGCCAATCCAGTATGTTCTCCCATTGCAGATCTAGCCCATCACGAGCTGGCTGGACTAGCTCATTATTCCAGCAACGATAAGGCTGCTTTCCGGTTGAGTATTCCCCAAATTTGCGACAGAAGGCAGTATAAGTGCCATGGGCCCACTGTCAATATAATCAGAATTGTATTGTGTAGCTGGGGGCTCTTTTTAGGGAAACTCACCCCTTCCCATTGCAGGCTGATTTGAATACTCTCGGCTTTCCAGCGACGTCGAGAATTTTCTAGTGGAATTCATTAGAGCTGAGACCAAAGCCATTGCACGAAGTAGCTCACGAATAACTTCAGTAATGGATGCACTGAATAAATCATCTAACGCCTGACGCGCGATCCGAACATGTGATCGAGAAGAAATAAATTCCTATTGACTATCAGAAATATTTCTGCCTTTAGAAAATTGGTTAGGGACTTGAGGTACCCTCCTGGGTCAGACATACCCGGCGAAGAGCCTCTCGTGCGTTTTCCAAAACACGTCGCAGGATAGCGGATCTTTCAGCCGTAACCGAATCCGTTCCCGACAATGCCCACTGACGTATAGATCCCAACAAAGCTGGCACTTGGTGTTCCAGGAACGCGGATGTTGAACGCATTTGACTTTCTGCGGGTACCAATTGGCAGTAACGGCGCAGCTCGCGAATTCCTGAAAGATCAACGTATGCATCCGCCTGGGTCTTCCCACCAGAGCGGTATTTGGAGTAGAGCGTATTACTGATAGAAAAAACTCTGATATCTGCGTGCCTTCTAATAAGTTCTTGTGATACTAGGGAATTTCGCCGATTGATGAGAAAATTTTCAATGCTGGTTCATGAATTAGCACCAACATATACCGTGATCTCATGGATCCGTAACCCACCGGAAATTCAACTCGCCCTCCTTTTCTCTGCTATATATTCAGCGAATGGGATCATTGCACCTTGAAATCAAGAACTTACCGTAGATCATATCCCTTGAGCGCGAGTTCTGCTCGTCTTGCTCCGCGCGCTTTTCGTAGACGCAACTCAGCCTGTTGAATTTGTTTCTGAATAGCCTGGATATCTGTGTTCATTCGCCTTACCTGAAGAGCATCTGGTGTGTTTCCACGCGCAGATTCTTCGGGCGATATAACCTAGGGAGACAGGTCAGTAAGCAACTTCCAGATTGAAAGTCATTGTTCATACCTCCGACTTTGATAAAATCACTCGCCGCGGTTGGCTAGGTCTGCACCTTCGCATGACGTCTTGTATTGATGGATTTGTACTAGCGCGAGCGATATCCGCCACGACAAAGACTTCGTCACAACTATGAGCAAGGTACCGTTCGGTCGCTCGTACCCTCGCAAAGTTAAGATCGCTGAACCCTAATGTTGGTGAGTTGAAAGCAAACCCTAGTGTGGGAATGGGATCCTCGGCGCATACCAGGTAGATCAGCCAATATTAATCCGGTTTTTAAAATCGGGGAACTGAGATATACCCTGCAAAGGTATTAGATACGAGTCGTCCATTGAAGAACTTTGCACAAACCTGATCAATTTGACAAATGGCCATAGTGCAGGTTTACCATCACCCATGCTACTGGCAGTCAACAGGTCAAGGGTGTCTTTGCATTCTTTGAGGTTACCAGCAATCGCAGAGTACTCAAGCGCATCAGACCCGCCAGGTCGCAGTGCTAACCCGGCATACGCCCATCGCTCTAACTCCGCAAGAAGGGTTGATTCAGCCCCATCAGAGTCATCGGAAAGAAACTCCATCGTCAATCTTGGTTGGTTGCTGAACAAAGATTGAAATGTTTCCCAGGCTCTATCAGCCGAATCGCGGCACTTGTGCTGTTCTTCCTGCGATTTCAGCTCCTGGAAGGAAGAAGTGATATGGAAGTCACGGAAGCTCGAGAGAAGCTCCTCCAGCAGCTCTTTCATTTCTTGCGTAGTCATAAATTGCGCTTCAATAGTGAAAGGCCCGGTGTGATTGATATCCACGTGTCGGAATTCAGTCACAACGCAGGTGCAAGCCGCGCCCTCGCCACTCTGCGGTTGAGTCTCAATAAGCATGCACTACCAAAAGAACCAAATAGAACAGTGGGACATACTGAACGTGCCAGACTCTGCTGATCAAGTAAAGAGTTTATCAAAGAGCTTTTGCCTGCCCGAAATTTAGAAACCGAAGCCACACATCCAAGACTAAGGGGAAATCATACCAACCCCGGAGTCTCCGATGAATCCTACGGTCCGACTTTCTGGATACTCAAACATGCTCATTCTTTTCGTCCGCTCATATAAAGAATACAAATCAGTAGACTGGTCTTGGTTCAGCCCAGATAGTCCCATCATGTCGGCCAGACCAGCTAGCTGCGCTTTCACTTCTTTCAGACCAGCCTGAAGCCGACGATTATAGACTGGGGCGGCAGGGAGTGGCTCTTCACGAATATCACTGGTCATGTTCTCAGTATCTTCCTCCATGTCGCTGTATTGATCGCTTTCTGTTCCACCCTCACTGTCTGTAACGTTACCCGAGGCATGACTTTCGCCACGGCCACTTTGGGATACATAGGCTCCAGGGATGTGCACTCTATCTGTACCATCATCTGAGGATATGGAATCGGCCCTCTCCTCCCTAGCATCAGTATATGAACTGGCTTGGGTTGTGCTGGACAATATGGACCCATTTCTCGCGGAGTTTCGGCTGCCACGAGAGCGGGTTACGAGGTTCCGCCTCGGACTCGGAGTGGCATTATGCTGCTGTGCATATGTAGAAGGTGAGCTACCTGGGCTCAGCCATGCAGTTGGCGACCTAGCTCGAGGAGTAGTCATCTGGCCCGCGGAATCGTTGAGGGTCAAGTTTTGAAAGAGCAGAGGGGCTGGTCTCGGAGATTGTGGGGTTGACGCAGCACTCGCTTCGTCACTGCGGTCTCGAGATGACGATGAAGCCGTGAAGACCACCGTAGACAGTGAGCCTGCTGAAAAGGTAAATTCAGAAGATGGCACGCTCATAATGGGATGTTACTTGTGGGAGGTGTCGAAGCATAGGTTTGGACCCATGATTTGTAAAAAAGAGAGCCTAAAACCGAACCTACAACATAAGGCAATGAAAATTGTCCATTAGGGAAGATCAACCCTTATCTTGAAACATTGGGGCGATGGGGCCGTGGCGCTATTTGCTGCAAGTAGCTGCGCCGCATTGCAGCGCTCCATTTCAACTCCCCGCTCGCGGCACTTATGCTGAACTATTTTGTCGCTTGGCGACGTGATTATCGTGTTAGTTCGCAATATTTGTTGCTAGACCTAGAATTTGCGCATAGTATGTGTCTTGGCTGGCTTGAGAAGCGTTGCACGAATGGCAACTTTAGGGCTCCATTTGTCCCTGATCAGTTAGTGTAGCGCGCGCATTTTAATCCCTGCCACAAAAAGGCGCGATGTCATGCAGCTACTTTGAATAGCCAATGGAAAAGTCCTTGAGACGGAAATAAATCGTACTTTTGCCATGAAAAACATGCTAATTCCGGACGAAATTGGGGGTTCTTAGGGTACCCCTCATATGATGGATGCCAAAAAAATCGAGTGTGGTGTGGCCAAATGGAAATATTTTTATCTGACCCTAGTGAAGACTGTGGAAAGCGTTATCATTGATGCGCCCGTTAAGCTTACGAGGTGGGCATCCTATGAGAACTGATCTGAATGTTAACTGACCTTGGTGTGTCGTGTGTCGTGTGTGGGGAAAGGCGGGTAGCTGAGACAGGCAGATGAGAGACGTGTTTATGCGGATTCCAGCTCAGGGAGACTAAACTTTAGACGCCTATTTTATAATAGTTCATCACAGCATACCTGAAGGTAAAAATTGTGTGGACGGGCTATCTGCTTCACCAAGCCCATACATTTAAATCAATCACCGAGACAGTAATACACCTCCAGGGCTTCCAGGGCCATCGGAAGATGACTCAGCAGGGCTGATAAAAAAATCCATGAAAAGCTTCAAAACTAACGATTTCCCGGGATGAGAAATCCTCATAGAGATTTTGGTGAGAAAATTGACTATCAATATTTCGCATGACTTACAATCGCCCCCTGCCCATTTCCGGAGTGTGGGAACACCCTGATGCTTATATTGAGGCCCTGCTCTGCTTCTCTACTACGTCGGTGCTCTTCATGAATTTATGCGGTGGCGTGCATATGGTTGACTTTCTGATCCGGGAGCCCGATCTTTATACAACAATCCTGCCAAAAGATTGGATATCTTTCTTTGAACAGCATGATATTCAAAATATCATCCATCTACTCCTACGAGAGGACATCGAGCACTTACGAGGCGCCGGCGGGCCTTCCATAGATCAAAGCAGCCGTACTTGGAATGGAGGAGCGTTTCCTCCACAGAGTCTGTTAGACTATATATTCAACATCCGTCAACTGTCACTCCAACGAGAAATGTGTATCTCATCTTCGAAGCGGATCGAATTACCAAAGCAAGTTGCTATGCATATGAACCGAAAAAAAGTACACGAGGTTGAATGCTTTTCTCAACATGTCGCATCTTTATCAGACGCTGTCAATAAGCGCCGCGGTGAGCCAGTCACTCATATTGTGGACTTTGGGTCTGGACAGAACTATCTTGGACGGACACTGGCTAGCCCGCCTTACTATAAGCATATCATCGCAATTGAGCGCAAGCATCAGTACATTAGCGGTGCCAAGAGTATGGATGTTCGAGCCAAGTTGGCAAAGAACCCGAATGCTCAATATGTTCACAAGAACAAAAGTCCTTGCGATGGTTACAACGGAGCTCCAGAAGTGACTGTGTTTGAAACGACGGATACCTCCCAACCGATGACAGAAGGCTCGCAGGTCTCAGATGTCCCTTTTTTCGAGATGCTGGGTAAAATTAGCCTTCAACCTGACGAGCTACTTGGATCCCCCACACAAAGCCCATTGCGAGAAAAGCTGCCGAAGCCAGAGATCCATACCCGCGGTACTCTCAGTTATATCGAGCATGAAATCCAAGATGGATACTTAGAGCCCGTTATCGACCACATCATCCATCCATCCCCTGCTGCAACTTCGGATGGGAAAGAAAAAGAAGAGAGCGATGCTAGATTGATGGTCGTTTCTCTTCACTCTTGCGGAAACCTTGTTCACCACGGTCTACGGTCCCTGATCCTAAACCCTTCAATTGTGGCTGTTGCTATGATCGGTTGCTGCTACAATTTGTTGACGGAACGCCTCGGTCCAAACACACATGACCTCCCTATTCTTCAATCCCTCCACCCTCGACTGAAAGAAACTGGAACATCATATGATCCGCACGGATTCCCCATGTCTAAATACTACGAGAATTTCCGAAGTCCCGGAGCAACGACAGGCATGAAGCTTAACATCACAGCTCGTGCACTGGCCGTGCAGGCTCCATACAATTGGGGCGTCAGTGACAGTGAAGTTTCCTTTACCCGTCACTTCTTCCGTGCTCTTCTTCAGCGTATTCTCGTTGATCGAAACGTCCTTCCTAAGCCCTCTGCGCTAGAAGATAACTTCTCTGATGGAACTTGCTCAGAAGCTAAAACCAACTCTATTATTCTCGGAGCATTGCCGAAAGCCTCTTTCAAGTCCTTTACTGCATATGTTCGTGCTGCAACGATCAAGATGAGTCGAGACCCGATTTATGGTTCCAAGGTGCAGGAGCATATTGCTACCCTGACTGATGAGGAGATTGACTGCTACGAGGCTCAGTACCTCCACACGAGGAAACATATGAGTGTTGTGTGGAGCTTAATGGCGTTCAGTGCGCAGCTCGTCGAGGCTATCATTGTCGTGGATCGATGGCAATTCCTTCGGGAACAGGACTCGGTCAAAGACTGTTGGGTTCAGTCGGTGTTTGACTACAGTGAGAGCCCGCGTAACCTGGCGGTCATTGGACTAAAAAAGTGATAAGAAAAATATAAACACAATTAAGAAACTACCAATCATCGTCGACGAAAAACCCTGTCATGACCTCTTCCAATGAGGATCGCAGGACTCGAAGTATGTACATGTACGGAGTAGATCTATACTGATCTATACGACCCGCGGAAGTGGGGCATGGAGATTTATGTGATCTCGCTTATCCGCGCACAACTATACTAGTAGAACTCGGAGCAAGTATTAGAAGCTCAGAGTTCTGAATGTGAAGACCCCACTATGTAGGGTCTTAGATAGATCAATCAGAGTGAGAGGAGTTCTACGATACTACTGCGAATGCATGACACTAGTACCGCTTTTATTCAAACTGAACTCTTGTCATGCATTCGCAGTAGTATCGTAGAACTCCTCTCACTCTGATTGATCTATCTAAGACCGTATGTAGGGTCTTCACAAACCCCTTCGGTATAAGAGAGCGTTCACGTACGAACTGCTCAACTGCTACAGTGTCGATGCTAGCACCATACTAAGTTGGATATAATTCCCATATGAAATCACCACTACTTCAGATCACGGTATATTATAGCTATTCCACTGCTATCTCCGTTTACAACATCTTCCCTTACTTCGCTTGACGTATGGACTCAGCGATAATAACCCTGGAAGCTCACTCGCATTCCGTTATAGGTACTATGTGTCCGAGGACTACCCGTTTGTTCCCGAGGTACCCACCAAATACCTATTCAGGATGCGGCTGATCAACCTTGCAATCATCTAGCCTATTAATAGATTATTAGAGACAACACACCACATTATTTCGACCTATGAATACTTAAATAATTTCTAGTTCATAGCCCTTCAGCGTTTTCTCGATAAGGTCGTCATTCAATCATTGAGCGCTATCTCTTAGAGCCACCCGATCTTGTTTTCTTTTCTAGTGGTTAAAGACACCTACGACTAACCTACGACCCAGTCACCCCAACACACCCCCTCAGGCACAAACCCTGAAAATTTCTGTCATCAATTTTAGCAGAAATTATGTGTCGGAGCTAGTAATTATAACATTGATTCACCTAATTTCGGCTGTATAATCTTATGAAATGCCAAAAAAAAAAGAGCTATTTCCTTCAATTAGAATCAAATCTGACATCTAGAGAGAGTCCGGGCTATGCTGCTCCGTATTAGGTATCGCTTTGACATTCTTACATGCAAGTCCGCCTCCTGGTGTGCTTTGTCCCTCTCTAGAACTACTACAACATTCCGTATCTCTTTCCTTCACTTCACGTACGGATTCAGCGATAATAAGCTCACTCGCCTTCTCCTATCGAAAATACCTATTTTTTCCGTAGGTATCTCGTTTGATTGTGTAACCTATCTCTTTCCTCCCCGATAGATTATCGGGTCGTTGCACTTCTACGAGATGGAATCCAGCCATTACGTTGAAATGACAGGAAGACCACACTCAGCCTCGATATCGAGTGTACATTCCCATGGCCACTTCATCGAAGGCCTCTTTGTAGAGAGCGAAAACAATCCCAACGGAGAGGGACAGTCACTAAGACCTCTAATGGAGACAGGTCCCGACCCGGCACTCGGGCCACTAGCTGAATCTATTGAAAACGAAGAAGAGGAAAACAAACCGACGAAAGACATATCCTATACACCTATTTCACACTGCTTTATCTGGGAAGGTCTAGCACTAGTTATCTCACTTGTATTGCTGATAACCATCACTATTGTCTTGTCTCAGTTCGACGGCCGCCCGCAGCCTACCTGGAATTACGTATCGCTGAACTCTTTGATCTCCTGGTTGAGCACTATTTCCAAGGGATGTGTTCTATTTGCCACCAGCGAGGCATTGGGACAATTAAAATGGGTTTGGTTTACTCAAAAGACCCGTTCGCTGCCTGATCTAGGCACTTTTGATAGAGCCACTCGAGGCTTCTATGGCAGTGCAGAGCTGATCTGGAGTCTCCGAGCGAAGTAGTTTGGCCATAATCCCATGCTTTTATCAAAAAACTAATTATATAGACACTTCGCAGTTTTGGGCAGTCTGGCAGTTATCCTCGCTCTCGCCATCGACCCCTTCACTCAAAATTTGATCCACTACTACTCCAACCTGGTCACTGATGTCTCGCAAATCGCAACTGTATCGACAAGCTTTGTTTACGACGTGACCGGTTTAACGATTCACCCTGGCGCCGGTCTGTTCAATTTAACGCGTCTCATCTGAACCTCCACTGACTGGGCCCATAGCATGGTACGTGGACCCAATATTCAAGGCCAATATCTACAATTCACTACTCAACAACGACAAAACAAAACCCTGGTCTATCCCACAGTATACTTGTGGCACTGGCAACTGCACCTGGGATCCAATTGCTGCACTAGAACTGAGCTCGAGCTGTACGAACGTTACAGATCAGCTGAAGTTTGTTTGCTATGACGATAAAGAATTTATTTCTAAATTTGGAGCGCCGAACTGCTCTGTCAATCTTTTGGGCAGCACTACCTCGGCGAGCTTTGTGTTGAATCAATCACACGGCTACCCAGTCTCTGTGGCATATGTCAAATCAAATAATGCCTTGGCATATAAGAGTACAAACCACTATACCACCCAAATGATCGCTCCAGATGGGCTGCTTCTAGAAGGCCCATTTGAGCTGGGGAGGACCAAATGGCAGGCAATGGAATGCGCCCTGATGCCCACCGTTCGAAGCTTCCGCACAAGCGTCACGAATGGCATCTACCATGAAGAGACCCTAGCTATCTGGAAGAACCTCACACCCATACTTCAAGGCTCTGATTACTCTTTCAATCCACCGTGGAGACCAAACATGGGAATAGAGCATAACCAGAGCTTTTTATTAAGCGTACTGTCCATCCAAGCGATGGAAGGCTTCTTCAAAAATATATTCACTGGCCGCGCGGAACTCACTTCCCAATACGGTATGATATTTTCTTCTTACGGCGGCGGTTCTTATGCTGGTACCGATATCATTCAGGCCATTTCACATGACAACATTACCGGTTGCAATGTCAACACTGCCGAGAAACTTGGATGTGTCATGGAAAATGTCGCTGCGGCAGCGTCCAAGACTTTTCGCGACTCGGCGGCTACTGACGATGGCCCAGGAAACGGCACGATTGTTGGCCATGCAAAGTCCAGCACGACTTAAATTTCTGTGCATTGGCAGTGGATTGCTCTCCCGGCTCTAGTGTGGCTTCTAGGTGTTGTGACACTGGTAGGTACCATGTGGAAGAGTCGACGGAGTAGCGTTCCTAGCTGGAAGAATGATGTGGTACCTTTGCTGTTCTTGCATAAAAATGGCCAGGATGAGGGAGTCTCGCTCAAAGCGAGATTATACAAAAGCGAAGATAAGATGGTGTTAGGTGAATAGCTGATATATACCTTGGTAGATTACAAGGGTATTCTTTTCTAATGTACCCATCATTATACATAGAAATTACTCTCTGTAGTTCACACATTTTCCCGCCCTTTTTTAGAAGATTTGGGTAACCTGATAATTGAACACAATTGAACAGACTTGACTTTAGGTTTCAGTTGAATTTTCAAAGATAGCCAAACCTGTAAGAGACTCCGAAGGGATTTTAATTCTCTGTGCGGGACTGAAGAATGAACGGAAACGTATGTACAGACACTAGTCAAAAGTATCTTCCCACTCCATTTTTCGGCTACCCCCATCAAATATATATATCTGCATTGTACAGCACTACACAACCATATAATAAGCTAATTTAATTCAGTAAAAAACATATTAATAATTGATAACCGCACAATTGAATTCTCGCTTAATATTTTGTATAATACCCCTTCGCCCTACGCACTGCTGCCAAACGTCTCCCTATACTCAATATTAATCTATCAATCTTCACCTGCGGAATCGCCTCCCAGGCCTTGACTAGGCACTCTTTAAAATACTGCCAGTCAGATAGGCTTCTTCCTATCTCAATAAGCTCTGGAAAGAGCCTAAAAAGGGTCAATTTTAACCACCGCTATACCGGTTCAATTGGGTTTAAATCAGGTGAGTGTGGAGGCCAATCCTCGACGTAAATCCTATGCGTTTTAAACCACTCCTGTGTCTCCTTTGCTGTATAAATCCTTGCGTTATCTTGCTGAAAGGTAGTTTGGGGGGTATAGAAAGGGACTAGACCTTTTTCAAGCGCTAATATATATGACTTTGCAGTATAACCTCTCCCAGAAGGTGAATCTTTATCCCGCTCTATAATTATTAACGGTGTACGACCTCTAACCCAGATTCCACCCCAAACCATCTGTGAGATATCTTTTATATAGGCCTTAATATTTATTAGATCACGGCGGAAGCCCTCTGGCTGAAAACGGAAGTACTATTGTGGTCTAACATTCGAGGTTCGTTGCACCGAACACTCGTCCGAAAAGATCTACCTCTGAAAGCTTTCGCGCTGCCATTTTTGAGTATATCGAAGGCGCTTCCTAGTAAGGGCCTTTCCAATTGGTATCTTCCTTTTTGTAAGATACTTTGAGAGGCCAAATTGCTTAAAGATTCGCTGTATAGTTGAGTTTGATAGGTGTTCAGGTACTGTCGAACTAAGCTGTTTATAGGTCCAAAACGGGTGCCGGCGGGCCTGAAGATATAGGTAATAGCAAGATCGACGGCTTAGGATTTGGGGACGGCCCTTTCGGGGGAGGGATTTGATAGATTGGTACTCTTCGAAGCGCTTAAGTGTATTGTAAATAGTCCTGCGGCTGTAACCAAAATCATTAGCTAGTTTTGACTGCGAAATCCCATTCTTATGGCCAAATATAATAGCTGACCTTTGTACCGGGCTTAATTCAGCCAATTTTGTAGGCCTAGAGCCTATTTGCATTTGGATTTGATGACTTGGGGGGTTGTAGGAAGAAAAATAAAATGGTGGGTGGTTGTTGGGGTGATTATAGTGGGGCAAAGTGGGAAGATACTTTTGAACCCCTATGTATGCTTGGTCGGTGGTAAGTTTGGATTACTATTAATCTATCGAATCACTTCCAAGCGCGGGATCAGGACTAGTACCCATGACAACCGAGGTTACCCTTTGCTCCAATTAATACCTATCATAGTATCTAAATTCACCAGCAGCGCGAGAGTCTTTTCTGAACTGGCTAGACCATGATGTACTCCATGCTTTCAAATGAGGTAGAGGTCCATAGCCCTAGGCCAACTTATATCTAAATGTCTTCCTCAACAACTCCCCCATAGCTCGAACCTGTTCTCTTCCTTGAATTCCGCTGTCAGCTATCCTCCCTACCACTAGAAAATAAGCCACAAAGGGCCACTTTCCCTCGACCTCAGGGTCGGGGATCACTTCTCCAACCTCCAGAAAGACTGCATGCTCAGGGACGTAGCTCATAATGCTATCAGGAAGTGGCTCCGCACCTCTGAAGATTCCACCACGATCGGCCGGAATGAAGACAATATGAGAGGGATAACGAGCAGGTTCCGAAATTGGATGACTCAAAGTGAGAATAGCGTCTTTGAACGCCTTTCCATTGTCTGTACCCATTTCTGATGGGGGCGGTGCAGTTGCTAGCAGCATATGCAGTGCAAAATAGTCAATGCCGTAGGTATATTCAACAGCGAATGATTCCTGGTGGCCAGGGAGCCTTGGATTGATTTCGATTAGAAAGACGCTTGGATCACCAATAGGCAGCTCAACGGCATAATCCGCTAGCTCTATGCCTTGCGCGGTGTTCATATACATCTTCTTGCTGTTCTTAACTCGGGCTTCGAGGTGATAAACCCCGTTTCGGAACCCCATTTTCAGCAGAGTTTGAGTCAGAGAAGATTTGAGAAGGGTTATCTCCGATTCGGGTAAAATTGACGGCATTATGGTGGAAAGTTCCGCAAACGACATGGAAGATGATACTGGGGAGGATATCTCCGCCGAAGATGGGAAATCGTCGTTGATCTCGCTCCATATTAAGTTCCCATCCAGAATGACAAAGTTGGCATCCACCTCTGGCCCCGAGACGTACGGTTCGACCAGAGCATTTGTCCCAGGGAATTTCTCGAGGTTGCGCTGCACGGCATTACGAAGGTCTGCTTCACAGGTTACCTTGCTGACACCGTCCGAGGCGCAACCGGTTGTTGGTTTGACGATCAGAGGGAACTCCAAAGGTGACGAGAGATTGCTCAACTGGTCATCCAAATCGGATATGGTTGTGATAGAAAGCACTTGCTCGGTGGAAGATGCCACTGACCGTGTTTTGTATTTGTCACGGCACATTTCAAGAGCTTCAGGTGGGTTCGTCGGCAGCCCCATCCTCCTAGCTGCTTGACCTGTGGCTAAGATGTGGGTATCTGTATACGTAGTAATACCATCGATTTGGCCTTTACTAGTAGATAATGCTGCCACAATGCGATCTACAAGGCCTTCGTTCATCGTTAAATCACAGGGTATAAATTCATCGCGCATGGCCTTCATGGCGGGATCCTGGATCCAGTGTCCCGCATGGTCAAGAACAACCAAGTCTACCCCCAGCGCTTGCGCCGCACGGTAGATACCTTGTGAAGCAGTAGATACAGCTGGGTTGGGACGACCGTATATCATAGCAATGCGTTTTCTAGGCAACGGTTTCTCCAGGATCCAGGGAAAAGACAGCCTCGCCTCTACCTCATTTTCCAGCGTGGCAAGAGCGGATTGTGCGAGACTTTCGCTGAACCCAGGCAAGGTCTTCAGCAAGATCACGCCAGCAGCATCTTTTATAGCTTGTGGAAGGACTTCTTTAGTGTTGACATCGAATGCGGGCATGAGCTGTTGTAACGGCACGTAGTCAACTACCTTTTCAGCGAGCGAGCAAGTCAAGAATCGTCTCCTGAAAAAGTCATTGCGGACAATATAACCGCTTACTGTCGGAAGTATCAGCTTTGCAGCCGTGATTGAAGTGCCATAATCTTCAATGTTCTGTAAAATGGCATGCTCAATCAGGCTGTTTCCTGTGCCTCGTGGAACTGATCTGTTGGGAGCGGAAACATCGTATGACAATATGGATACAGGAATCAAAGTCAAATCTAGAGTGCGATATGGAGCTGTGTCATTCGGAGGGGGGTTCAATTTCCAGTAGCATTGAACGAGTCCTAGGAGGAGTCAGTACGGAGTGGAGGAACTAGAGTATGATTTATGCAAGGCAGCGATAATATGGATCTTACCCCTTTTCCCAGAGGCATCGATTTCCCACTGCAAAGAGCCGGTATGCAACGACATGTCGATGGTGAATTTTGTATAATTGAAGAGTAAGCGTCTAGATAATTTTCTTAAGGTGGGATTTGCATGTGAGTATGTATATACATTCATATGTATGAATGTATATATGTAGTAGTTACTCATACCGTCATGTAATTTCAGTGTAATCCTACAATTTTACAATACAGTACACTCTCTCCCTTGCTGACCTGTCCATGGGTGGAGCCCGAGGTGCCTCCGTAGTCAGCAACTCCACCTGAAGCCCCGGGGCTCCGTCGGCCCCACAGTGGGCCGTGTGTTAGTCGCGTACATGTATTTTATTTACTTATCCTGTTAGGGGGCCATTCGCGCGTCTCTTTCAGGTTCTCTTCTCCACCCAAGATGCCACTACGCCTGACCAGCCCGCAGCTTCGCGCTCTTTCCACAAAGTTTGACAAATTCGACCTCTATGGGGGCCGGCCCATCCCCGCCAATAAGCAGCGGTTGATCCCTACCTCGGGGAGCTACCCAAAGGGCTTCAATGTGGGCAGCACTCGCGCTGGCATTAAGCCTGCCGGTAATACTCAGCCAGACCTACTTATTGTTGCCTCAGATACCCCAGCATCAGGCGCCGCGGTCTTGACCAAGAATGAATTTTGTGCTGCTTCTGTGACGGTCACCCGCGAGCTTATGCGCCGTACCAATGGTGCTGGGCTGCGAGGCGTCATTGCGAATTCTGGATGTGCCAATACTCTTACCGGCCAGGTGGGACTTGATGATGCGACTGCCATGGGCCGCGAAGCTGCAAAATGTATACCCAAAGGAACGGCCGATGATGGATCATCTCTGATGGTTATGCATACGGGCGCAGGTGCCCAACGGTAAGCTCGCTATTTCTATATTCCAAATTTTAATCCCAAAGAGGCACACTGACCGACTGAATAGACTGCCGATCCACAATATCCTGCATCATATACCTGAATTGACTCAAAAGATGGGAAATACACATGATCACTGGCTCGAGGCCGCGGTCGCCTTGAGTACAACCGACACGTATCCTAAATTACTCTCGAGGACCTTTAGTCTGCCTTCCGCACCGAAAACCAACTTTTCCCTCGCTGGTCTCACCAAAGGCGCCGGTATGGTCCACCCGAACATGGCCACCACGCTAGGAATCATTTGTACGGACGCTCCAGTGACACCAACCGCCCTACAGGTCCTCCTTCGAGGTGCTGCATCGAAGTCATACAACTGTATTTCTATCGACGGTGATACATCTACCAATGACATGGTCACCATGTTTGCCAATGGTGCAGCAGCTGCATCTTCTAGCCAGCCCGCGGTGGACGTCTCACCAGAACCTTCAGCCGACTTTGTCGCCTTGCAGCACGTTCTCAGCGGGTTCATGTCTGACATGGCCAAGCTGGTTGTGCGAGATGCCGAGGGTGCCTCGAAATTCATTACTATTCGGGTGCGTGGATCGACATCTTATGATGCGGCTCATCATATTGCGTCAGTGATCGCGCGCTCTGTGCTCTGGAAGACGGGAATCTATGGACGAGATCCGAATTGGCATGGAATTTTGGCTGCACTCGGATATTCCCTTCTCGACACCTCGTTTGCCGGGCAGGGTATCATCATCCCTGAGCAGACATCGGTTAGTTTCATGGATGGCTCTGAGGCCGTCAAATTTTTGGATCGCGGGGTACCGGTGCCCGTTGACGGGGCAAAGATAAAACAAATCATGGACAAAGAAGACCTAGAGACTATCGTAGACTTGCGGTATAATGCTTCGCAAGAAATCACCCCCGAGGAGGCAGTTTATTGGACGTGCGACATGACGCATGATTTTATTTCAATGAACTCGGGAGTTGAAATTAGATAGATAAAATCTGACATGAAATTTCTATTGAGTGATTAAACTACATACGAAACATCGTGGAATCACCGGTAATTTACCTGGCCACGGAACAAGCAACGGACACCACCCTCGCTGATTGCAGTTCGACCATGCAATGTGCCATAGTTGTCAATGATGAGCAGATCACCCACCTTCCATGGGTGCTGGTACAGATAGCGCTCCTGATAGAGCCAGGAATACAATTCATCCAAAAGTGCCACAGACTCTTCCTCAGTGGCGCCTTTCACTCGGATGTTCCAGCTGCGCTCCGTATTCTCAGGGAATGGCAACGACACGGCAAGGCAATTCCGGCCTCGCTCCAGTGTCACAGCCTGCTTGTCAAACCACTTGTCCTCCAAACTCTTCATGTGGTGACCGGTCTCGACAATCTGGTACTCAAACGTGGCATTCTCCACAGCCGAGCGCAGTAGCTCAGGCATCTCCGCCATAGCCGCAACCTGGTCCACAACTGTGGTCTCGCCACTGCCGGGCAGGTCATTGAACTCACTCGCATACAGCATCAAAAGATCGGGACGGTGGCCAACAAACAGCCCGTCCGTATGCGCTGGCAGCATGCCGCGGCCTAGAACGACATTACCCTTCTCCCGTGTCGCAGGTAGCTTCATTAGATCCGAACCGCCGGTCTGGAACTTATGTTGCACAGGCTCACCTAGCGCGCGCACAATCGAGCGGAACCCGTCTTCGGATAGGTCCAAATTGCGGACGAGCACGAAACGAGACGCGGCAGAGTTTTCCAGAATCGTCTTGACCAGCACAGCGCGTGATGCGTCGTCGGTTGCGCCAGTACCGTCCAATACCAGACCAGCACCGGATGGTGTAAGGGTGCCGGTTGACACCGCGAGTCCAGTTGTCGGCTTGGGCGCACCAGGATACTTTGGGATCAAGTCGTCGACACTAGCGAAAGGGTCTTGTAGTAAACGAGCGGTGATATCCTTGAACGCATCGCTGTAAGCGGCGACCTTGCGATCGCGACCACCAAAAGTGGAGTCCAAGCCTCCCTGTAGTCCACCACCGAGGTGGATGCCAATCTTCTGGCGCCAGGCTGTTGTCTGTGGGACATATGGCTCCATTGCGGCGCGGAAGTAGGCCTTCTCCCGACCATCGCGGATCTTGAGTGAAGGTTCAATGTCCAGAGCGGTGCGCACAACTTCTGGGTGCCAGTATGGATGGCTCAGCTTCTTACCCCAGAGTCGGGCGACAAAGTCAGTGAATTCGCCGCTGTGTCGGGTAATGTCGATGCCATCGATCACCTCCTGAATCAGAGCGTCTTTTTCAAGTGAGTCGGGCGGCAGGCCGAGATTGAGGAGATCATTGCCGTAGCCAGTCAGCACATGGCGCTCCTTGATGTATCCGCCACGGAGGAGCGCAGTGATGGTGAGAGCGATATCCACGCGCTCCTGCTCAGCCGTTCCGAGAGCTCTCATACTCTCTGGCGCAGCAGCCAGTAGCTGGTCCACGGTGAGGTCAATTGTAACGTGTGGGATTCCGAGGGCATTGGCTAGCTCGGCTGCCTCGGCATGCTCGTTGCCCCAAGGTGAGCCTGCGCTGTAAGCGGTGACCTTGAGACCTGAAAGCACAGCAAATGTGGTAACAGCCCCGGAGTCAATACCACCTGATAAAAGAGTAGCTACCTCAGTTTCGCCTTGAGTAAGCTCTGTCACAGCACTCTGCAAGGATGTGATGAAGGCAGACCCAGCCTGGGCATAATCGTCAATTTTCGGATTAAGGGCGGCAAGCACAACTGGATCAGCATCAACCTGTGTGCTAAAGGTCCAGCCACCTTTTCCAGCGTTTTTCAGTGAGAAAGAAGCGTGGGCAGGTAGCTGTGACACACCCAAGAAGCTAGTCGTCTCGTCGCGGTTGATGATGGTGGGATTGGCAAAGCCAACGGGCATTTTCCAAGCGGCACGAGCGATTTGCAGAGCAAAAGCATCGGTGCTCACGGCCCAGGCACGTGTGGTAGTGTTTCGCACAATATAGAGAGGGGGATCATTCATGGCACCTGTGCGCATGCGGAATTCGTCGCCTTGGATCTGGAAAGAGGTCGCCCACTCGGAGAATTCATGGGCACTGGAGCTTTCGTCTTGCCAGAAGTATGTTGCAGCATTTAGAGCGGCACCCTGACCGTATACATGAATGCCTGAGCCGTTTGTGGTCTTCAGGGTCTTTGAGAGCGATAGCACAGGCTCACTGGTGATAAGAATCCAAGATGGAGCGCCTGTTACTGGCTGCTGCTGTTGTTGATTCTTGGTGAGAATATGCTTCATATTCTCCTTGCAGTCACCGGCAGCGAATGTCGAGCGGTGGGAGCGCTTAGCCTGAGCGGCCAATGTATGTAGGCCGCTGACGAAATTGGCGTTGATATGCGGACGGGTTTGTTGAATAGCTTCCGTCGTCCAGGAGCCGATGATCTGCGCTCTTTCCAGAGCACGGGCAATCAGCGTCTTAGAAGAAACAACTTCATGTAATAGGCCATCGGCCAGCGCAGAGTTTGCACTCCATTTATCAGCTGTGAAAAGCATTTTCTGCATCACGGCTCGTCCAACAGCAGTTTCGAGCATGAACCCACCAAAGTTGCAAGCGATGCCCATGCGAAATTCAGGCATCACCAGTTGGCACGACTCAGATCCAATCCGATAATCACAGCAGAGCGCTACCTGTAGACCTAGGCCGATTGCATAACCATCAATGGCGGCGATCACAGGCTTGGAGATACCAGCGATGGTAGTGTAAAGATTGGTAACATCGTCAATCCAAAGGTCGACCTCGTCGCCGCCGTTGAAGGTGGTAGTTTCATTGAAGTCCCCACCAGCACTGAATGACCGGCCTTGCCCGCCCGTCAGAACAATGCACCCCACGCTCTTATCGACGTCAAGCTGATTAATGATTGATTCTAGGGCCCGCATCTTAGGCTGACTGAATGGGTTCTGTCGGTGTCCCTTAGAGAACTCAACCAGAGCGACTCGGTCGCTATGGGTGATCACGAATGGGTTAGATGCCTCCCCATTCGTTCCGTTGGTCTGTGAGACTGTCATTTTGGATAGCAAATAGAGAATATGGAAGGATAGAAAAATTGATGTGAAGGGTGACGTGCGCTCTTTAAGTATATTTTCTTGTGAATGGCCAGTTAACTTCTACACAATTGGTGCCATTATATCTAGGATCTCTATCTTTCATCTTCTCTCCGACAATGTACACGCTAATTGCAGATTGCAGGGACAGTGCCAGCCATACATGCAAGTACGCTAGGCCGTGAACGTGGGTTTGAAGTGATAAGCAGATAGGCATCAAGCGAGGGATCGGCCTGCACAGTCAGCTGGCTTAGTGTCTATCTACACAGTCAGCATTGGCTTTTGATTAGCTGCTACATGTGTACGGAGCAGTGTACCCATTGTTTGATGCACAAGATTACGCGTCATGTAGAGTCAATGCCCAGGAGTGCCGAGTGGAATACTTTAGAACATAAACTCGTACCTGTGTGGTAATATTTCCAAGGCAAGGGATAAAATACCAATACGTAGAGATGTATCGGAGTTACAGCATAGGTTTGGACTCGTAACTTCAGGCAGTGTGCGTGTGCAAATGTATCTATATCGTGGTGTTTACTTCATATTATGTGGAAACATTGTAAATAAGAAATGTTTTTTCTCTATATCTAGTGACATGGATTTGCCCTTCTCTACTACATTCACTCTGTTTAAAAAATTCCACACTCATTTTCAAAAAAATCTTTCCCAAATCATATTTGGAAGTTCGAGCAATGGAGAAAGTCTGGAGAGTTGGCGCAACCGTTCCCGAAGCAGTTCATGACCATGTGCATAATCGTGTCGCTCAGATGGTTTCCAGCCAACCTCAAAATCCAGCGGTCTATGCTTGGGACGGAGAGCTCTCGTATGCCGAACTGGATCGTTTAGCCAGAAAGCTAGCCGGCCAACTGACAGCCCTCGGTACCGAGCCGGGGGACATTGTTCCTCTTTTGTTCGAGAAGTCTATTTGGACCACTGTGGCTATTCTGGCTGTCGTGAAGGTCGGTGCCGGATTTGTTATCCTCGATCGGTTTCTTCCCGAATCTCGCCTTCAAATCATCGTGAAGCAGTCAGATGCAAAATATATATTGACGTCAATTTCGAATCGAGACCAAGCAGAACGCCTGTCCCCAAGTGCTCCTATTGTCGTTGGGAAATTACTAGAAGCAGATGATGATGGCCCGCTTCTACCTATCGATTATCCAGCACCACCGCCTTCATCCATTGTCTATGTCGTGTTCACATCAGGAAGCACTGGTGAACCTAAAGGATGTGTGGTCTCACACGAAAACCTGTGCTCTGCACTTCACCACCAGATACCCTGTCTGGGATACAAGCCAACATCAAGGGTGTTTGACTTTTCCTCCTACAGCTTTGATATCACCATTCACAACATGTTTGCAACCTGGTGGACTGGAGGCTGCGTTTGTATACCCAGCGACACCGATCGAACCGAGAATCTGGCAAAGACCATAGCCGACATGCAGGCGACGATAGTACATTTGACGCCGACAGTGGCTCGCCTATTGGACCCGGAGTGTGTGCCCATGCTAGAGACGCTAGTTCTGTTGGGTGAGATTATCACAGATCATGATACAAAGCCTTGGTGGGGTCGAGGGCAGCGCTTGATCAATGCCTACGGCCCAACAGAATGTACATCATACAGCGCTATCAACTACCAAGCGTCCACTTCAAGCATGCTATCTAGCATTGGGACTGGAATGGGTTCTGTTATATGGGTTGTTGATCCCCATGATCATCACATTTTGCTCCCTTGGGGTCAGACTGGAGAACTTCTGATCGAAGGGCCTATTGTTGGGCTAGGGTACCTGAACGACCCAATAAAAACTGAGGCCACATTTATAGTAGATCCGCGATGGCTAGTCAAAGGAGCCTGTGGTGTTCCAGGCAGACGTGGTCGACTTTATAAGACCGGTGACCTGGGAATGTATACAGAAGATGGTAGGATTAACATTCTGGGACGCAAAGATACCCAAGTCAAGATTCGTGGCAATAGGATTGAGCTTGGTGAGGTTGAATGCCAAGTGCAAGACTGTATGCCAGAAGTCTCACGTGTGGTGGCTGAAACGATTCGGCTCCAAGAGTCGATAAGCCACATCCTGGCTGTTTTCCTGTGCATACCAGAGTCAACACCTGTTATGGACGCTCACCTGTTCAAGATCAGCGAAGAGATTATTTCTCGTCTAGCACAAAAACTACCAGCGTACATGATACCCACGCTTTTTTTCAGTATGTCGCAACTACCTTCGACATTGACCGGAAAACTGGACCGCAAGCGTTTAAGGGAAATTGGAAGTTCCTGGTCAATCGAGAAAGTTGCACTGGCTGCCCTCGGCGAGAAAAGATCACCCCGAACAAGTGATGAGCATAAAGTTCGGAATTTATGGGTGAAGGTGCTCAACATTGATGAGAGCCTCATCGGGGTTGACGACGATTTTTTTCAACTAGGAGGCGATTCTATGTCCGCTTTACAACTCGTCGGAGCAGCCAGAAGAGCTGGGTCAGTATTGACGCTGGCCAAAATATTCCACAATCCTGTTCTTTCAGCTATGTGTAAGGTTATTACCCAAGCCCCTGTGTCAGAAGAGCCCTTAGTAGAAGCTCCTCTAGGCCTTGACCTGATTGATGAAGGCATGAAGGAGGGTCTTGCTGCTCACATTTCAGCTTCTATTGGTCTCCAAGGCTCTGATATGGCGGAGATTCTGCCCCTCACTGATATGCAAGAGTACTATATTCGTGATGGAATCGCCGAGGATCGGCAATTTGTCGATTACTATTATCTTGATCTTGGCCTAGATGTGGATATTGTTCGGCTGAAGAATAGCTGCCAGCAAATCATGGAACTGTTCCCCATTATCACGGCAACCTTTGTGCCTTACCTAGGTCGGCACTATGCTGTCATTCCTACGGCTTTGGATTTGCCCTTTCAAACGATCGATACCTTGGAGGACCTGCCAGATGCGACTGCAACTCTCTGTCTTGAAGACATCAGCAATTTTCAACGGCACCAAACCATTCTTCGCTTTGTTCTCATCCGTCATAAAACCCAAGGTATGCGACTCATTCTGCGCCTCTCTCACGCGCAGTATGACGCGATGTCCATCGGTTTCATATTCGAGGCACTAGTTGAGTTCTACAATGGCCGCCAGCCTACTGAGCGGTCCACATTCTCTAACTATATGACCCACGTCGCTCGCTGTCGGCCGAAATCAATTTCCCACTTCAAAAGAGTCTTGGACAACGCGCACTTCACGGATATGAGCCCCCAATTCCTGCAAGAGGAACTTCCAGTCACCGCTGTGCCCTACCGTATCCAGAATGAGATTGCCACCCCAAGGATAGAGGCTGGAATTACTCTTGCCTCGCTCATGAGTGCTGCTTGGGCCCTTTTCTTATCAAACATGTTGAAATGCGACGATATTGTGTTCGGACGTCTCATCAACGGTCGTAACGCGCCTCTGCCAGGCATTGAAGAGCTTGTTGGATGTTGCATCAATGTGTCTCCCGCTCGTGTATCTCTATCATCTCAGAAAGTGACCGTTAAAGAAGTGGTTCAGGATGTACAAGGCCAATTCGGAGCGCTTGGTGATGCCGACGCGTTTGGATTCGAGGAAGCGGTCCACAAATGTACGGCATGGCCGGCTGGTAGTGCGATTTTCTCCGCTACAATGCATCAAAACGTCGAGGAAGATCTTGCGTTTGAGCTGGAGGCTGGATTCACTGGCCGCTTGCGCCGTTTTGAAAATGATCGGCGCTTACCATTTTTCCTGTACATGATCTCATACCCTCGGGGTGACAGAATGGGGGTGGAGATATTTTCGCACACACGAATGGTTTCACAGGAGAAATCAAGGGTATTGCTGGATCGCTTCTGTCCGGTGGTGGAAAGGGTTGCAGAGGCCTTGAGAGAAGGGTTGTGTGTTGAAGATATAAGAATATAGGTGGTCAAATTAGGGCCAGAACGGTGAGTTATGATGTTGTACAGGAAGAATCTCGACAAGATCTCTTATGTTCAGAATGAAGGCAGACCGTTTTTTTTTTCGCTATATCTAATGTAATATCATTGCCATCATCACCATCATCACCATCACCATGTAAGCATCATTGGAAATTCACATCTGCGCCGAGACCTGCCAATGTGGAAATCATCATGTAGTTTCCCACTCGTGCCGCTCGCTGCATACTTGTTTCGCCATCTTCATCTCGTGCCTCGGGAGACGCGCCATATGATACTAACAGGGATGTTATCTCCGAAGCTATTTCACCGTGCTGCACTGGAAAATCCGCACACAGGTGCAGTGGTGTGCGTCCATGCTCGTCAAGCGCATGCACGTTGGCGCCATGCTGACACAACACTTGCACACTAGCTATATTTAAGTTCAACACCGCAATGTGTAACGGGGAGGGGCCTCTACGGCCCTGTTTTGGGATGGAGGTGTTGTTCGGAGGGTCATGCTGGCGAGGTAGGGACTCAGTCGGATGTAACTGCCGCGTCAAAGGGATAGGTGGATGAGTTTGCAATTTTTGCTCTTGATGTGCAGGCACACCTAAAGACATCGGAGGTGACGGGTACATCGCACGGGTTGGAGAGTATGGGGGTAACTCGGGCCCCGCTGATACGTGTCCGGCTGCCCCACGCCACCCTGGTGAAACAGCTCCCAGGGGTTGATTTGAGACAATAGGCGCAAAATGGCTATCTTGTATCGGGGTTTGTATCCACGCAGTATTTTCACCGGGATTGACAGGTCCGACAGACCCAGCAGGCGCCCCCGTTCCTGGAGAGACAGCCAGGTCGCATGCAAGTAGCCTGTTGTGTCCCTCCATCCAATCTGGCGGAATCAATGCATCGATTGGTGGCGATAAGGATTGCTGGGAGGCATGTATATCGGGGTGGGCAACTACCTGTGCTGGCAGACTAAATCCTTTCTGGTGCAAGAAAGTTTGAACCGCTTCTAACTCGGCGAGACGGGCCTTTAATGAAAATCCTTAGACCCAATAGATAGTTAGCGTGGTCCTTCTGAGAGGTCTCAGTCACTTAAAGGGTTTGATTATTTGGTAGAGACATACGGTGTCGACGTTGCGCTTCACGGTTCTGGATACGGCGTTTCTCAATGCTGCTCATTGTTTGGACGGACATAGGGAATGGATTTCGAGATTGCATGGCCGTGCGTCCACGGCCATCCATCTCACCTGTGCTTTTTAGTCATGTAGCGCCCACCCCTCTAGACCTTTGTCTGCAGCTAGGGCGCGGGCGACAGTTCCTCATTCAGCCCTCCGTGGGTGGCCTAGCAAGTTGCCTCGGTGTTGGTTCGGGCGGACCGTAAGCGCTACCTGGCCTAGTCGGGTTTCTGTACCATCTTTCCCATACGTTTTGCCGAGGCTAATCCCGCTAGGTCATTACCCAGATAGTACTAGTATCTATATAATATACTACTCAAGTGACGCATATCATATACATATTACCCGGCTAGATTTAATCCAGAACAAGGAGACAGCGTACATAATGAAGGACCAAATGCAAGTGCGTCATTCCGGGTTATTAGGTCCAGTCGTGATATACATATATATAGCTGCAAACTCATACCGAATCTAGGTTGATATCAAATAGGAGGTTTCTTTTTTTACTTGTTCTTGCCTCATCTTTCACTGTTGCATTGTTGGATATTTGGCTTTACTAATATTGATGTCTATATTGGACTGAGCTTTTACTACACAAACTGGCCATGCAAACATTGTAGTCACATACTCAATTTGTTACTTACAGTATTGATAATACAGTGATTTTGGCCTGTGTCGAATAGTTAAATTAAGCTAGTCTCCACAAAACCTTGTAAAACCAATATACTTTAAGTGAGGGGTCCCGTCTTAGCAATATCATCCGTGTTGTTGGATCCAATTCTCGTGCGGCTAGATCGATTGCGTGCTCGGTGTGACCACCAATTATCGTCTTTCTTTCCACGCTACGGAACTTCGACCGTGTCAAAATTACAAACCCGTCAACGCGATTACGAGACGATACGTTCACGCACCACCCGCACAATCATACCACGAATTTTACGATACAAGTGGTACACGAAATACAACATTGAAGAAGCGTATTTTCACATCCCCGTCAGAGAGATCGACATATGGAAAACTGCCTTTCGATGCAACCTAGGCACGTTCGAGTGCACACGAATCCCATTTGGACTTTCAAGTTTTGATTGAATACGTCATCAGAAGCTTCATCGGAAGAAACGCCACAGTAAACTTGCCGGATGTGGTATTTGTCGCCTTAGAAATTGAAGCTGTTAGTAGTCTCCATCTAAATTACGCAAATAATAGTGTGAAAGCCTGAAGAAGATAAGGAAGAAAGAAACAAGAAGGATTAAGGTGCATGTAACCATAGTGCTTCCCGATCTGAACCATTACAGTCAGCGTCTGTACTTGCAGTCTATCGCGCTTCTGCAACATAACTCAATAGTTGTATTTCCCCTGATACGTGATACAAACCGGTAATACAGTAGGTAGTTACAAGGAATGTAACCTCAGTTATTTCGTGGGCAACGTTTCGCTTTTACGCTTATGCTGACCTCGACGTCTTTGATATTTATAGGCTATTCAATATATTCTCAAATTTTATCGACACTCAGTGCAGGGACGGTCTGGTGGGGAAAGGTCCCAGTGTGCTTCACCATGACTGAAGAGGAGGAGCACAGCGCATCAAGGCCAGAAGAAGTCAGAATCATTCATCGCCAGCTGCACATTCCGACCGTGGAAGCTTCCTTCCTATCATTATTCAAATATGCGACCGTGAGCGATCTGGCAATTATTGCAGTTAGCACTTTGTGTGCGTTGGCTGCAGGAGCAATCATTCCGCTCCCTCCTGTAATAAATCACGCTCCCAACGTATAACCAACGGTGGCTAATGCTTTCTAGATTATTTTTGGTCGACTCTCGTACATTTTTGCAGGCCTCGATGGCGACTCATCGGCTCCCAACTCCAGTCATCTCATCAGCCACTATTCCTTATTTTTTGTGTACATTGCCATTGGAGCTTTGGTAGTTTGGTTTGTCTCGATTGCAGGGTTCAGCTACACAGGATCCCGCGTGGCATCCCAAATCAAAGTACGCTACATGGAATCCATTCTACGCCAAAATATTGCCTTTTTTGATGATGTCGGCACCGGTCAGATGTTGGCCGAGCTCGGTGCCGATCTCAACATTATCCAAGATGCCGTCTCTTACAAACTCTCACTCACGCTAAGTGCCGTCGGCACTTTGATGGCAACTTATATCGTCAGCTTTGCGCTTTACTGGAAGCTCACTTTCATTCTGACATGGTCGCTTTTTCTCAGTCTGGCCCTGCTTTACGCTGGCAATCGAATTGCGGTCCATTACTCGGTCCGTTCTATGGAAGCGCAAGCGACGGGAAGCTCTATCGCAGAAGAAGCCCTTGGCTCTATTAGGAGTACTACAGCACTAGGTTTACAGCCGACACTTGTGGACAGCTACGATCGCTGTCTTGGCATCTCGCAGACTGCCGGATTTACTCTCAAGGCCCTCATGGGTACCATGGTAGCCATCACGGTGGGCACAGGGTACTTGAATGTGGCCTTGGCTTTCTGGCAAGGGTCTAGATTTCTGGTAGACAAGCAAACTTCTTTTATGGCTGTTGTTGCCATCACATTGATCACCAAAAGTGCCGCGTTCTGCGTATTGGGCGTGGGCCAGAATGCTGAGACGTTTACAAATGCCGCTGCTGCGGCTCGGAGAGTGTTCCAAATAATCCGGCGTGAGTCTCCGATTGACTCCACCGCGTCTTCTGGGGACACATTGGAAGAAATACATGGTGATATCGAGATTCACAACGTCAAGCATGTGTATCCAACGCGACCAAACGTTGTAATCACAGAAGAATTGAGCCTCTCCTTTCCAGCCGGAAAGACAACAGCCGTAGTAGGTCCGTCAGGATCAGGGAAAAGTACCATCTCCAAGCTTCTTTTGCGTTTCTACGAGCCGCTTCAGGGTCAGATTACCCTGGATGGACATGATACGAAGAATCTCAATGTTCGGTGGCTACGGCAACAATTGCGACTTGTAAACCAAGAGCCTTCACTGTTTGACACAACCATTCAAGAGAATATAGAGTATGGCTTTATTGGGACTCAATTGGAGCACCTACCAGCCGAGGAAAAGCAAATTCGCATCGAACAAGCCGCTAGGATTGCCTGCGCCCACGACTTTATAACTGCGTTGCCGCAGGGATATCAGACAATGACAGGCACCAAAGGATCCAAACTCTCCGGAGGTCAGAAGCAGCGCATTGCTATTGCACGGGCGCTTGTCGCACAACCGAAGATTCTCATCCTAGACGAGGCTACGTCTGCTCTAGACACTAAGACAGAAGCCTCTGTTCAGGCTGCACTGAAAGAATCCAGCAAAAGCCGGACCACGGTGGTGGTTGCTCATCGTCTTTCAACCGTCCGAGAGGCTGATAATATTGTTGTGCTAAAAGCCGGAAAACTGGCAGAGCAGGGAACACACAGTGAACTCATGCAACAACGGGGTGAATACTTCCAGCTTGTTGAAGCACAGCAGTCTAGTGAGGATGAAGAAACATCCGACGATAAACCCGAATTAGTGGGAGTGTACGATAGCACCACTAGTCTCGCTGCTGTTAAGCAAGAAGCGTTCACGGAAGTCAAGCTACTCGATAACTCCACGGATGACTCCAATGCCGTCCACAATACCGAGCATGCCTCGCTTTTTTCCATGGCCCGGTTCGTGCTCAGTTTGAATGCACAGGAATGGAAATGGATAGTTATTGGCCTGATCAGCTCCGTCATCGCTGGTCTTGAAGAACCTGCATCTGCTGTTCTCTTTGGTAAAGCAGTTGTTGCCATCGCACAACCCCTTGACAAACCAAACAATATTCGCTCCGATGCAGCCTTTTGGGCCTGGATGTTCTTCTTACTGGCCATGGTGATGATGATCGTCTTCTCAATTCAAGGCTCTGTTTTTGCCTTCTGCTCGGAAAGGCTAGTACGCCGGGCACGTAAGCTGGCTCTTGCGCAAATGCTTCGACAGGAGATTGCATTCTTTGACGAGAAGGGTAATACAGCAGCTGCGCTTTCGAGCTTTCTTTCCACCGAAGCTGCAGATCTTGCAGGGGTTAGTGGCGGTACTCTGGGGATGATACTGATTGGAATCTCAACACTCGTGTCAGCATTGGTTGTGGGTCTGGCATTTGGCTGGAAGCTAGCCTTGGTATGCTCCTCGGTTATTCCTGTGCTAATTGCCAGCGGCTTTATTGGTATTTGGGCTTCAAGCGAGTTTGAGAGGCTCAATGAAAAATACACTCGGGCCTCAGCCGAGTATGCGGGTGAAGCTATGGGCGCCATTCAGACGGTCGCATTGCTCACCCGCGAGACTCAGGTACTAGAGTCATATGAGAGTAAAGTCAAGGCTTCTTCCCGAGAGGGAACGAAAGCCATTGTAAAAGCCTCACTCGTTCTAGCCTTGGGGCGAGCCACAGTGAATGCGTGCATGGCACTAGGTTTCTGGTATGGAGGGTCATTGATTCTCAGCGGAGAATATACTCTACTCCAATTCGTGGTAGTATACTCGTCCATCATCACGAGTGCCTATTCTGCGGGCATGGTCTTTTCGTTCACGCCAAATATCAGCAAGGCTAGGAGGTCGGCTGCCGGTCTCCAGGCATTGCTCCAGCGAAAATCAGCCATCAACCCTGATAACAGTGACGGGCAAAAACTCGAAACTCCACCAAAAGGCCAAATTGATTTTCGCAATGTCAGTTTTACATATCCGACAAGACCAGGCCATTTGGTCCTGCAAGATATTTCGTTATCTATCTCGCCGGGCTCGCGGGTGGCACTGGTCGGCCACACTGGCTGTGGAAAAAGTACTATAATCTCGCTGGTTGAAAGGTTCTATGATCCAAGCAGGGGTGGCATTTTCCTCGATGGACAACCCATATCTTCGTTTTGCCTTGCAGACTACCGGCGATGTATCGGCTTGGTGAACCAAGAGCCAACGATGCTTCGCGGCTCCATCAAGATGAATTTAACAGCAGGACAAGGCAATGGCATCACGGATGTCGATATTGAGAATGCGTGCAAGCAAGCCAACATCTACGATTTTATCTGCTCTTTACCGTGAGTCTCTCAATTTCTCAGCGTCCTAAACACGATCGTTCCATTTCTAACCGCTTGTAAAAACAGGGACGGTTTCAATACTGTAGTCGGAAACAGGGGCGACCAGCTTAGTGGTGGCCAACGGCAGCGCCTTGCTCTTGCGCGCGCTCTCGTCCGAAACCCAACCATCTTGCTTCTAGACGAGGCTACCTCCGCGGTTGACGCACAATCCGAGGCTCTCATTCAAGAAGCGCTCGACCGCGCAGCTCGAGGTCGCACTACCATCACCATTGCACATCGGTTAAGTACGGTGCGGAGTGCGGATGTTATCTATGTCTTAGACCAAGGGAATATTGTAGAATATGGGACTCATGGGCAGTTGATAGAGAGAAGGGGAAAGTATTTCGAAATGTTTAATGCATCTGCGGACAGTCCGTGAGTGGACTATTGGGTGACCCTGGAATAGTGAAGTTGATTACAACTAGAAAGAATAAGATTTTTTGGAGTTTGAAAGACAAACTGGGTAATATTACTTGGGAAATTTTGAACAGCAAGACTCAAATTCGGCCATTTATAATTGCTTTTCTATAGGCTGAACAATAAAACCAACAAAGATGGATAGTATATACAATCTTTTTCAGGGACCCAATGCAAAGGGTTAGATTTTCTGTGACAGGCATTCATCATCCAAGCGTCGAATAAGGGCACGACGGGGCATAATTTTCATTCATGATGAAATACTGTTTGCATTCTCGGCCCGTCTCATCTCCATAATTCTTCAACTCCGGGCTGATCGATACATCGTCATACTCACCCAACAAAGTTCTCACTTTCGAGATAGCCGATTTTTTCTTCAGCGGGGTAGAAAACAGAATATCAAACACGAAGTTGGGCTGGAAGACAATGCAGAAGCAAGGTGCATATCTAGAGCGTCTCTTTGTATGGGCAGGCGTCAGAGAAGCACTAAATATAGGCTGTCCGTCAAAACAGAATCGCCACATGGGTGTATCGGTGTCTGTAGGGATGTGGCCTGGCCAAGATTTGGGATCCCGTGCCCGTAGGCCATGCAGACAATCCCAATATTTCTGGTAGTATTCCTCCACGCTCAATGGCGAGCTAGGGATGGGAAACAGAACTACCAAGCTAGTGTTTGGTCCTAGCTCCGAGGGAGGTGTTCCAAGGTATTGCTGCAAAGCCGTAGCCATGGCAGTCATTTCCTCGTCGTGGCTCATATCCTCAGACTCGACAAATATATATCGGTGATCCCGGGCTTTGAAGCCTTTGGTGGCATATATACAGGGGAAGGCAACAGGGTCTTCTGAGAGAATGGCTCCTTTGAAGGCATCGTAGCTTTTATATTGCCATGTCGTTCGATCGAAAGCCTCAACTTCTTGTCTATATAGATCAGCTCTTTACATCAAAGGAACAAATGGCATCGATAACTTACCTCTTGAATATCTTCACTTGGACATCTTGCTTGGGAAACCGCGGATAATTTGTGCTGAAAAGTCGAGAGGCCCATTTTACGTAGGGTCTAATGGGCGTCTCTTTGAGGAAAAGAGCCCGTAGAGCAAAAGATGCAAGAGCCAAAACGCATGCTAGACCAACCAACACCATTTTTTTGACAGGTACACACAATGTTCTGCAAATTTTTCCCTAAGCAAAGTAGCAGGCCAGATATTTAACGGCCTAACTTCACCTCCATCAAAGCATCGTACGATGTTTATATATTTTTTCAACTAATTTAATAGTACAGTTTCAGTTACCTAAGGTATGTCTACCAGTGATTCATACAAGGTATGCACCAGAGCACGCCAAGTGATGAAATATGATGCTGAAGATGGTGGGCCTGAATCAACTTCTTCGGCAGAATTCTTAGCCCTCGCGTACTGCAGATAATTAGACAAAAGCCAATATTACTACGGGGTACGAAGCCCCCACATTGCAAGAAAGTTCAATGTTGGGTTATACGGAGTACTCCGTAGTACAGTCACTAGATCCACATCTCCGCACCTCCGGTGTAACATCTTCCTGCAGTAATCTTCGTGAAAGTAAGCCTCGTAAGTGACTAGCTGCCAATAATCGGTGAACCAGGAAGGTCTCGTACGTAGTAATGGATTAACTCCACAGTTGTTCTTCTCTAAGTCGTTCTGTCCGTGTGTTACACACATACTAAATCTCTGGGGCTTGGTTCTTAGTAAGCGCCTCTTCTGCGGATGCTCTACGAGACAGGATCTAGTGGTAATCTACCGCTGACACTTCATATGTAGCATACTGAGGTTATTCCAAGGTTTTCTACATGATGAGTAACAGGGTTTGATAGTCCTGTTACTCATCATATGCGGCTGATGGATGACTGTACCAGGTGGGTCTGGTGGAGCTCGGGAATCCCGTAGAGTTAAAGTCCGACGGTAGGTAATGTTCTGTCATCCTGATACCTACCCAGTACTATGTACATACGAAGTTCCTTAAAATGACATTACTGCAGGGTTCTACGTAGATAATATAGTGTTTGTTCAGGCTTTTCCGAACTCTTATACATATCTTGACTAGTGTATGTCAATTTACAGGTCAGCTTTAGAGCTTTTATTACAATGAAATAGTACCTTTTCTCTCAAATACTGCGTATATTCAATCTGATAGGTACATATGTATCATACTTTCACAAATACCGTATTGTCACTAACGCCGGTATTGTCCCAATGTCTCCGTAGATCGGGCTCGCCCATCGAGCTCTCCAGGGTTACATGTAAGAACAGGGATTTTTCGTGCCTTGCATCGTCTCCCAATTTTGAATGTTTAGGGAAAACACGCAACTTTCACACTCTCACGCCATCACAAATATAAGTCAAAGCTTTACGAAAAGATGATCAAATTCTTTGAGGCGAGCCTCACTGTGGGATGATTTTGCAACATCAAAGTGATATCAGGGGTGTCCACCCGAGCCCGCCTTTACTAATGACTCAATGCGGACATGTGGGGAATATGTTGTACCTAGGGGTCCCTGGTCTAGTCGGCTTTTCGCACTATCTCCTCCATTCTCTTTAACATCTCGCAATGGCCCCCATTGTTGACGTGCTGAGCGCGCCGTCTGTCATTTCAAATTCTCATTCCGCTGCGATGGACTCTCCAAGGGTCAGCAAACCCATACACATATCCCCGATGCCAGATCAAGCCAATATTCAATCTCTTTTGGATGAAAATGGCCTTGAATACACCCCAGATGGCGAGTTCATCCGCTGGTCAGCTTCAAACAAACATCATCCTCGAAATTGGCCCATTGCGCGGAAGATCTACGACAGTAGCTTGATCATATTTCTGGATCTTTTCACGTATGTCTTTCTCTGACAGCCTGTATTCCCGCCCGTGGATAGAATACTGATGAGGATCTCCGTTGTAGAACTGCCATCAGTACGGCCGGGGTGAGCAATAGCCAAAGTCCAGCCACGCGACAAATTGACTGACCCCGAACAGAGTTCTGCTGCCGATCACGCTCGTTATGAATTTGGAATAGAAAAGACCCTGGCCCTCTTCATCTTCGTCTCCATGTTAGTCTCATCCAGCTCCTAGGCTCGGTATCATATTGGTTAATCGCGCTGTGCAGATATTTGTTGGGCCAAATGGTCGGTGGTATCATCTTCCCCCCTTACTCGGAAGCATTCGGTCGCAAGAATCTATACATTGTTAGCACTGGCTTCTACAGTGTTTTCTGTGTGATGGTTGGCGTGGTGCCCTCTCTTGCAGGAGTGGTAGTCGGTCGATTCTTCTCTGGCTTCTTGTCGGCGATACCTACCATCGTCGTGGCAGGTAGCATTGAAGACATGTTCAACTCCAAACATCGGGTGTGGCTCATATTCCTCTGGGCCATGGTCGCAAACATGGGTCTAGCACTGGGCCCTATTATGAGTATTTACATCACAGTGCATTTAGGCTGGTAAGTGGGTTCATGTTATATTCTATTGCCATACTGACTAATCGTGACAGGCAATGGGTTTTCTACATCGCCGCCATTGTGACAGCTGTGATCACTATCTTCCTGTTTGGTATACGCGAGTCACGACCGTCGTTACTTCTCGAACGGGAAGTTGCCAAGATCCGTAAAGAAAGCGGCAACAACACCCTACAGGCGCTGAACCCCGATAGTACTCCCGATATAAAGACCTTCGTCCGCATCGCCCTTTTCCGTCCTATCCAGCTTTTCTTCACGGAACCAATTGTCTTCATGGTGGCAACGATGAGTGCGGTTGCATTTGCCTTGATCTACTTGTTCACCGAGGCCCTACCACCAATCTATGAATCGATGGGCTTCTCGAGCACCTCATCCTGTCTACCTTTCATCGCAATCTGCATCGGTCTCGTATCGGGATTGCTCACTCGCATACAAGATCACCGCACAATTGTCAAATACGAAGAGCAGGGCATTCCACTGAAACCAGAGCACAAACTTCTCGGCTTCTCAATCGGCGCTCCTGTTTTGGCTGTAGGTTTATGGTGGTTTGCATGGACAATCCCACCAATCGCCGATGTTCACTGGATTGTTTCAACGGTCGCTCTTGTTCTCATTGGATATGCCCTAAATGAGTTTGACTCAGTTCTTGCGGGCTATCTCGCTGACAGTTATCTGAGCTATGCGGCAAGTGGATTTGCAGCCCTTTCGCTTATTCGCTCATCTATGTCGGCTGCATTTCCGTTGTTCGCAAGACAGATGTACGAGGGACTTGGTGCAAACGTAGCATCCTCGATTCTTGCCGCGTTGGCGACCTTGTTTTGTATTATTCCGCCCCTGTTCACCAAATACGGCGAGCAAATTCGGGCTCGGAGCAAATTCGCTCGGTATAGTTTACAGGTGTATGAGGAAAACGGCGTAGACAAGAACGGTTACTGATATCTGATAAAAAAAAAGCGTATCGTTATATGTACCTAAGATCTTCGATCTGACGAATCGACAGCAAATGATCGAGATATCTGAACAGTTAGTTAGCTCGTAGATAGGCTAACCAAAACCCGATGTCGAAAGTCATTATTGTTCAAAGGCACATTTCAACTCTAATCCAGCACTCAAGAACCTTCTCATACGCCTGCAATATCATAGAAATCCACCTATCTGGAATTCACCTTCCGGTTTAAAGTAATTCCCCAAATCACGCCTGTCATAAAAATCCAGATTCCGCTACATCAAATCAACCTCATCACTTCTACCTCACACAACACACATGTATATCCTATTAGCCCACCATATTCCCGGCTTCTTCCAAAATTGTTCTCCCTGGTTTACTATTTTTTTCAGTCAAAGACAGAAAGATACGAAGAGAATATAGTTTGTGTTCACAGAAGGACATTTCTGATTGTTTCAACTCGAAAAGCACAAATCAAAAAACAGGGAATCGACTGCCTAGTAAACAAATGTATGTCAAAAGGAGCCGCCCTACTATAGAGATTGTGTTGAAATCGCCATCATTCTGCAGAAATATAACCAAGGATATTGCAGAAGTAAATGTAGGCCTGATCATCTTATATACAGTACTGGATGAACTTATCACAGAAGGCTTTGGATAGTGTTTTGGAGATTGGTGACATCGGCACTGTCCAGGTCGTTGTACTGAAGGCAAGCAGAGCCACAGGGGTAGAGAGAGCCACTGCTGGTGAACAAAGCAGCCAGGACCATGCACTCGGGGGTGACACCGTCAAGGCGGAAACCTATAGATAATGTCAGAAACGATGGCAATATGCAGTTGTTGTTGGGTGACATACTGGACTCAGCGGTCTGAGTGACAGTGACCTTCGCTCCGTTGTTGGAGTCCCTGCACTGGTCATAGGATTGCTGCGAAACACCCGGGTAGCCTTCGACACGAGGGACTATGCGCATGCCATTAATGTCCCGCTTGATGTTGGACTCGAGGCCAATGTAGGCCAGGCCACCAGCAAGTGGAGCGGCAAGACCAGTGATGATCAGGCCAATGGGGGCTGGACAGGAGGGAACCATGGAGAGGGCAACCATAGTGGCACCACCGAGAATTGCGATGTTGTGCATAGTTGAGGTTGGCTGGGAAAAGCGGAAGAAAGTTGATTGAAATGAGAAGTTGTTGAATTAGTTGAGAGAGTCTGAATGAATAGTTTCCATGCTACGAGAGATGGGCCTTTTTATATGCTTCCAGGTCCTAGTTTAACCTTAGAAAAGGACGATAGTATTGATCCACAATGAGTTCCCTTTTCAGTCGCAGGATTTTCGAATGAAATGTCCCGATAGAACCGATTGTTTACAAAAAATGGCAATACTTAACACAACCCTGCAAGCAAGAGCCAATGATCAATACGCCGAGAAAGAGGACTGCTAGCTTGAGGGCCAATATATCGGGTTTCTCCATTTGGTATCCCAAATGGCCCCAGGTGGGTGGACTTCGAAGTGGAAATTTTATGGGGAATGCCAATCGTCTGCTCTTCGAAATACGACCCAAGGTTGCAATCAAGATGCAATCTCGCTAGGTAGGGTATATTTTATGCAATTAAATGACTCAAGGTCTTTTGGCGGAGCTTTTGCAAGCTTCATAGAGTCTCCTCGTAAATGAGGGGGGCCGAGAACAGAGAACTAATATCGGCCTACTTCTTACATTATGGGGTTTGAGACCCTTTCCCTTCGACATACTACCCTACTTCCTCCGAACAGCAATGTTTTCAAGAAAGACCAGCCTCAAACACATTGCCAGCCTCTTATTGCCCATCTCATTATTTGTAGGGCTCATCCTTTCGGCTTGGAAGGGCATGTGCATGATTACAGGCTCATCGCATCCAGTCATGGTTGTTTCATCGGAGTCAATGGAGCCAGAATTCTACCGAGGGGATCTCATCCTGCTATGGAATCATCAAGAAAAGATTAATGTGGGAGACATTCCTGTGGTGTGGTTTCCTGGGCGCCGTCTGCCAATGGTCCACCGAGCCATCGCAGTCCTCAACCATTCCGATGATGATCAAGGAAGCATGTCAAGGTATTTTTCGCCCCATTCTGTAATTCTGTATCAGGTTAAGCAATACTGATCCTCTCAAGGCAACTTATATTGACCAAGGGCGACAACTGCCAATTTGATGATAGCTTCTTTTACCCAGTGGGGAGATCGTATGTCCACCGAGAGGAGATCATTGGCTTAGTTCAAGGCCATGTACCCTACATCGGACGAGTTGCCCTGGTGTTGAACGACAATCCGGCATTTCTGTATCCAGCAGCAGCCACCTTGATTGCTGTGGGCCTTTGGGGCTAGTTATGGTTAAAATCGAATTATGGTCTCAAGGCATTTATTTTTACACAAGGTTGCTGTGAGACCTAGTAGGAGGTCTTGAATTATGGAGATAAATTTTCATGAAATATCCATGTCTACGGCTAAGTTCTTTCTATTTTGCAGTAGCCTATATATCTACGTTAATCTAAGCTCTTTTTACTGGACCAGATAGCGTAATATATTGCATAATACATGGCTTAGTTCTCTGCTTCTCAACACTATCTCCTACAACATGAGAACTCTGCGTTCACTATCAATAGCGGCGGATAGGGATAGGAAAGAAGACAGAACAGGATAGGGGTCGATCCGAGAGAACCCATGAACGGCTTCATCTTCTACTTGGCGTTCGCGGATTCTGTGATTAAAGTGCGTCATACTTTCCGAGGTTACAATATCTTAGGCTCTAGCTTTAGATCTGTATATTATCTACCACGAGGTACGGAATATATATGTCCATAGTTAATTAGCAAAAGTGGAGCGTACGGCCCACAGATATCTCCTTCCGAACCACACCTCTATGGATAGATCCGCTTCCTGGCCCCCGGATAACGGCCCCAGGGAGGTCCCTAAGGTGGGTATCGTGTGATGTAACTACTTGATGTGCTATATTGCCACAGCTTACGAATTTTTAATCTAAGTCCGGTATTTTAAAGGGAATGTGCGACATATTACTGTACAACATAGTTAATGTGACTGAAGGTCAGTAACTGCTGCCCATATATGCTATAATTTGATAGATCACTGTAATAAAACCGGCTCAGGGACTAGTCTCTAAGACGTAGCAACCTAATAGTATGGGCACACAACGGTTATCGACATGGCTAATTTTGATAGCTATCATGCGGTTCAATGTCATCCATGCTCAAAGGCGATATTTATTTAGCGTACGGAATACAAATTATGCGACTAAGTAAATGCTGGCAGTCCACAGGCCCCGCATCGCACGGACCCAGGTCGATCTAAGCTAGAATGAACCGTGGTGCGCAGGAGCTAAATTTGACGCTATTATTAGCGAGCATGGCACTATGGTGATGGATGTACATAGGTACTTCGTACTTTGTACATATGTACATTAGTTAGCAGAAAGATCATCTTGACGGAATTTATATCTCAACTAGTAATTATGAAGCTGAGACTAACAGAATGAATATTCCGCCTCCCCCTTTGGGTCTCTCGGAGAGGGACAATGGACCCCGGTGGGTCGCGTCTTATAATGGGCTACACGTGGACGGGTTCTGTTTTGCAGATCTTCTTTGTAACAATATTATAATATACTATTAGCGGCTTATCACGCTAAGCGAGCTATGCGTAAGGTCTCGTGAATTACGAAATACTATATAAATCATACGCTGTAGTGATTCCCGATTCTACAACCTGCGTGCTGTAATCCCAGAGACAACAATGATCTCCACCGTATAGGAGTCGCTCCCTCCCTCCCTTGCGAAATATTGATCTAAGCAGCAGTTCAAGGTTTGAATTGAGTCAGTCAGGTACGAGGTACGCAAAATCTATGACCCCATATTCAGGCAAAGAAGTTGCAATCCATTCCGTCTAGAACAATACACTAACAAGTTAGTCCTAAGAGACCTTTTTTGAATTTCCTATCCTCCAAAATTCAGGCGCATATTTCAATACAGACGACGCCAATTATTGGCTCTAAAAAGCATGTCAGTTCCAATGCAAAGCAAGTTCAGTGAAAACAGAAAAGACAGATTTGTTGACAGCCAACAAGATTGAAACTTATATGCTCAAGACCAGACTAGTACTGGGTTGGCATCATGGAGCCAACAATACTTGAACAAGCTCACACGCGCACACATGGAACACAATCCATGCATCTGGAAGAGCCTCGTGACCTGCGGGGGAAACGACCCATTGTGACTGTGAAAGACTCGAGGGTGGAGTGGCATACTGGCTCTAAAAAACGAGTGATTAAGTACTATGCCGTGTGGCTAGCTGTGGGGCTTGTGGTTGGGGCGATTATTGGGGTAGTAATTGGAGTTTGCGTGCGTTTTGTAGGTAAATAAATTGCAAGTGTCGAGAGATAATTCATATTTTCCATATTTAAAAGGAAATTATTTTATTTCGAATCAATTTCTGGTTTAATATCAATGTATAACCCAAAGTTTACCAGCTCACATGGATCAAGACACAGAATATTTCATCGGCAGGATAATCTAAATCGGCATTCCGCAGTATTTCATACTTAACATCTTCGACTCAGAGCACTGTCACCTCCGGTAAGCCAATGTCACTAACAGTGCGGACCTTATGGGCAATGGAAAAGTCCAAGATATTGCCAACATATCACACGTTGGCTTTGGTCTACTATACAGAATTGGTTGTATTTTAAATTTCGCAATGAATAAAATTTGCACTTTGACAATCAAAGAGGACTCAACCCCTTGAGATACTGCGAGCCTTCCGTTTCTCGAAGCACAAGATAGACCTTTGGGTATTGCCATTTTGGTACAATCCAGAAGAAAAACCCAAGGAGCCAAGCATAGCCGATAAGCTTTCGGCCTCGCTCTGACAGAAGAATTTGGCACAATCGACTGTTACTCCGCCCTTTCAAAAGCGAGCTAGTTATTGGCACTGCGATTGTTTCGATTGCAGCGGCTCCAAAGTTGGCCATGAAGAAAACAAAATCAGCCGTTGGACAACATGGCTCTCCTGCCTGCCAATCTGCCATGGCATGATAGATAGCAGATAAGAAGAAGGCCCAGAATGCGATAAAAAGCTTTTCAGCGCGTGCACCAGGTGCAAGTTTTGCTATTCGTCGAGTAAAGAACTTACCAGTGTAAGTGCAGGATGGGACCGTCATTCTATGCCAGAACTTGACCCAGAATCGGCGGACGCTGTATGCCTCCAGCGGACTGCCAAACAACGGCGGCCATTCCTCGGGGTTATCAATGCGCAATATCGTAACGAAGAAAATTGATAGCAAAACGTGGCAAGTATCAAGCATCAAATATCCCGTCCAGATCCAGGACACGGACACAAACAAGCGGATTTGGAGCTCGCGTGAATCAATCACTGGCCCTGCATCCGGCCATAGCAAGCGCCTGAATAAGACCTGGCGTGATGGCGCAAAGTCCTGTGCTTCAAGACCAAAGTATAGGAGCGTGAAGGGCTCGACGACACACACGTGCAATAGGCAGCAAATTATAGTTTTACAAAGCCGTCTCACAGCAAAGAAGACTCTGTCCGACGAAGTGACGAAGGAATCTTTTGCTGAGAACACATTCCAGTTGATTTGACGTTGTGGATCAGCCCAGACCTTGTATGCAGATGTCCATGGTAGAGCACCTTGAGGAAGCTTCAGCTGTTCAAAAAACAGCGTACTTGCTGCGTGTAGAACCCAGACGCAGTTTAGAAGTGCCCATAGCCCATTCACACCTGTGTGGGGCCCAAAGTAATAGCTGGTATGGAGCGAATATATGGCAGTGCCGAATATAAAGGGTGAACTTAGAATGCGAGCCCAGGAGGGAAGTTGAATTGCAATGAGAAAGATGAACGTTGAAAAGATGAAAAATCCCGGTGGGATAAGTAGCTCTGAGAGATACATGGTGAAGTATACCCTCAGAATACCCTAGCAAGGTCAGTGTTTATAAAAGATGATTAGATATATATTGAAATAGAACTTTAGTACAGACCTTCTAGATTGGATCTTTCGTATACCTCCGTAACCGTATTCTTGGCACAAGAACTATGAAAGCGAAGACCAAAAAAATAACCAAGTTATTAATTTAATTCAATCTATTAATTAATACCTTCGGAGTTCAAAATACCCGAATATTAGAATCCCAAGAAGCTAACAACGCGATCTACACTCCGTACAGAGTGCCCCGTAAACGCCAAGTCTTTTAATATATTAAGTAGGGCTGGGCAAACCCCTAAAAACGCCCCTTTTTTGGGGGATCTTCGACATTTCAAACAGCAAAGGACATGGCAGGGCATTTCTTTTTACTGGGTGTTGATTCTGATTTTTGCTATCAACTCCTATAGATACTTTGACGCATGTCCGATCTAGATTCTAAATTGGAAAGAAAATAAACTACTCCGTACAAAGAAAGTAGTTCATACAATAACTCGGACAACTCATGTGGGTCTCCCCATCTCACCTATGTCGTAGGTAATTTGGGGGCTACAGTTCCAGGATTGGTATTAAAATGGTACTTTCTCCACCGCGAGTCATTTGAAATTGAATTCAATTCTACTGAAAGATTCCGAGGATATAACCCCCTCAACCACACCCAGTTGGTATTGTCGCTAGTTATCTCGCACCGGTTCAACCCAGTACGTTAGTCCCAAAGTCACTTGCGTAGAGGAATTATACGCTAATGTTGCATTGCCGATTTAGTGGGGACACTGGAGAATTATTTCTGTTGGGCCAGTGATACTAGTCTAACGACGTGATATCTGCTCCATCTCCGTCTTCCGACCCGGCTCAAGGAATATTCATACATGCAACTGCGACCATGGATTGGTTGATGAGCCTATTCACGGGAAGGGATTCTGCAAAAACAGCAGAAAACAAAGCAAAAAAGCGACAGAGCCAAAAGCACAGTCAAAGAGTTCGTGCGCGGGAGAAGGAGCTCCGGCGTGGGAAGGATAATAGAGGCAAACGAGCCAGCTTTTTCTGGGGATCGCCGGGTCAGACATACGAGAGTAATGTTCGTGGTCCGGGTGAAGGAGTTTGAAGAATCAATAAATATTTTGCAGGACTCAATTCTACAGGAGACATATCTACGAAGAAATGCCTTACTTGTAGCATACAACAACTAGGAACATATTGTAATATTGATATCCTTTCTATATATCCTCAGGTCACTATAAAGTATCAGAATCAAGTTAAAAAAGATTTCCATCACAGGCTTCTTGAAGATCTTCCCTTAACAGCTAGTTTTGTAACAAGAGTATGGCTATAGCTACCTAATAACGAAATATAAGCTTGAAATCTTGAATGGACTTTTATTGAGAACGTTTAGTCCATCAAGCCTTCTGTTGAAGCTCCTCTAAATTATATAGTTTTAGTCAACCGACTCTCAACTTCAATTAACACCATACTTTTGGGTATCGCCCAGGCCTCATCAAACAACCGCCTATGCAAAAACAAAAGGATGCAGGATAAGCAAATAGAAAAAGTATGAATGCACCAAAATAACAACCTTGTATGCAATGCAAAGGAACCGAAACCAATAATAATAAAAACAACATTGAATGAAAACCAAGTCCAGAACGCCAATAATAAAATATATCACCATCATGGGAACCGCATACCAAAGCCATCATAATCAAGACGCGTAGGAGAGCTCCCACTGCGCGTACGAGTCCCATACACCGCTTGCCGGGGTGCAGGCCCATAGACCTGACCATCGTGTTGAATCAAAGGACCCGACAAATTCGGATGGTATAGTTGATACTGCTGGGGCTGCCGGGGCATCAGCCGGGTAACTCCATGGAGTCGATGTCGTGCATCTCGCACATCAACGCGGTGTCCGCCAAAGTACAAATACCGCACTGGATCAGTCTCCGGGTTCCAGCCCTGGTTGGAATACTTCAGTCGCTCATCCATTGAGCTGAACTGTCCATGTGATGACATGGGCGGACTGGGGTAGTTGGGATCTGACTGGAGAGCACTGCCTGCAGGAGGCGATTCATTTGTCCAGCTACCGGTCCCGGCAGACATTTGCTGTTGATGCTGCATGCTCAGCGGTGGACTTGGAATCATTACGGAGCCTTGCTGAAAACTTGGAGTTGGCGAGAACCGTGGGGGATACCGCACGGGCTCTGTCGCCCACGATTGATGGGAGTATCCGGAAGAATTACGTGACATTGGCCCAGGGGTGGAGCGCTCTGGGGCTGAGCCTATATGTGTGCTGGCATTAGACGATGACAATGCGCCAGGCATAATCGCAGATGGGTGAGAAATGGGATAAGGTCTGAGGTCATCTGAAGCTGTTATTGAGCCCGATGCTAATTGAGAGGGTCTTCTGCGGCTTGAAAAGGCGACGGAGATGTCCTCATCGTATGGGAACGGTGGTGTATATGGAGTGAGGGTTGGCACGCTTGCAGATAGACTTCGTGGGACCTCCAGATGTGCCAGCGAACCACGCCGAGAGGGACTGCGAGAGGGAGCCCGGGATCCGGGCGCAGTATCTAAATCTCCTCCTTGGTGGTAATTGGGCCTATCAAACTCAGGCTCACTGTAGGTTGTCCGGCTCAGAGGCTCTGTCATTAATTCTCCAGTCACATCCTGAGATAGCGGGGACGTAAAGTTATAGCCCGCTTGACTGTCGAGGGACTCGGTGGACGGTGTCATCTGCAAGCCACCATTTGAATGCAACCCGCTACCTAGATCCAAAGCCTGCAAAGTGGAAAACGATGATGGACGTCTCGCTGTAGAGTCTACCTCTAACATTCGTCGAGTGGCAACAGTCGCATACGTCGGCATGTTCTCTTTGTTTGCTGGTGGAGAAGTGATTGTAGGATGCGGAGCGTCGGCAAACGATTGAGAGTTGCTAGACCGACGCACTGCATCTAATGCTTGTTCGGCCTCTGAAGCCGACATCAAAGAGCTCCTTGTTTCGACAGCGGCTGTGCGGCTTGATGATCCTCTTCCTTGAATATCGGACAGTTTGACCAGCGGAGTGTCGACCTTGGTATCTCTAACGCGACGAGGACCTTTTTTCCACCTGTTTATCTGGTTCCCTTTATTTAACCTGGGCCTTGAGCGTCTGTTGACTACTTGCCACTCCGATAAGCCAGTGTTTGGTGGAGGAGTCGATGAGGGAGGTATCTTGCTCGGTTTGTCCGTGGCTTGGCTCATTTGTGACATGGCCGGAGAGACTTGAATTGCTTCCTTATCTTCGCCGTCCGTTTCATAGCCCTCTTCAGATTCATACCCGGCTTCTCTGAATATATGTGGTGGGAAAAGCTCTAATCTGAACTTAGGATGTGGCATGGTGATCTCTTCGGGAGATTCCGCTCGAGGTGACCCGAGCTCACTCCAGTTGAATGTAGACCGGCGCGATAGACCTTCATCGGCTGACGAATCGCGAAAGGATGATGACGAGCTGCTTGACCTATCGAAAACCGACTTTTGATGCCGTATAGAGTGGTGTGATGAGCTTGGAGACATGTGCTCTATTTGCATGCCTATGAACTTCGTCAATTGTCGCAAATTCTCTCGCGTTTCGCGAACGATTAGTGGATGGCTATTGATTGCCGCTTTCTTTGGGAAGAGCTCAAGCAGTCGTAAAGCGTGAGTTTCGTACTCTCGGTGGTCCCGGACAAGGCCACAGTCTTCGTAATGAGCCATCCGCTCCCTAGCAGCTTCGTAAGACGTGATGAGAAAACGAGTGGCAACAATCAACCAAGTATTAAAGTAACCAGGATCATTCTTGCTCATACTGCCTTTGTTCTCCTCGTCCCTGATGCGGAGCTCATCGCGACAGAACCCCTGCACCACACTGTGGATCTTGACTACGTCAACCACTGATTCATGACGGTAAATAGAGAAAAATTCGTCTTGGCTGCTCTCTGTTAGGGAATCTGAGAGTTCCGGGACAGTCTTCACATCAGAGCTCATCTGATCACCCTCAAAACGAAGCACAGATAATCCTTGCTGGAAAAGGTTGGCATCTGAAATCCGTTCAACCAACCCATAGTGAATGAGAGTCCCAAGTGTGGTATCGAGATCAGGATCTTCTCCAGCTTGGGCACTGGTCTGAATCTCCAAATTGGCAGCTGCCATAGCCGCTCGACCGAGGCTCAGAAGGCCCACTGGCACCTGGTGGCCAAGAAATGAGAGAAGATTAATCAAGTGCAACGCCTGCTTTTGCTGCAATCGAAACAAATCATTCATGATGATCAAGAAAGGCTCTGCGAGCTTCTTGTCCGTCACCTGGGATTTGACATGATACTTTTCAATCGGTTTACCCGTTGCATTGAGGCGGTGGCCAATTGCATGGATTGCCAAAGGCAGACATTCATAGTGCTCAACTATCCGGATAGCCTTCGAGATTTGCTCGGGTGTCGCTCGCATAATCCCAAGATCCTTGAACAGAAGATTGCAAGCGTCTTCCACTTTCAGCCGCGAGATCATCAGGCAATATGGCTCGTACAGTCGCTGCTTTTTGCGCAGTGTTGTATCAACCGAGGTGTATATAATACTGCACTGCTGGCTCCACGGCAAAACCTCCCTGAACTTATTAATATCGTCATCGCAGTCGAAGGTGACACCGTCGAAAACGAGGAGCCAATCTTTGCGTGTCTGAAGCCAATTACGGACTGCATCCACGTACTTTTGAGTCTCGTGATACTCAGGGTTTCCGGTCACTTTCTGTTCAATTAGCGTGGCTGCTTGTGCAATCTCCCAAAAGGACTTGTACGTCGATTCGCGGGACTTGGCGTCAATCCAAAATATGCCTCCTGGGTAGCAGTCACGCCGAGTGAATACGTACTGCCGTGCTAGATGTGTCTTGCCGGAGCCTGGACCGCCCGAGATCAGTACGGCCATTGTCTTTTCTGGACGCGCCTTGGCCCTGAACAAGCGGTTATGTAACACTTCAAGTTCTTTCTCCATTCCAAAAAAGGTAGCATTAGGATGAAACCCCGCAGGTGCCACAAATAGGGCCGAATCCTTGGTGGAATACTGGGGTATTTGGAGAAGCTGACTGTTTCCCAGATCAGACACTGGGGAATTCCGACCTTCTGTCGCAGGAGAGCGCGGCAGATATACGGATTGGCCTATGAAGAAGTCAGCCAGTGTGGCTATAACAAATGTCATAATTCTCATATTGAGAAGAGTGAAGGTCGGCTAGTTTGAGGACATGAGATGGGAGCCTCCCTGACAGGACGAACAATCGCAGTACAAAAAGATATATCACACTGCAAATTGTATCAGAAAGAATAAAGTGGATTTGCAAAAATATTAGGCCCCTTAGCTCGGTAACGAATGGTCAGGGGATCATAGACAAGTATTGGGATAGACATGAGCAAACCGAGCTCGAAGCAAAAGCAGAATAAAATTAAAGGCCAAAAGCAAACGGGGCTCGCTGGAAAATAGCATCAAACAGGAGGCTCCTCAATCTCATAGTCTCTCAACGTGACAGCCACTTCCGGTGCAGGGAGAAGGTATGAAGTCCTACCTGTTTCGTTCAAATCAGGCATGCTTCGATTTGCCGGATCATCTATTCTTGCTGTAATAGTTAGCATGTGAAAAAAGAAGAATCATACCAAAAGGGTGCTAGTTTTGAGAAAGACGTACCGTCATAGATTTCCCTAGCCTTAGCCTTCTTTTCCTGGGTGCGGGCTTTCCTCTCTTCCATCCAGCGATCCGTAATCACAGCAGGAGCCTGGCGTGAGTACCGGAGAATCGCCTCCGCGACAACCTCATAGCCCGCCGCATTGTCATCGTCAAACTTGCACATATGACTGTGGTCAGCCTCGATACCCGCCCTCTCAACACCCTCCATGTATGGTGCGGCTGAGTGCTCGTCGACGATCACTTCGCGGGTACCATGCATATCGGTGGACCTTGTTTCATGGAAGAAGTAGATGTGGAACCGGCCCATGATATCAACGAATAGACTGTTAATGTTCTGCAAGGTTTCATTGTTGGTCCGCAGAGCTTTGACAAGCTGCGGAGACGCTTCCATGAACTTCTTCGGGAGCACAGCATTACAGATTTTTTGCAATAGCATACCCCATTTTGCAATGTCAGATCCATTGTGAGGTGTACCGAGGAAGAGGATGCCAAAAGTCGAAACATAGACGGAGCGTAGATGCTCGGTCTTCTCACTCGAGAGACTACGAGAGTATATCAAGGCGCGTTTCACAATCAGGCCCCCCAGCGAGTGACATATGAAAACGATCGGACGATTGGAGCAGTCTCGCAGCTATATTAGAAATCAGGTCAGTTCTTGAAGTTTCAGAAGATATCAAAAGAGCAATCGAAGCGAAAAACGAGACGCCAACCTACATTTCGATTAGCAGCGAGACTGGATGCAAGAGTCTCTGCATGGCTGACGACAGAATCACGCGAAGCTCCGTCTGTGAAGGCAGTGACGTTGGCATTGTAGCCATAAGTGAGAATGCGGGGACACTGCGAGGCAAGCACGTCCGGGAGAAGGTCAGTAGGCCAGAAGCAACCAGTAGTTTTGCTAGTCCAAGAGTCGTGAGGATGGCCGTTGAGACCGTGAACGAAGACGATATCGATCGTTGGATTATCGCGCGGGGTATAGATTTGCGTCAAGCCAAAGGCCTTGATGGCCTTTGGATCGACAATACGGGGCTTAGACATGGCAATGGATGGGACTAAAGCAGAGTCAAGATGCTATTGCCATAGCATAGTTGAGAAAAAAAAAAGGAGTCAAGAATCAGGAGCTTTGCTTTTTATAAACATATAATCCAGGTGACTGAGGTGAGGGTGACTGGGGTAACTAGGGTGACTGACCCAGGTCACCCGGACTATTTTAGTCCATGGGATTTCAGCATCGGTTTTGAATCCCGGGGCAAATATTACATTTGTGCTTTCCCTTGTTTTTCTTTTCCCAGGTTGTTTTGCTTATTGGTAGTTTAACCCGGGGTTCCTTGCACAGCCTTGTTCGGGTAACTTGCCAGGTACCGTGCCACTCCCGAGGTCAGACCTCGAGTTGCCGTTATTCATAGATACATGCATTATATCATGGCATCAGTGTGCCTTGTACTTTTTCGGAGTGCTGCCTTACAACATCCTAGTATAGTAGCCAATGAGTCACATAGAACCATGGGAAATAAAACATGACTAATTTTGGCAGTTTTTTTATGTGATGTCCTTGTAATCTCATTGAGACGGTCTATACATAGCTGTAGCCTATTTATGTTCAGAGTAAGATATATTCATAGAACTATAACGAGGATCGACAGGCAGAAGTTTAGGGCACATCCATATGGAGATAAAAGATATCAGATCCAATTAGGGCTGTCTATATTCTATGGTATATACACTATTTACTATTTACACTGGATCATTCCAAGGTTGTTTTATGAGAGAAGATCTATGTACTTTTTACCGGTATTGGAGCCTCATGACCAAACAAGGCATGTCCACATGATGTCTTAGTACCAAAATACCATTTTACATTAAGTACCTAAGTACATATGTAGTTCTACTATAGTTCTACTCAGCCTGGCTATGTCAGTTTTGCTTATTCTGGGCTACCAATAGGAGGAATCTGCACATAAAAATACATGGAATTATAGGATAGATCATTTTGATATATAGTTACCTAGATAGATCACCTTTTTCTACATTACCTCCCACGGAACGCCGGCTTCCGCTTCTCAACAAAGGCGCGCAGCGCCTCATAGCGATCATCAGTCTCAATGACCCCCTCATACGCCGCATTCTCCGCCCGCTCACCAAGAGCATGAGCCTCAACAGCCTGCATCGCCATCTTGATAGCAATGGGACCACCTTCACAGATATCCAGAGCGAGTTTGATACTCTCCCGCAGAACACGTTCGCGCGCAGCACCCTCCTGCGTCTCCTCCTCAGGCAGCACCTCTACAAGCCGGTCACAGAGTCCAATGAAGTAAGCCTCGGGTCCAGTGACCCGGCGCCCGGTGAGGATCATGTCTCGGGCGCGGTTCACACCAACAATCAAAGGCAGTCGGTATGTGCCGCCGGCGCCGGGGATAATAGCGAGACGTGTTTCGGGGAGGCCGACGACGCTGGATGAAGCGAAAACGCGTAGGGTTGTGCACAGGGCGAGCTCGAGACCGCCGCCGAGGGCCATAGAGGACACGGCGGAGATAGTGGGGATTTGGAGTGAGGCGAGGTTTTTGAAGGTGGAGCGGAGTTTGAGGAGGAAATCTTCGGTTCTGGATCGCGTTGAGTAGTTAGCTGCATATGTTCGCGTAGATTCGTGTTTCAAGCCCGGGGCGCTGGGCACCGGGTATGGGGTTGTCTCTCACTCGGCCATGCTCATGTTGGCGCGTTCCTTCAGGTCTGCGCCCGCGCAGAATGCTGCATCTGCACTACTAGCTATAACTAATGCCCGGGTTGGCCCGTTGCCTTTTTCGGCGGCGATAGCGTCCACATGTTTCGAGAGCGCGTCGAGTAATTGGGTTGAGATCGCGTTGCGAGCTTTGGGTCGGTTCAACTGCAACACGCGCACATGCCCCGAGCCCGGGGCGGGGATCTGCTGGGTCTTGATAATGTCTTCTTCTGTACTGGTGCTATAGCGTGAGATGAAAACCCGGGTAGGCACGGCGGTCGCCCGGAGGTGGGCGAGGGGTGCGGAGAGGCGGACGAGGCGTGATGACATGATGGCTACCATTGTGCAGGTGACAATTCAAAGATCGAGTGGGATTACACTCGACCGTGATATTGAAATAAGAGAAGATTGATGCGCGGGAAATTTCTCAGGTGGAACTTGTTTTCGGAGCTCGGGTGTGGGGAAAGCTGTGATGCCGACGATTACCGACAAAAAGATGAATGAGATATATGGGGTATCATGTACATTGACAAAAGTCCTCTAAAACTACAATATTATATACACAGTCACTGACAGTATTCTGTAACCTCCGCATCACTCGGCCAGTCCCAGCCTGTCCGGCTGATAAGGTCGTATGCCTCCACGATCAGGTCCGATGGTACCCGAGTGTCAATCCGTTGCTGTCGTCGCTCCAAAAACACCCTGATCGCCACAAAGGTTCGACGCATCATTTTGCCACCGTTTGCATGTTCATCTGCAGCTTCCTTGAGCAGATCAGCTGACCGACTCATCCAGTGCAGCAGATGTAACAACCCTTCATCATCTCCTACAGACCCCAGAGCCCGAACAAAGGCATGTAGCGTAGCAGGTGATGGTATTTGCAGCATCGAGGGAACATTGGGATTTGTGTCAGAAGCGATTTCTGCGGCAAAGACACTTCGTTCCGCATGCTCCGAGGTTTTGGAGGCTGGGAGAACAAGATGATCAAACTGACGCTTCAAGACGTGCAGCGCGTGCTGCATCAAAGCGTCAACATCGTCATCGCCTTCTTTTTTCGCCTTGAGACGACGAATACGAGCTTTATGAATCAACATAAAGCTTTGTTCGGTAGTGCCAGGGTGTCTGAGGGCAGCATCAATGGCTTTTGTAAACGTCACACATAAAATGCGGAATCCCTCTTCGCCAAGTTCGACATCACGCTGCCGCATCCAACTCAATGCTCTGAGAGCCTGGTGCCATGCCAGTATGCGCTGAAGACTTCGGCTTCTTGCACCATAATACCCAGCCAGGCGCTCACGGGTCAGGGCAAATAGAATGTGGGTCCAGGCCGGGGTGTAGGGAGCACATCGCAATTTTGTCAATTGGATCGCATGCCATAAAGCCCTTGGGTGATGCTGGTTTCCTGGATGTTCCTGAGAATATGCGACGAGGTCCACTTTGGCACCGATCGAGCAGTCAGCGGCTATCAAGGCCGGGAAACGATCCGCTGAGAGAATATTACGATTGCTGACATCCAAATTGGCAATATCTGAATGTGTGCATAAAAACTTGATGAACGATGCAAATACCAAGTCCGGCAATTCATGGAAATCCTTGAGGTCCAAGCTGTGGTATTTGTGGGACTCGCTCCGCACAACGGAGAGCACCTCAATTTGGGAATTTGTCAGGCCACTGCATTGGAGATAGTGCAATCCCGAACGTAGAGAAGGAGCCGATTGAAGTAGTAGGCTGAGGAATCTGCCAGAAGGCCGAAGCCCCTGTGCGCACATCTGATCAAGGAACTCATCCACGGTAGGTGGTTCTGTGGCCACGTAGATAATGTCACGAGCAGAAGCCGGTTCGGGGTGAACTTCGCGGCCATCGCCTGGTAGAGCATGACTCATTTGGTCAAACTCGCGTTCTATAGCGTTCCGTCGGTAAATTAACTTTTCGGCCATGGCAGCGTAAATGGCACCCTTCGGAGGCAGTCCATGGTCCTGATAGGAGAGAAAGCACGCCCAGGCCTCACGGACAGTCCTCGTTGCTCGAATGCGAGCAACCCACATTTCATGATGATTCGACTTGGATCCATGTCCGTCCGGCAAAGCTTGTGGGCGACGCATCATAGCCCTCGTCTGCACTGTAGGGCTATGATCTGTGTCCCAACCCGCCAAAATCGAGGATATGTCCTCCCAAAGACGATGAGAATAGCCGGCATCTTTCATTTGCGAAAGTACCTGCATCGCACGGCTGAACATCCCTTCATTGCCGCGCTGGGAATCAATTCCCAGTTTCTCTTCCTTCCACGGAGGCCATGATGGAGCTTTCAGTTCAGCAGACTGGCGCTCTTCAAACGTTTTCTTATGGGCCAGCTGAACCGCAACAACTGCTCGATATCCTTTTCTTGTGACGGGTAGGACGGGCTTGTGGGTGGCCATGGCTCGAAGAAGCTCAAATTGCGCTTGTTGTTGGATATATGTTGAGCGGTAAGGAGCAATGTTGGACGGTATGGAAAGTAACCAGAGACAATCATTAAATTTGACGGTTTTGACGCGATCATCATGTTGAGTCGCCAAAACCGATCTCTCGGTGTTGTCTGCCCTTGGGACTGAGAGGAAGCGGGCAAACGCGCGTGCAATAGTGAGAAGCGATTGCGGCCACACGCGCCGAGCATGACGGATTAGGCGAACTACCAGAATCATGCAGGTTCCAGAATCGATTTGAGGGCGGAAGTCCTCGGGAGATAGCTCAAGATCATGTTCGGCAACCTTGATAGGAGTTTGAGTGATGGGGAAGGTATGTCCGCTCATGAGATGTAAAGAGTGGATCAAGAGCAAACGGAACGTGTGAGCGTCGAGGTTTTGTTGTCTCAAAATATAGAGTGGGATAAAAGGTGGAATGTTTGGACTAGTAGCACCAGACTTGGCTCTTTCGGTTTCGATCGAGAACAGCCGCACCATTGCCTCGTGGGGATCCTGGCTCTTCATGATCCAAGCCCAAGCAGTCACATCGGCGGCATCATAGCCACGCGATGACAAGTAATTATGACTTGTGTTTCTGAATACTGTCTGGAGAGCTGCATCCAAATCCTTCTCCGTACGCTTATCTGACGCAGATGAAAGCACTGAATCCACCTCTCGTATATACTCCCCAAGAATAACCGGCAGTGACGGCTTTCTTGGTCGACCAACTGTCTTCAACTCATTCTGTGTTTGGTTTGCGTATTTGAAGTGAGCCCGATCAAGCCCAGCTGATTGGCCATCGTATCCAAGGGCGTAGCCAGCGTTTCGCAAAGCTTTGGAGAGATATTCGGCGGGCTTCGGTTTCACTCTGATGCCGGGGGTCTTTTCAAGCTTTTTCTTTCCAGCTAAGCTATTAACTGCGTCTTGTGGTACTGCTGCGCATTGTTCGTCGAGTGAGGATTCTGGCCGCTTTTGGTTGAAGTAATCATCAAGCTGTGAGGGTTGAGTGTCGATTGTAGGCGACTCGGGCACATTGAGGAACGCAGTGGACTGAAACGAACGGAAGCTGCCTGGGCTAAGGCCAGGCAGGGAATTGCGCGAATAATGTACAGGAAACTTGGTACCATGATTTCAGCACAGTATCCATCAATGGGGGGACTCAAAAAAAATCACCTTATATAAACGACTATTGAGCAGGTCTGCTCTTAGCCGCGATACTCCCGAAAGGCTTCGGGCATACTTGAAAACTGATGACATCCATGAACGTAGTCATGGGTGAAAGTGCCTGAACGCCACAGACCCATTCAATAGGCTCAAAGATGTAATTGTCTCCGAAGATGAGAGAAGTCAAGTCTCAAGTCCGAAAAATACAACAAATCGCGCGGCAGAAAATTGGGTCACGTGACTGATCGTCAGAAGGCGCGCCATTCCGAAAAGCGCAACCCAGTGAACGTTCTCTCTAGACAGAAAAAAAGAGACCACTTGACCGATTTGTTCGAGGGTTGCCTATTGCATTGATCATTGTCCTAACTCCTTGGTCTCTTTTGAGAATTATATCTGCCTCATATTTACCTCTTTTATTGTGGTGACGTGAAGGTTTTATCTTCCCCCTCGCTCTTCGCGATCCCCATCTTCTCTAAGGATTCGCTTTGACGCCCTACCATCGAGGTTTCTTAGACTCTTGCTTTCCGAACCAAGTATCAACCTCAACATTAAATCGCCAGCAAACATTTATTTCCTCGATCGCGTCTTACCAATCTTTACTTTCAAACTTCTGATTTGTGGACCCCCCATCTATTGCATTGGAGGGGACCGCGTCAAAGCAAGTATCAACCTTGACCTCGGCGCGACTTCGCAACCATGAGCGCCGACGAAGCTGGAGACACAACCCCCATGTCCGCCACAAATGGGGAACCTCATCCCGACCCTGCTACTATTGCAACCACTGGAAAACGGAAGCGCTCCACTCAGGACGACAAACCGAGCACTGATTCAAATGCCACTACCTCGCGCGATCGAGCAAATCTCCATGAAACTCTTCGCAGCTTGGTTGAGCTCTTACTAAAGTAAGCAATGATGAAATTATATGGTTCTTATTATTATACTGACAAGCACCAGGCATGACACTGAACTCCAACTCCTCTCTTGCCCCTTCCCAAATACAAACGCTAAGCCTCGAACGAAGCGCGCAAAGGTTTCTGGCGATCCAGAAACCTCCAACATTCAAACACGCGTCACCTCGGGCAAATACAACACATTACAGGAATTCCTTTCCGACATTGAAAGGGCATCAGCTGCTGTAATTGAACGCAATCAAACTCAGTCCAATGGTGTGAAAGAGGATGGGGCACCTTTGAATGAGGTGGTCAACCGGATCGCAGCATTCAAAAAACATATGAACAGCTTGATCGGCCAATCGTTCGTCAACCAACCCGAGGTCAAAACAGAGACTATGGAAGACGATACCGACGAGTCAACAGAGCTTCATGCGATCAATGTCTGCCAGCGAGAGGATAAGCCCGCCCTAACGCTCTTCGGAAATCCATCGAATCCCAAGCAACTATTTTCAAGTCTTCAAAAATCGGTGAAGGTGCCATTGCAGTCCGAATCGGGGCCTGAGAAGTTTGTTGAAGTGCAGGAGGAGCTGCGTGAGCTTGCCCTGCCTAATGGTATCACAGCCACCAAAGTCATCCCTTACAATCTTGATGCTGCGTCTCAGCCATCAAAGCGGACATTTGGGGAGGTTTTCGCTCCACGCGAAACATTAACAAAGCTGGAACCTCCGCGTAAACGATCTCACCGATCTAGTTCGACTACATGGACGGATCGCTTTGACGCGACTTTCGATGTCAGAACATTTTTGGGAGAGCGTAGCAACTACTGCCTGGCACCTCTGCCTTCAACCCAATGGCTCCAATATGGTGGAGTCACATCATCACCTGCCTATTGGGACCGTGTAGAAAAGCATACAGATTCAGATAATGTTCAACGGCATGGCGATCCTGCCCTTTGGACTGGCCCCGATTCATCTGCTTTCCAGGGTGTCTTCTCGTCATTTGCTCCTTCTTACGACAGCTCCGGCGCGATTGTACAGCTGGATTCGAAGGATATGGTATGGTGGGGACAACGGGGTGCGGACCGCGTGAACACCTTGCTGTCGATTCCATGGGAAGGAGATGTCAAACAAAATTACACTCCAACTGCCCAGCCTGGCAACATTGGCGAACTTGATGAGAGCATTCTAGATGAAATGGTCGAGTCATTCAACGCCCAAGACTTTGCTGGGGCCATCACAGAAACCGATCCGAGTAGTGAAGTCGACCCAGAATCAAAAGAGATCAAGCAAATGCTTGAGGAAGTTTCCGACTTGCTCGATACTCTCAGTTCCTACCAGCGACTTCGAAGTCTCAAAAGTCCTTCTGATCTCCTCCCACCTGGTCAACAAGTGCCCGAGTCAAATGAAACACTTGCTCTTCATTTGGCCGACGTGAGTACGCCCTCTGAAGCCGAGGCCCTTGTATATGATACCCTCAAGGCAAGCCTTGCTGCAATCGTCCGCAACTTGCCACCTTATGCAGTTGCTAAATTGGATGGTCATCGGCTCGCTGAGTTGAATATCAGCCAAAAGATTTTGATAGACACTCCTGACTATAATGGTACCATGGAAAAGGATGACTTCACTTTGTCACAAGAAAGGGCTGCAGCATTGATCGCAGCAGCCAGTGCCGCAAATCGAACTTCAACACCGGCTACCTCACGGCCTAGTAATTACCAAGGCTCTCACAATGCATACAATCAACGTGCTTTTGCTTCTAATACACGGGCTCCGCCTCAGCCCGGGTTCCAGGTCACACCGCAACACGCACGGCAACCCTCAGCGCCAACTACATACACGCATGCTTATGGTGCGGGTCGTCCGCCAAGCACACCCAGCCAACGCCCAGCCAACGCTCCTCAATACGCGCAAATCAACCCGCAATACAGCCAGGCCACCCAGGCTCCTCAATACCAGCGTTCTGCTTCCAATGGGTATGCCCAAGTCTCTCCGCAGCCTTATACACCACAGCCCAGGCAGCCAGGCACATTCAACGCCACGCCACAGGGGCGTACGCCCTATGCGACTGCAACCTCAAATCAGAGAGTTCAATACTCGAGCCAAACTCCTTCACAGGCTGGCTACTCAAACTCTGCCGCTAGTGCCACATACTCTCGTAGTGCAGCCGAACAAGCTGCGCTGATGGACAGGAATAAGGCACAACTGGCAGCTCGACAGACAGGCCACAGTCCTTCAACACCTCAACCGCTGGATGCCCGCGCTTCCCAAGAGGGCAGCATGACACCAGGAAGCAAACAAAATGGCACGCCCCTTTCGACATAGGGCCTGACCTTTGCGTGGATTTGAGCATGAGGGGTTAAGTTCAAATTTCAAAATGCGGCTTGCTTTTTGAAGAGAGACAAAGCTCCAACATTGCATTCCTCTACAATCGGCTTTCTACTTTATTGATTTTTGCATTTTTCTCTTTTCTATTTTCGCGTCGTATTATGAGCTCTGGGCGTGATCCGCGTCTCCGAATTTTTTTCTCTCCAACTGTGTTGTTAATGAACCTCTTGATCCCTGGCTTTGTATGATCTCTTCTTTATTTGGTGTTGTATTATGGACTAAGCGATTGGCGTGGATGGTTTTTTTTCTAAGACAGGTCGGCCTAGGTGTAAGGCTGCCATTGCGATATAGCTAAGTCTTGCTTGGAGAATTACTTCTTTTTTCGCTCCTGGTGCAATTTAATCAATATGCTGCATACCAGTATACCTCATATTTTTCAATGCAGAGATTCGACATAAAGAGATCTTGAGACAAGAGCCTGCAAAGGGTTCCTAAAATCATATATCGTAAATAGTACATTGCTCGATAGAATTTCCTATATAAAAACACATGTCCTGCTATAGCATCTCTCAGTCAAATGTATCCCCTGCCCAATGCTCATAGGCCATTATATGCCAGGCCCGAGAAACTCGTCTATCTGCCCTATCCAATTATTGAAGCGATCGCCCATAAAATGAACGCCATCTCTTTCTTGTGCCCAGTAGTGAGTACCCTTCCAATATTCCCTTCATAAAAGACAAAAAAGAAAATCATAGTGACGTAGAGGGTTCATCGTCAATGAAACACAAGAGATAGAAAAAAGATTCGTAAGTCGTAAGTTGATGTACGATCCAAGTTGAGTAAATAGAACATTCGAGGCTATGGAATGAACATAGCAGCTATAACCATGAAACCGAAGTATCTAGAAAAGTAAAAGTCAGTCTCAATTTCAGCCACCACAGAATCGAAGCACTCATACATTGTAGCACAGCGCCAGCCATCCTTCGAGTCGATCAGCGTCTCAGTACCGGCCGAATAATTCGCAGCAATAGCCGCCGCAGCGCCGCCAACAACCGTCACAACGACAAGACGGCCGGAGAACTCTGTAATAAGGCTGAACGCCAACAATGGCAGTAGGAGCGCACCAGATGCAATGACAATAGCGATGTATGCGGGTGCTGCAGCGGGAGAGGCCGCCATTCGCGGAGTGAGCGAGACCAGATCTTCATTGTGGATTAGGAACCGCGTCTCGACACCAGCGACGGGCTTGTGATCTCTCATCCAGCTGCGATAGCCCGTGATATCCTGTTCCGAGGCCCGCGGGAGCATCTGTAGGACTTTGCTATAGGCACTGAGGGCGTTGTCTGCGTGCTGATCAGCGGATCTGCTTTGTGGATGGATGACAATATGGAAAGTGGGAGGAAGGAACTTACTGTATTGCTCGGTCTTTTGGATCAAAACGCTCATGAGATCCATGCGGCGGTAATGCAACGACGAGTAAGCCTGAGACTGGACGTCCCGACGTCGTGAAGCAGGCAAGGGCTTTGTGCCTTCCTGCTCGGCTATGCTGAGTCGATGCATTTCCTCATACTCGTCTAGCGTGTGGAGATCTTCTTCCATTTGGGAGATCTCGTCTTGGAGGTGAAGCAAGACACGGTGGTTGATGGTCTCGAAGCGTCGGTATAGAGGAGGGAAGCCTCCGCTCTCTTCTGCGGTGGACTTGGTTAGGTGAGAAGCTAGAATACCGTATCCTGATGGCTCTTGCGAGGCGCTGGAGTCTCGTCTCTTTGTCGGCGTGGTGCGGTGAAGACTATCTTCTGGACTTCTTGGGGGAGATGGTGGGAGCGGTGGTCTGTGTACAACACCGCTGTCTCTGGATGAGCCATGGTAGGTCTGTGGTCGGGACAATTCTAGTTGGCCCTTTCCTGGAGAGATGTTCTCAGTCGAGATCGGGCTCGGCTTTCTAGTGGGTTGTTTCTTCCGGGTGACCAACTGATTCCCTGTAGGAGGCGCCGGCTGTGATGCGGGCTTCCGTGGTTCAGTTGGGCTTTTGGATAACACTGGAAGTGATAGGGTAACTCTCTTCGGGGGTGCATTGCCTCCTGAGACCAACACTCCATGAGGTACGGTATTTGCCCGTGGCTTGGGAGACTGGATCTTGGTGGTGGTTTGTATAGGACGTGGAGGCTCCGGCTCTTCGTCAGATTCGGATTCAGACTCTGATGATGACGATGATGAGGATGAGGCTGAAGACGATTCATCATTCTCTTCCAGGAACTCAAACACATTAGGCACCTTGTTCTCCGGCTCTGCGGGTTTCTGTGGTGGCTTTTCTAGAACAGCAGGTACATTTAGGGTTTGTGACCCACTACCCTGTTGTGAAGATGAACTGTTCTCGACAGTTTTAGAGCTCGAGACAGGACCAGCCTGCGCACTTGTAATGTTGGGGACCGACGAATATGTCTTCTTCCTTCCATCCCTTTTTGGCTTTCTACTTTGGGCCGGCATGATCGGAGAACTTCGGAATCAATACCCGGTTCATACCTCTTCAAGTATAAATATCAAAAGTCATTCCTGTAAGGAAAGAAAGGGAAATGAGAAACAAAGTACATGAAATGAATCGCGGTGGTGAAATTTGGAATTAGGAGTATAGAGACCCGAGGCATAGCCTAGGGGAGGGGTGGAATTCCAGGTCTCAGGTCGAGTCGTCAAAAGGTGCGGAATCCAGGGGATAAAAGCAAAAATAGTATATCTCCAATTTCCCCGCGAATTCCTTTAGACATTCTCCATGTAAAAGGAACAAGGAGCCCTCAGGTTGTCAGATGTTATTATAGAAAGTGAAACGTCGGCCCCCAAAGTTCCGAAGTTGGAAATAGGTCGTCAGCTGGTGAAAAACGAGCCCAACGTGTTATGCTTGTCGAAATGGAGACCTTCAATTCGTCACACGAGGCAGTCCGGGAACAATCTGAAGCAAATTAGAAGCGCCGATGGCTTTATTTAGATCGACCAATGACAATAGTGCCGCAAGGAGGTTCCTTGTATCCCTGTCGAGAGGGCGTCTTACGATTCAAAGAACTCGATAAATAGGAAAATGGTAAGGAATTGCCGAGGTGAGCATTCTAAACACTTCAGTGTGGGCCAAAGCGAGATAACAAATCAGACCTTGTAATATACAACGCATGTACGTCTGAAGGAAGTTAGAAAGGAATATGTACATGTACATGTAGTTATGCGCTGGTCGATCTTCCTTGCATCTGGCGGTCTAGCGAAGCGGGGGAATGTGATGCAGCATTGTGAACAGTAAGTACTCTGTCCAACGCCACTTATCTGCCATATTCCATGCATAAAGCCTAGTCAAGAATGTATTGATATCAGTCCAGTGGTAAGGAGTAGGGAGTACGAGTTGATAAGGTAGAAGGTGAGAGGATAGGTGAGATGATCAACAATTCAGCAATTATACATGAAGATTAATATATAATTTCATAATTTTAAATATCATTGTATCTAGAATAACAATTTTCAGTTACTTCATGTCATACATACAATATAACTACAACATTAATATTGTATGCAGACTCGTGTTGGGCGACTACATATCATTTTCTAGAGCGGGGCTTTCCTATCTGGGCCTAGTATTTTGTTATTACTACTATTTTATAACACATTAGGTATTAGGTATGTAGCTGGTCCTATATAGCTATTAGAATATCCATATCTTACATATCCATCTATTAAGTGAATAGATGACACCATATTTGTTCAAAGTTTTTGACTAGGGGCGCCTAATCACAATTAGTATAGGCGCTCCTAGTACAGAAAAGCCAACAACTTGACAGGTTGGTACCTTTCACTAACTATTAAATTGCTGCTAGTAATTACCACCTACTAGGGGCTACTAGCAAGCTAAGATTACTTGGACTATTCCAAAAGATACTTTTCAAGCCACTATATGGTTGGTTAGCTCGGCTTATCTCTCTTCCTTTTCTTTCTATATTGTTCCTGTTGATGCGTATTACGCCTGGCTACAGTGCAACATGCTTCTAGGCATTATCGGACTGTACGTTCTTCTTCTCTAAAGCCATAATATCCAGATTGGCAGAATCGCTCACCCAAAACAACATCGTACTTGTTTTGGTCTTTCTCTCTTTCTACCCTCAATTAAACTATACTTGGTTGGGAAATGGTGCTAGGGGCATTACATTGGTCTATCTACTCTCCGATTTAATATGTCTCACTGAGCATTTATTTTTCGCCTTCTTCCACACGATCAATGGGAATGTCGACGCAGGGTACTGGATTCATCGACCGCACTATGGCCTTGATTGGATCAACTTAATCCAGTTACTAGGTGTATAAGGTGTACTGATATTCTTCATTTTCCTGTGAGTTAAGATCACCACATATGCCAATGACTAGGAAGCAATCAAACCCATGATTCATAGTTTGGGGCTCAGTCTCTACTACAGTGCTACCCTCAGATAGGATCTGTGGAGTACTTGGGATGATAGGTGGATGTGGGAAATAGAAACAAAATATATAACTTGTGTAGTATGGGAAATAATAGATGTTATTAGAGAAAAAAATGTAATTTAGTTCGAGGGGTGGCATGAGATTTGACACTTTTATCGAGACGATGTATATAATTACTGTGGACGCTAGCTTGGTAGGTATAAAATTATACTAGTAGTCGTCCAGGCTATTTTCACGTATACAGCAGAATACTAGGACTTATACAGTCTTATACCGTAGTAGCATTAACTGATAGACTAACATTCCAGAGAAATTATACCTTTGAACAATCTAATACTTTATATTGAACGAGATTGGGAGCTTTACTAGTAGACTTTTAAGCGCAGACTCGGCATAAGGATTAACAAGGCTTCAGATCTCAACTTAATATAATTAAAATAGGCTTAAGAGAAATTTGTAATATCATCATCTATTATTGAAAATTTTAAAGCATTGTAGAGGTATAATAATGTACTTGAAAATGGTGGATTTGAGACTGAAGTCCAATGATCTGCAGATCGCCAAGTCCCGAGCTTCTCCCGCAAGTTCACGTCGTTCAAGATTCAACACTCTCGCAACCCGAGTCCAAATCTCTCCATGCTTCGGTCATGGATCGGCAGCGGTACGCTCCGCTCTCTTTGCGCTCGGCGCTTGACTCAGCCAGCTCTTTTATACCCTAAAGCCCAATTCTCTTCCGCGCCAAACCGCTATCTCGAACCGCCGGCCTCCGCAGATCGCGTTCCCCTCCGCAAACAGCTTAAGCAGGAAGCTAAAGCGCTTCGGTCACACAAGAGACAACGCAAGGAAACAGAGGAGGCTTCAAGAGAGGAATGGGAACTGACAGTGGGTGTGGAGATCCACGCGCAATTGGATACAGAGACCAAATTATTTTCCCGTCAGTACGCCTTTACCTCGGACACTACGAGTCATCGTCTCATAAATTGAATAGGGGCAGCAACGTCGACAAGTGAAACTCCCAATTCCAACGTGGCGCTATTCGATCTGGCGTTCCCGGGTAGCCAACCGGTTAGTGTCATGGCGTACGAAGCTGTGGAATAGGGCTAGGGCTGATCTGAGACAGGCATTCCAAATCGCAACACTCCTGCCAGCTCTCCGGGCTGCTATTGCACTGAACTGCGAGATACAGCCAGTCAGTCGGTTTGATCGGAAACATTACTTCTACCAGGATCAACCGGCGGGGTACCAAATCACACAATACTATGGTAAAGTACCGTCCCTTCTCGAACGAGAAATATACTTACATACGCTCTAGAACCCTTCGCGCGAAATGGCTATGTTGACCTATTCGATTACGATGGAATCGCCCCAGAAGACGGCGAACGGGTTCGTATTGATATCAAACAACTCCAGCTAGAGCAGGACACAGCCAAATCCCAGGAATACCCGCCATCGACACAACTTCTCGACTTCAACCGCGTGTCCCATCCTCTTATCGAAATCATCACCATGCCGCAAATCCACACTCCAGCAACCGCCGCAGCATGCGTTCGGAAACTACAAGCCATTGTACAATCGTGTGGGGCCGTGACCACGGGAATGGAGATGGGCGGTCTTCGTGCAGATGTCAACGTCTCGATCCGACGTCGAGGCGAAGCACCCGGGCAACACCAGTACGATGGGATCAGTGGGCTGGGTCAGCGTACCGAAATTAAGAACCTCAGCAGCTTCAAAGCGGTAGAAGATGCCATCATTGCCGAGAAGAACCGTCAGATCGAGGTGCTCGAGAGCGGCGGTGTCATTGAAGGAGAAACACGTGGATGGACGATCGGCACCACTGAAACTCGCAGACTTCGCGGCAAAGAGGGCTCAGTCGACTACCGCTACATGCCTGACCCTGATATCCCACCACTGATCATTGGAGAGGACCTGCTCTCCAGTCTCAGAGACTCTATTCCGACAGCCCCAGACACACTTCTTACTCTGCTTATCGGATCTGAGTTCAATCTGCCAATCGAGGATGCCAAACCACTCATCGAGCTAGACAACGGAGCCCGCCTCGAGTACTATTACGACGTGGTAGATATCCTCCGCTCTCTTCAAGTAGACCAAGACGACAAAACGCGCTCCAGTCTCGCGCGGGTAGCAAGCAACTGGGTTTTGCACGAGCTGGGCGGTCTCTTGGCCAAGGCAGACCGGCCATGGGACGCAGAAATCGTCCCAGCCCGGTCCTTGGCCCATCTTATCGACCACCTGCAGCGGAAACTTATCACCGGCCCGACAGCAAAACAGGTGCTGGCCATTCTCTTTGACGGGGACCATCGACCAGTGCCGCAAATACTAGAGGAGGAGAATCTCCTGCTACGGCCGTTGTCGCGGGAGGAGTATATAGCGCTAGCGGAGTCGGTCATTGCCCTGAACCCGCAGATGGCCGAGCAAATCCGCAGCAAGAATCAGCTTGGTAAACTGGGTTGGTTCGTGGGACAGATGATGCGCACTGGTGAAAAGGGCCGCGTGGAGGCGCCTAAAGCAGAGAAGATTCTCCGGGATTTAATTATGGGATAGCTTGTATAGTATAGCATAAAATGTATTCTATGGCACCAATGATACCCTCTTTCATGACTGTTTTAATCGCTCACTGTGTTTCCATGTAGACTTTCTCCCGGGCCTCCGATACCACCCCACGCAACTGGATCAAAGCCCGGAAATGAAATGACAGAATTCCCGGTCTCTCCGTCATTGTAACAGGTCAAAGCAAAATTTGTGGGACACCGAATGGCCCTAAAGAGGGGAGCTCTCCTCAACCTGTACTTAACGGAAGTGATGGAGATACGGCGGAGTCACTTCGATCGCTAAAAGCAGTTTTTAGCGACTTCGCGGACATTGCGCAAGGAATGAAAGCACCGCCCCGGTTGGACTCGGGGCAATGTAAGAGTCAATTCAAGATAACTTTGAGGTATTTAAATGGACAAGTTATCCTGTTTCCCTCTCTTCTCTTCAAAGAATCCTCAACCTCATAGACATCATCCTGACTTTTTCTTATCTTTATCTTATCGATCTTCGATAGCTGAGGTACCTAGGTACAGGTCAATAGCTCTCTCTCTTTTTTCTTATTTTCAAAAAGACCTACGGTCACCTACATTACACACAATGACGCAGCCTTCAACTATCACTTCGAGATTCCTCTCACACCCTGACCAGCTTGGCGTTGTTGCCGTCGGTTTCAATGGCGGCCAGGTAAGACACCCTGTGGAGCTGAAGCTATAGATTAGGAACCACACTAACCCTCAATAGTGCAAGAAGGGCGTCGAAGCGGCCCCAATGGCCCTCATCGAATCAGGACTTCTAACTCAACTCAGCGAGGATCTCGACTACGAAGTCCACCACGACAACACAGTCCACTACTACGAGAATGACATCCCCACCGAAGACCCCGACTATCGAGGCATGAAGAAGCCACGAGCGGTCAGCGCCGTGACCGAAAAGCTCAGCTCACAGATATATGACTACGCCAAGGATGGAAAGTTCGTACTCACTCTCGGCGGCGACCACTCCATCGCCATCGGCACAGTGTCCGGCACAGCAAAGGCGATCCGCGAGCGACTAGGCCGCGAAATGGCCGTCATCTGGGTCGACGCTCACGCTGATATCAATACCCCCGAAACAAGCGGCAGTGGAAATATCCACGGTATGCCGATGGCGTTCCTGACTCGGCTGGCCCGGGAGGAGAAGAAGGATATCTTTGGCTGGATGCAGGATGAGCACATCGTAAGCACGCGTAAGATTGTCTATATCGGATTGCGTGATGTCGACCGTGGGGAGAAGAAACTCTTGCGTGAGAATGGTATCAAGGCATTCAGTATGCATGATATCGACCGGTATGTTTTGTTTCGGTTTCACTTTCCCTGAGTGTGGTGGTGATGGTGATATTCGTTGCTAACCTCTTGGTCCCTCTATTAGTCATGGTATCGGTCGCGTTGTCGAAATGGCTCTCGCTCATATCGGTAACGACACTCCCATTCACTTGTCCTTCGACGTCGATGCGCTAGATCCTCAGTGGGCACCTAGTACCGGTACACCAGTCCGTGGTGGGCTGACGCTACGTGAGGGAGACTTCATCTGTGAGGCTGTACACGAGACGGGAAATCTGATTGCGATGGACTTGGTCGAGGTGAATCCCAGTCTGGAGTCTGGAGGTGCATCGGAGACCATTCGAGCGGGGTGTTCACTAGTGCGTAGTGCATTGGGCGACACTCTCCTATAAGGACCTTCAATAAAGGGATAAGGGGATAAAAGGGAATATTAAAGAGACTTCTGGAGGTTTCAGTACAAAGTAGATCAAATTAAATGCGAACTGCCAGTCAGATTGAAAGACACTAAATCCCCTGCCACCCCAATTTCCTACCTAAATCCCCTCCCCGGCCTTTTATTTTTTTTTAGATTCACTTTTTTTTCCCCCTGCGTTCTTTACTCTGTACTCTGTACATCTTGGCCTTTTCTTTCATTTAATCGGAGATTCATGCGCAATTGTAAATATCCACGTCGCACCAACTCCAAAATCCACGGCCTCCAGCGCTCAAGGGCGCCCAATGCGCTGTCCCAATCATCACGCCTCACCAGAAACACCAGAATCGACCAGTCCTCCAGAGTCATAGGATTCTACCAATCGCCTCATTGTTGACTCACGATCTGGCCATTCCATCCCAATCCGATCCCGACCCTAAAGCAAAACATAGGGCATCGAAACCTACGTCGGGCAGTATACAACAAGAAAGACCAGTATAAAGCACACAACCCACTCCACAGTCAAATTCGAGCTCCACCATCCATCACAATCCAGCAATAACCAACACACACCTCCATAACCTCATCCACATTCTATACAATCCAATGGCAGTCCGCAAGCGCCATGAAGTGCGCCGCCGCTATCACTGGCCTGAGCTCCAACTCAATATCTGGGTTATGGTTGTGTTATCATGCTCAGCGACGTGTCTGGGTATCTTCTCATGGTTTATGAATGTGCAAACGCAAATGCATCTTGGGACACCATGGTAAGTAACTATGTCTATATCTATAGTGGGTTAGGGTGGTTATCTCCGAACTTACCCCCACATTCCACATCATTCCCCATATCAGACTTGCATACAATATACAATATACTAACCAAAATATAGGCTCTTCCCATACATGGTTACCTGCAGCGCACTTGGCGTGTGCTTCATATTCCTCGTACTGGTCCTTGCATCGCGGCACTTCCTCTTACCGGGGATTATTATCATCGGCAGCTTTATTCTCCTTGTGCTATGGCTGACGGGTCTGATTGAGACTTCGCTGCAACTGTACGGAGTTGTCGGGAACGTGAATGATAATTGCCAGATCTATGTGACGGAAAATAAATCTTGGGGGAATAACATTAATACCTTGGCTTGGTTGACGCAGAGTACTATTTGTGAGTCTTGTTACTATGTCCTTTTTATATGCCGGCTTACTGACTATTTCAAATAGGCAATTGCTGGAAAACTGCGTTTGCGCTCGAGCTTGTTAATACTATTTTCTATCTTTGGATGATGATCATGTCGTGGCAGGTTAATCGGGATGTTTATGATTGATTCTTTTGTTGTTGTGATACCACTTTTTGCATCTATGGCGTTGAATGGAATATGGCATTTGGTTTTTTGGAAAGTTTTAGTTTTGCTGTGTTCATACTTCATATGTTATTTCGAAGGCACCTGGATCATCTGAGGTGCAGACAGAATCTCAAGTACTTCATAGATAGTATATCGAACTGAATTGTACAAATAGCGATTCTCACAGATACACACACAAATTCCTGAGTAACTACAGAGAAGAAAGAGAACAAGACACAAGGCCCCAAAAGTGCGAACAAAGAATCAAATGGACCTAATAAACGCCGTCGCTATGCCAAGCGCATTGCAACCGCACACACCACAAAGAGAATCTGAAACGAAGCACAAAAAAGTCAATTGAGTGTTCTATCCATTCTCAGCTGCGGCATCTGCCTCTGCTTGAGAGTCATACTCTCCGCCCTCAAATGCAGCCAGCATTTCCCGTTCCAGCTCGTCGTCATCATCATCTGGGTCAGGATAGTCGGCCTTAGGACCACTACTTGTTCCTGCCGTTTCAGAGTCAGACACACCTTCCACAAGTGGTGTTTGTGGGCGGTCTGGGGAAACTTGGTCATTACTAGAGGCAGGAGCGGATGTGATTTCTCTCAGCTTGGTGTTGCGCTCGTAAGAGCGTTTGATGCGTTGGGAGAGTCGGGAGCCTTGTTTGTCATGGTCGTCTCCGTCGTCGTCTCCCGATTCTTCCTCGTCGGTGCCACTTTCGGTTTCTTCATTGCGTTTACGCTTCTTGCCTCCGGCAAATGGTTCGTCTAATAACGACTCGTTGTCGCTTTCACTTTCGTCATCGCTGCCTAGGAAGTCCTTCAGTTCATCGTGCACAGCGGCTTGCTCATCAGCATCATATCCGACCGGCGATGTCTCGTCCAGACCGGATGACTTGAAGATATCTTCGGCATCATCTTCTTGTGTCCATTGAGACCCTGTTACTTCCTCATCTGTGGATGAGAGCATTGAGGTTTCGAGTTCGAGTTCACTTGGGGTCAAGGGATCGCCTCGGTCGTCTGGATGAAGCGGGAGGAGATAGGGTTCTTCGTCCACATGTCTCCACTGAACCAACGCGTCCACAAGCCATTGTGTCGTCACGATCTTGATGTTGGGGTAGCGAGTGGCTTCCCTCACCTTGGCGGTGCGATTGCGGCCAGCCACGAGATGAGTTGTGCGGGCATTTACTCTTGACGAGATCGTCACACCAAAGCTCTTCGCCCATAGGGAGATGTCTGCATTTTGGAAGTCTATGCCCAGAGGAAGAACACCTGAAAATACCAATACTACTCCTCCAAGAATACGCCGTTTGATCTGTGGCATGATATCCTTGACATCGGGAACCAATTTGAGATCCACGTCTTTGTCTCTCGAGTGAACCCTCTCACCCCTCAGAGCTGCCACCCGACCCCCAAGAGCCAGTGTCCGCCTCTTGTCATACTCATCATAAAATTGAAGATGTACTTGTTCGAGTCGGTTTTGCAGCTGGAAGAGTTCTTGATCATGATCCTCAAGTAGGTGATGTCGATGTTTCACAGGTTCCTGGGTTTGTTCAACCGATGCATCACTGATTCTAGGGGTATTATCCTCTGCCTCCAATTCCTTTTGCTTCTGCAATAGAGGTCGATCTTCCACCTGATGCAATATGGTCTCTTCTTGCGCGTCAGCCTGTTCCTGAAGGAGTCTTGGGCTGTCTCCGCCCATAGTCACTAGCTGTTCGAATGCTGAAACTTCGACCCCCTCTTGCGTTTTACCATTGACATGGTGTTCTTTGGTCTTCTCTGGTGCCTTTGCCTCGGTCTGAGGCTTATTTACTCCGATGTCTTCCTTCTTTGGGAGGAAACTTGAATTGATATCACCAATTCCGACGAAGAAGTCATAAGGCGAGACCTTAATAAGATTGGGACACCAGCGCCAGATATCACCACGATCGTCGATGATAACCACCATTTTTGTGTCCACTGGGAATAGCCGCTGCAGGTCCTTGACCGTCAAACTTCCGCTCTCGTCACGACTGAGAATTCGGTCTCCAAAGAGTTTGCGGGTGGGGTCAATGATATCGACAATATGTTGGGCATAAGCACGAGTACCCATGGTATAGATGTGCAATTCATATATCTCAGCCACATTTTGCAGGAATTCCTCCAGTCCTGGCCGCAGTTTGATGTAGTACCAGCATCCACGCATCCCAGGACCATCGTCAATCAATTGAAATTGTCGCACATCCCGCACAGCTTCGTGGTTTGGATTGTTCTTGTCTTCTCTCCATTCTCCCACTGTAGGATCAACAGTGGCATGGATGATAGTTTGATCAAGATCCACCACCAGGGTCAAACGCCTCGATGCAAGTAGCCGGCGCTTCGCGTCTTCTTCAACTCGGGCTGCTTCCCGTTCGCTGACTGTAAGTGTGATGTTGTCGTGAGCCATGGAGATTGGAGCGCGCATTGAATCTGTGATTTCGGTGTTGTACGTAGATCTGTTCACGGGACAGACAGTTAGAAAAGGCTCGTTTCCCGCTGAGAGACTTATACATACTCGGTCATATCCTTGCCGCACTCGGCACAAAGTCCTCCAAACTGGATCTCGTGCGCGCAAGGCTCCTCGATTTCGACAACATTGACCCTAACAACAAATCAGCCAACATTGAACAGTAAAAGTAGAAAGACTGATATTCTCACGGCTCATCAATGACGTCTCCCTTTTGGATGTGCCATTTAACAACCTCTCCATCAACAGTCGATTCAAATCTAGTCGGATACCTACGCTTCACCTCGACGGTGTTGCCTAGCCCATCACCCTCGGTGACAGTAGTCTCATAAACATACCAAAACAAAGCCTCATCCCTCTCAACCGTGTCGCCAGGCTGTTTGAGCAGCGACGTCACAGTGATCGGGTAATGTAGGCTGGTGGGCAGACGGAGAAGCATGGTTGCTCTTCGTTCGCCCCCAGGCGATGTAATGCAAATGCACTTATGCTCGGTTCCTGTCCTGGTATTCTCCCAAAATATGTTGTGCTGCCCTTGGTTTGTTGACGGCGCGCGTCAAGGACGTGTGGGTCGAATGGAGTGATCGCGTGCGATTCCGGCTACGAAGCCATCACCGACACGCAACGCGTGTAGAGCTGGATGGTATTGGGTCTCGATGATAATATTTCAGCTTATGACTCAGTGGCCTAAGCTAGATCGGGGGAATATGTATGTGTGAATGGTGGTTTGGGCAGCGCAATGAGAATCGCCACTACAAGGCGCGACTGGGAAAAGAAATCCGTGCGCCTAGCACGACCTGGCGCGGAGTTCAGAGGAATGTCACACACCAGGCGAAGTAGTTCACTTGAGTTTGAGGAGGCGCAGAAGGTTGAAGGAAGAATGCGGGCTGTGATCAAAGAAAAGCGAAGCTCATTGAAGTTGTGCGGGGACTCACTCAATCCGGGTTGAGAGCTGCTCCCGCTTATGTCATACCGGTACTTTAAAACAGGTACCCTCCACTACTAAGTAACGTGTGGTCTACTTTGATTCAAGTATCTTGTTTTTCTGAATGGTCTGATATAATGGCTTGATCAAGTACCCTTCAAATATATTTCTATTTTTATTTTGGGAGGTCGTAGTGACATTCGACTCGCTTTCTGAAACTATGTAATAAAAACTTGACTGTAGCTTGGTGCTTACCTGCACCTTAAGCAGCATAAGCTCCAGCCAATTGCCACTCAAGCTCTTGTGTGTGAATTTACCGAAGGATCCAACTCAGCATATTATGGCCACTAGTTACCTACATAAGTATGTGAGAAGACTTATTCGATAAAAAGATCAAATGTAGTATAAGTAGATCGTAACAATAAACATATCAATTTGCAATACAATGAACGACAGGCCTTGTGCCAGCAAAAACAAAAACCTGATCAAAATTCTACCCAGTAATAGGCGAATGAAGTGTGCTATGAAACCATACGTTGAACCCAAAAGCCACATGTATATACGAAGCAATCTCTTGGTGTTACCTGGTTCTTTGATATTCACAGCTCACCGGGCCATCGAGCATTGGGACATTTATTTGGCCTTGGCCAGACCAACGGCGTTGTTACCGACATCATAGACACTGTACCAGCGGCGCAGGAAGGCATCACCCAAAATAGCAAGGGGACCCACGGGCTCAGGGAAGTCCATGCCCATGAAGCTGCTGATGCAGGAACCCTGGACCTCCAGGATGTAGTCGTGGGGGCCAATGGTGAACTTGTGACCGCCCAGGGTGAAAGTGAGGTCGGGCAACGAGTCGCGCTTGTCACAATCGACACTGTACTGACCAGTGAAGCCCTTGGTGGCGCCAATCTCCTTGTTCCTGTGGAGTGAGTCAGCAAAGAGGTTACAAAAACAAGCGAGAGATCAACTTACAGAAGCTCGGCCATGGTAGAGGGCAGGGCAATGAGGGAGGTACCAGTGTCCAGAATGACACCAGTGTTGTCAAGTTCAGCAACATTGTCACCAAGGGCAATGGAGTTGAGCTCCACCTCCCAGTACGCCTTGCGGCGGAGAGGGATCTTGATCAGCTCACCAGTGTAGTGGCTCTTGTCAATGCCACCGAAAGTGGCCTCGGAGTTGTCGCCATCCTTGTTGGCATCGCCAAGGTAGAAAGCAAACACAGGCTCATCCACGAGCTTCTGGTTGATCATGTGATAGAAGGGAGGAACCATTCCGTTCACAGAGATAGTATCATAGCCGAGGCCGAGAATACCATCAAAGCGACCGAAGGCAAAAGCCAGACCAGGCTCATTGGTAGCTTCAGCGAAGTCCTGTCCCTCGACTTTCAAGTCACCAATCTGGAGGGTGTCTCTAGACACGAAGCCGCTCAGGCTGCCAGATCCATAGCGAATCTCGAACTCGGTGCCATTCTTCTTATAAGTGCTCGAAGAAGAAGAGTCATACTTGCTGTGAAGGAAGCAGGCGATAGAGCTGCACTGCGAAGAAGGGACCCACAGGTTGGAGCTACCGGTGTCAAGGACAACCTTGAAGGTCTGGGGAGGAGTACCGATCTGGATCTCGGAGAAGTCTGCAAGGGTCAGCATCATCGTTCAGAATCTAGATTTTCAGAGTTCATATCATACACTGAGCATTCAGGAAGTTGTCAACCAGCACGCCATGGCCGCTAGCAGGATTTAGGGAAGTGTCGTGGAACAGGTCCTGGTGCTTCTCAGGACGAATGCCCATGTACTTCTGGCCCAGGTTGTGAACATGAGCATCGATGTTGTGGGTGCTCTATTAATTAATTAGTTTCCGGGATATTGTTAGGGCAATGGCGATATTGGATCATACCAGTTGCTCAGACAGAGGGACCTTGTTGAGCTTGAGCTTGTGAACCTCGGCGGCGGCACTGCCCAACAGAGCCGAAGCCGTTAGGAGGGTGAATGACTTCATCATTCAAGATAAAAGAGAGTTGTAGATGATGGATGCAAACAAGAGAATGACTTGGATGTGAGAAGGAGAGGGGAGATAAGGGTAGATGGTAGATGGGGAAGAGTGGAGGCTGGAGAGACGATGACGGAAGCAGGAGGGTCACACTAACCCCCTTTGGGCGATGGGCCTCATGACATGGTTCTCAGGAAAGGTACCCGGGGCCGGGGATTCCAACTTCCATTTCCTACGTACGCCGTACGGAGTATACAAGGAATATTTTATGTTTCTCAAGACATTTACCCATATGTTCACTCTCTATACTACACTCGGTGCAAGACTCGGACCTGAGCAGGGAAAACGTTTTGGGCTGGTGCCTGGGCGTGGTTAGCGCCATTGACGGAATGGTCGGACTGGTCGGAAAACATCCCGCGTACCTGGCAGCTCCAGCATTGCTGAAGTGGCAAAATGCTACACTCATGATGTTGTTATACAGGAGAGTATCGTGCCCTACTGTGGTAGGCCATAAAGTTTTGGATGTGTACGGAGTATCATTGTAAACTTTTAGGATATGTTTCCGTAGTCCGTCTAGCCCGGAGACCGAAACTGTCTAGAAAATACTCCGCTCAGTGTCCCTCAAGAGAGCGCGTGCCCTTCCAATATACTGTGCAGCTACCTTACAGCGAATTTCAATGAGTGAATACCACCAAATAGCGGTGGGGGGATCGAGTACAGTATCCATATTATCACAGTATGAGTACGGACAAGCAGCATTAAGCCTACAGGAGACTCAGAAAATAAGCAACTCTCACTTGGTTCCAGGATATAGTATGTAGTTAGTACCATACGGAGTACAAGGATCCTAGTCGATGAGATATGATGTCACGTGAATGAACATGTTCGGACTTTTCAAAGGAAAGCCAACCTCCTGACAGCAGGCTCAATGGGTGTCCTTTTGGGGGTACTACGCGCCATTTATCAAGCTAGGCATGATTTCTCCAGCCATACGTGGGCCCAATAAGATTTGAACCTGAACATATGTATTTGCTTCATTGCAGACCGGTCTCCCGCGGTCTTCTGATGTGTATGTCGAAATACTGCGTTGAAATACTAAGTGAAAACAGGGTTTGCATAATCCTTAGTGCCTGAGGCCAATAGCTTGGCATCCACATCAAGCTTTATACCTCTATACTGAACTTAGAAAGCACGCAAAGAAAGGGGTCAATATTAAAGCAGAGCAACGTTGGAAGCAATGGGCTTACTGGTTATATAAAAACTACTCTGTATACTTAGATGCTATAACTAGAACTATCCACTGGACACTATACGATCCTTACAGAATCTTATCTAGTAGTAGTATATCATACTAAAGCCTTGCCTCCTACGAGTAAGTAAAGCGATAAATATAGGAATGGACAGAACGGTAAGTGTATTTCCCGCTAGCAACTAATAATATGAAATAATACGTAGATGATAGGATGTTCATTATTCTCAAAGGAGGAGCAGAATTTGTTGGAGCAAACACCCCAATTGAGCCTCACTCCATGATGAAATGTCTTCTCTGAGCTCGTCGTTGGCGCATCTTGGAGGCTGAATTTGTTGTGTCAAACTCTTGCGGGATAGACAAAAGAGATTCTGAATGTTCAAGTTCATATGGCCCTCCAAATACGAACGGCTTGCTCTCATCGTCTCCGAAGTTCACTATGACGCTACTCCCGGGGCTTCTTATGTCGAAGCAAATAGCAGGATAAAGCTTTCCTTTCACACCTCGAAATGCAAGACCTATATTCCAGGTTTAGTCAATTACTCCGGTAAATTTGAGTAGATAACATAAGTGCAACGATTAATCCTGTGGATAGGAGTAAGTCAATCTAGGGGGAAACTCACCTAGCGATTTGCCATTTCTCGTGTAGAATGTCGTCCCCTGATTGGGGTCAAAGCAGCAACCAATGGTGTCGCCAATGGAATAGTCCCCCTTTCCGTATGGTCTCCCCTTTCCATATCCTGCAAAGATTTTTCCGTCATCCCCGTGAAAGCCCCACGAACCTGAATCCCAGCCAAGCATTCTATGGAGCGGCGCTTTCTCGTCACAGAATCCGATACCGATGACGCTGTAAACTCGAATTAGTTTCCGATTACAATGGTTTTCCTCTTTTTCTTTCTTCTTTTGATGACGAAAATCGAGATTTCACGCACTTTTTCCTCGATTTTTTGGTTATGGTAACCTCAAAATAGAAGATGCCTTTGCCACTCATCGGAAAATCAGCCCGCACGACACCGAAGCTTTGATTTTCATAATCGGCAATAAGGGGGCCATCTGAGAGCTTGATTAGCATCTTGGTAAACTGGTAGCAAAGCTGGACTGTCTTCACATACCCACGACAATCACCATTTTTCCGTTACTTCTAACATCCAAGCATATATGTTTGTCTTTGGGATGCAAGTGGGACGGAATGTGAGAGATGTCTGAGGAGTCAACAAGGTCATCATCATCATTTGCCCCAGCACTTCGAAGTTTAAACTCAATATCAGAAAGATCTTGTTGTTTTGCAGTGAACAGAGCAGACCATCCATCCGGAGACGGTGTGTTCAGGTTGACATTGCAGTCAGTAAGCAGCGTTTCCACGAACTTGCTATTTTTCACAGCAACCGCGGCTCGAACAGCATCTGCGGCGAGGCACTCGAATGATCCAGAATCTTTCACAGCCTGAAGAACTATGTCGAAGACTTCCGTGTTGTTTGTCAAGCATGCCCAATATAGTGGGCTTCGGCCTCGAGCGTCCAACTTAGTCAGTGTGGATTGATGCCGAAGAAGCGTTGATAAATTCTGTAGGTCCTTGTTCAGAATGCAATAGACTAAGGCTGATTTTCCTCCATCGTCTTGAAGGTCTGGATTGGCCTTCTTGGACAACAGTTTCGGTACGGCCTCACGCCACAGTTCTGCAGCAATGATGAGTGCTGTTTTTCCATTTGTGTCTTGTGCATCAAGTTCGATACTTTCATACCCCAACAAAAAGTCCAAGACTTCTTCCGCTCTCTTGATTATTGCGATCATAAGTAGTGAGCGCCCAATGGAATCGCGCAGGCGTACGCGGCTCCTCTCTGTCCCCACGAGAGCCTCAATGATGCCTCGAACCTTTTGTCCAGCAGCCATAAGAAGCACTCCGGGAATCTTCGGCACCTCGATTGTGGGATCTGCCCCGTGACCAATTAGCAACTTGATGGTATCAAGATTACCCTCACGAACTGCGACATGAAGTGCGGAGCCATCCTTCGCGTTAGTATGGTTTGGGTCTGCTTTATGTCTAAGAAGTAGATCGGCGACATCGCTTTGGTTGTTCGATATGGCAAACATCAATGGAGTCTGATTCTGCGCATTAGAGATTTCTATCCCAATTCCCTTGCTGAGCAGCAGCTGCACAATGTCTGCATTACCACCGGCCGCTGCCGCACATAGTGATGTTCCCCAGCGACTGCTTATCTTCGTCAAATTTGCACCGCATTCGACTAGCATTTCCACTTTTTCAATTGCTTGTGTGCCATCTTTTACACTCAAACATGCAAAATGAAGCGCAGTGGTCCCATCTTCATCGCTGGTGTCGCAATTGAAACCACCATCAAGCAAGCTTTTCAGGTCCTGTGCCTTACCAAATTGGGAGATTTGATGGATAGCGGCCATGTGTAGAGCCTCATTCTGCAGAGCTTGTGGAATCATCGCCTTGATAAGGGTATCACATGTTTTTTTATAGCCATAGAAATTAGCGAGAGCGAGTGGTGTTTTCGAATCTTCAGTTTGTATAAATGGGTTGGTACCGGCATCGAGCAATGCTTGGGTGATTTCAGGAGAGTCATACGCTGCATGAAGTGCGGTCCGGCCGTCATCATTTTGAAGATTCAAGTCTGGAGGTGGTGACCAGCTTAAGAGAGTATTCACAGCTTTCAAAGCACCGCAACAGGCTGCTCCGTATGAAGGTGTGTCACCAGTGTTGTCCTGAGTATTGATATTAGCGCCTTTCTCGAGTAGAGCTCGTAGAACATTCGGAGAATCACTTCGCGCAGTGAAGAACAGCAAGTTCGAGTAATAATTTGCTGTGGAATTAATGTCTGCATCAGCATTGAGTAGAGTTCGAGCCACTTCTAAATGATCGCCTTCAGCTGCGTAATGTAATGGAGTATTCTTCCTTGCATCGCGGAGATGAGCGCTCCAGCCATGTTCAAGAAATGATTGCACTAGGTCGTGATATCCACGCAGCGAGGCCACGTGAAGCGGACCTTTGTAAACTTCTATCTCGCGAGCAGCTATTTTCTCATTCTCATTTTCAAGGATGTGTAAAACCACGTCTTTATGGCCTTCCTCGACCGCTAGTGAAAGGGGGGTGTTGTGGTAGTTGTCTTCTGCATTTAAATCCGCCATTTCAGACTGCAGCTGTTGAAACACTTTCAAGTGGCCCTTTTGGGCCGCGAGATGCAACGGCGTTTTTCCTTCTGAGTCTCTAGCGTTGATGTCGGCCTCCCAATTAATCAGAGATTTCGTCATCGCAATATCATCAGATTGCGCCGTGCGGTGCACCATAGTCCATTCTTCATCTTCTTTCATATTGATATCAAAACTTGAGATTCCCAGAGGCTGTTCCACCGCCGCTTGATAACCGTTATCGATTGCCTCATGCAGTGCGGTTTGCCCCTGTTCGTCCCTGATGACAGGCCAAGTCTCGGGTTCTGCTCGCGGAGGAAGCTCTGTCGAGGTAAAAGTATTCCCTTTTGCTGCAGCCTGATAAACAGCCCAACTTCCTTCCCTCTTCCCGGGAACCCTGGGTGGATGTAGAAACCATTTCGCGGTGCCTCGATGGCCACTTAGAGCTTCAGAGGCCAAGAAAGGAAGTGAATCATCTTTCGAAAACCACAATTTATTATCAGTGTTACTGGTCCGCTGTAGCGGCTCTTCCAACCCTGCCGGATTGTCTCGCTGAGCTGCTAGATCCACAGGCGTATATCCCTTTGCATTGCATACAAACAAGTCCTGCGCCCGGTCAAGAATCATTCTGGTAATTCTTGGTTCCCCAGCTTCTGAGGCTACATGAAGAGCATTTTTCCCATCTAGAGCCACTGCACTAGGTTGGGCACCCTTATCGAGCAGCAATCTCACAATTTCGCTTGAGCCGGCATGAGCTGCAGTTTTCAGCGCATCATATCCTGCGTCATTTGCCAGATTGATGGATGCTTCAAACTGTAAAAGTAACTCCACCATCGGCACCTGCCCGGTCATGGCGGCGAGATGCAATGCAGTGAGCCCCTGAGGCCCCTTCCTGTCAACCTTGGCATGATTTTCCAAAAGAATAGTAGCAATCTCAGGGGACCCAACCAAAACAGAGTAGTGAAGGGGCCCGTAGCATCCTTCATTATCCGCCTGGTTGACGTCTACTCCGACGCCGATTATATCCCTCACAGCACCAGAAGATCCAGCCTTGACACTCAAGGTAAGTATATGGGAGGATATACCAGTAACATGCTCGAGAAGAGCACCTACAATCCCTTCATGGCCATGCATAGCTGCAATATTGAGTGCATCGTGCAGTGTGGAGTGGGCCTGCTCGGCCGTTGGAATTATGGAGGCATAATGTGTCACAAGCCCATGGAGTCCAAAGCGGGCAGCAATTTGAAGGGGCATCTGTTCTTCCTCGGTCTCAAAAATTTGATCCTCTTTCTTCTCAACAAGTTCGTTATACCAGGTCACCCAAGTACTGCGAAGTTTCTCGTTAGATAGGAACCGGGCTGCTCGCATGGTGGACTGGCTCGTCTCACTCTCCTAGCAATGCTGAGGCCAATAAAGCGTAGCATAATGAAGAAGGCCAAGCCGAGGGTCTGTAGATTCATATGTGAGATTCTTGCCCAACTGCGGTAGAACAAGCTCGAGATAAACCAGACAGTTGCTCAGCAAAGCTTCATGGCTAAATGATGGGCAGAGCCGCTGGGCAATCATAGAGCGACACGCCTCATCAGCAAATATTTGATCATCATCGGTAATTTGAATCCATGGGCCAATGGCCTTGCATGTATCTCCAATGATATCGCAAGTTGTACGATCTGATAGCGTTTCAAACGCCTCAGCTTCCCCAAATCCATCGAGGGCCACAGCAACGGCAAGTTCGGTAGGGCACAGAGGCCTCGCCGCATACACTACCCAGCCTAAGGTAGCCTGAAGCCAGTGGCCATCTTGGGGCTCGATTGTTTTAAGACTTGCGTCAACCCAGCTTTCTAGTGACGTTGGCAGGGTGTTAGTCAGGCTGGCCATTGTTGATCTTCCCAGCGACTCAGGTATTCCCTCCCAGCCCATTCTTGCTAAACTTAACAAGTATACTGTTGGAACCTTAGATATCGCCTGAATCAATGACCATTCATGCATGTACCATTGAGGTCTGTCTTGCAGGAGACGGCAGACGATCAACTTGTCAATATCTGCACGCAGAGTTTGGAACCAAGCTTCATTTTCCGGAGAAAGAGGTTCATTGCTGAATGTCGGATCACCCCCCGGCGGATCATCTTCCAGGATAAAAGCTATTTTCACAGAAGCTGACAGCGCCCTTGAAATATTCTGGACATGTGCTAAAAGCTCCTCGGCACAAGCCTTATGTATCTGCGGAGCATAAATCTGAAAATAGACGGAAGCATCGTCAAGAACCTCCAGGAGGCCCAGAAAAAGGGTTTGGAGATTTGATTCTGATAGAGGCGTCAACTGGACCAACTCTTTGCACATGGCTGCTGTCCGAGAAAAGACCCTGGGTTGTTGCAAGAGTATTTGGCGGCATAGAGACAGCCAGACTGATCGTTTAGTGACAGGTCTAGTGTGGTAATGGTCAAACGCATAACTAAGAGACACACTATTCTCTCGATTCTGCCCCATCATGTTTGACAGGCAGTATACAGCAGTAACGTAGCCAAAGCCCGCTGGGGTTCGAATGTAATGGGCCTGATTGCTCGACTCGGAGGTCTGTTTCCAATCATCGAAATTGAATGCATCCCTCTCCAAGATCAACGGAGTGGCATATATTGGAGCAATGTGGCCTGCACGTACACGACAAGTATCTGAATCTTTCAGACACCTTGTCTGCAGATTCATTCTTTCCTCGACTTCCTCCGGATAGCTTGCTATTGATTGGAAGCTATCAGATGTTGCCCTGGAATAAACTAGGGACCTGACTCACAGCTGGTACTGGTATTTAGATGCGTCTCACCCATCTCCCTGATTTTCCCCCATAGTCTGTCAGTTGCATCATGGTCATCATTTTCCCCAGAGTGCCAAATGCCATCCACAGCAAAGGGTATTTCAATGACACTTTCATCAAGCGACTGCTTTGTTTGCAGGTTCCGTATGCTCTGCGTCACAAAAATATCAGATCATGAGTTTCTCTCGACTCTTCTCGAAGGTCACCCAATAAAAAGAATTATAATGTCATACCGGGTACAAGGGTGAATCAGCATTTTGCCGTTCGATAGCAATGATGGTCCGCATTTTCTGGCTGATCATTGCACCGTCCATTTCAACAGTGTCAAAAGAATCGAAAATATTTCGCAGGAAATCAAACAGCTCTTCAGTAGGTCTTGAACTGTAATCAACTAACAAGTTCATAACTTGACCTGGCCAGAGGGTAGTATCAGACGGCCGGTTAGGGAAGCCAAGGTAGACCTGAGCTGTCAGTTAGCACATCTCTCTCCTGTAACCACCACGACGGTTGAAGGAAAGGTTTCTAGATACAATTCCGGCAATATGAGAGGAGATAGCATCAAAGCATGCTCTTTCAGCGGCTAAGGCAATGATCTATATAAGAAGTTTCATGCTCAGTTCTCGATAAGTAATGCAACTCCGCTGGGGTTTTTCCGTTTACCTGTTTGATCAGAAACCCTCCCAACTGGTAGCCCAAGAAAACGATGGGTAAATGTTTCTATCTCAGTCTCTGTAAGATCTCTGCCGCGGGAAAATCAATTGAGAATGAGGGGCCTAACCGAATCATCTTTCCTATGCAGCAAAAGATCTTCGATCGTTTGCTGTGCCCTCTGACGGGCAAACTGTGGTCTAGAAAGCCCCTCGGCGTCTCTCTCTAGGAATTTGAATTGACTGATCAAGGCACCCGGGAAATTTTTGGAGAAAAACTCGGTGCGTTGGCTGTCAGAGACAGATGGGGGAATACCATGGATCCATACCAAGCTACCAATGAATCAGTTGTTGTCTCAAACATCCGGGCGTTATCCCTATCCAACTGAGCGACTTACTGGAAATGTGGCCCCATTATGGTGCGTTATAATCCGTCGAGAGATAATACTCGTTCTGCGTCTGTCAAAGGTGTGATGAATATGCCCATGGGTTGTCAGAAAGCGCTTTAGGAGACAAGCCGAATGAGATCGTCTCCCAATATTTAAGCTGGGCTAGGACCTGTAACATCAAAAGCTCTGAAAAGGAGCTACAAGCTTTGTGGGCTCCACATGGCACATATCGACGTACCATTTTGCTGCGTTAGCGCTTACTACTATGTAACTAGTCAAATGAGGCGAAACCTGAGATGTGCCGGTATCACAAAGTACAATGTATGACTCAAACAGTAAACGGGCTAATAAACACACTAAGTGTTTTTGGACTCCGACTTGAGTTTATCTGTATGTGAGAGATATACTAGTACATACATAGAAATGCTAGTGTGTGACAGCCCCGGCACCTGTAGTCCACAGCGATATTCCTAAGATCTACTCCGTACTCCGTAATTGATAAACCTTTAGTAGAAGTGCCTATTTTTAGACCGAAATCAAATGCAATAATAATTAATTACATTTGTTTTTTTATCACTTTGGACTAGTATAGATAGAAAAGCCATAAACCATCATGGTTTCCGGTCATCAAAACCAGCCCCAATTGCCGGTTTTGCGGTTTTTGGCGCAGCCGAAACTGTCCAGAAAAGGAACTTTTCCTCGCCGTATGTCTTTGCTGCAGCCGCAATGCTACTCTCACTCAGATAGTCAAGATCGATTATCTTAGCGCCGGTTGCTTCAAGCTGCCCGCGTGTATTATTAGCAAAATTGCCCCATATTTCATTGTGGTCGGAATTGACCTGCATCATGAAAAAGAGGCGTCAGATCTACTCCGTAGTCTCTGCTCCGATAGTGCCAGAAACATCCCATCCATGTTCTTGTATAGCCTATCACCAAGCTCCTCAACTCTATATTCAAGAGTAATGACGATGCGCGGGAATGTGATAACATACCATCTAGCATGGCCATTTAGTCTGGTTACGATAAAATGAGGCAATGGCCTTCCTAGGATTCCTATCAGTCCTCCACCGATTAAGACCCGGTCATACTACCCCTGGGCATTCCAAACATCTCTCGGTGCGAGTCAGCGGACTGAAACGCAAAATAAAATCACGTGATCCTCTATAACATCATGGTTGCTCTAGCAACGATACATCGGTTAGAGGGTTCCCAACAACTCATCTTGTCCAGATTTTGACTTAACATACGTCCTTCGACGAGAGGGAATAAAAACAGTAAACTTTGGGATATACTATGTTGTGTTCAATCCACCCTGATGATGTGTGCTGGGCAAAACGTCGCGATATTGTCCTGGATTGAGGAAGTTGCGAGGAGCGTGCCCAAAACCCCGCCTAACACTGATCGGTTTGATAAGCTGGTGAGCAACCTAACGACGCCTTTTTCAACGCCAGTGATTCAGCACAAACGCAAAAGGTCATTACCTGGAACCGAAAATTCGATGCCACAGCCAGATCCTTCGAAGAGACCCTATCGAACTAGCTCCGAAACAGCATCTACCATTTCCGTCCGTCTACCTGACGATATCACCTCTTTGGCCCCATCAAGTTCCGCAGCTAGTCGAGGTAGCAGGTCTCGTTCATCTAGTCCATCACGCGTAAAAGCAGAACTAGCCGCCGCCACTCCACGGGTCGTCTACGTACATGAGTCTGCCGACCCGAAAAGCGTCGCTGCGAGTCAGCTACTGGCAACTCTAACACAAGGCTCTGAATTCGGCCCAGACGAAAATGTTGCTCAGAAAATCTCAAACGCATCGTGTCAATGTGCTACTGAACTGCGCAGCGAAGGTTCCTGGTTGAACAAGGTCGCACTGCCGCTGTTAGAGGGAGCCATTGCAGAACTGCCGTTAGAGTGTTGGAGCATGTGTGTCTTAACCACAAAGACACGTATACCCTACTGCTTTGTTGCTAATCTCTTGTAGTCAAACAGAGTCCGTTGACCCTCAGTACCAACCTCGCTACACAGCCCGCGATACATACAACCACAAAGTGGACCTAGTTGTCGGTCTACCTGTGGACTTTTGGAAAGTATACTATGAGCAGGCTGGGCTCAATACACCAGGGAAATGCTTCAGCCATATGTCCCATCCGCACACTGGGAAACGTATTCTGGGCGCCGGTTTTGAGATTAAAGCCGCGGACGAAAACTTGGTAGAGGCGCAGGTCCAGCTTGGGGTATGGATGACAGGACTACTGATGTGGGCTTTCGCACAACGCAAGAGTGTGAAAAACTTACCTCCACTTATTGGCTGTACTACTGTTGGAGAGGACTGGAAATTCTATATTGCAATCGGGGTCGAAGGGTCTGGAGTTCTGGAAGAAGTAGTAAGTAATACACTTCAGTGTCTGTTTGCAATGACTAAATTTTGTTTCTTCAGCGTATCTGGGGTCCTTTATCTGACTTGGATGGCCGCACCACAAGTGTTAAACATACCATATCTCTTTTGAGAACACTTCGCCGAGTCATGGAATACACAATTGGGCAGTACAAAGAAATTTTTCGAGCCGTTACTTTTGAGGCTTAAAGATGGTCTTCAATTACATGGGCTTTCTTTCGTTTCGGCCTGGCCAGCCAGGGAAGAAACTTGATGTCCTCTCTCAAGCCTTTAGGTTGCACAAATCACCCTTAGCGGGAAATTACCTTCGCAAGATTCTCTATTTATACATGATGGGATAAGGAGACCGGACAATTATTGGAATAAGCTGGAAGACATGCAATATATACGAGCCTATACCACGAGCCACGTTCATTTTCAATTAACATGTTGTGTTGGCATGCTAGATGAAGAAAAATGAGGGTTTTAACTCCTACTGTATAACTTGACGCATAATAGTTATTGCTTGGCAAGGCCAGCCAGCCTTGCTATTGTAAGTAATTTTGACTCCTTAGCTGGGCTTCTCACATAACACGCCTTCGGCGCGTTTTCGGGGCTTTAATAACCCTTGCGGTGGTAATTCCAGATATATTCTGAGATGGGGAAGATAATTCAAAGAACATAACTTTCGATCAATAAGACAGAAAAGAATGGACAGCGGTATTAACACAGTGGTTAGTTACTTCACTCAGAAGGGCCTCTTCGTAAGTAAGGACAATCGTCATCACCACCACTGCATCGTAGGTTCAACGTACAACACATCCCAGGGGAATGATCAGCATCATCCACGGCCCCGGCACTCCCCAACGTGAGATTTTTCAAAGTCTGGTACTGCCCATCTCTCCATCCACTCGCATTTTAGAATATCCCGCGCAGTTAACCGCTTTTCAGGCTCAAAACATAGCATTGATCGTAACATATTCATAATAGCAGCTTTCTCTTCTACGTCAAAACCGGGGATTCCAGCCTGTTGTCGTGGGAGTTGAATGTGCTTTTCAAAGCGGTCTTCCCAAGACCTCACCTGTCGACCTTGATTTGGTTTTCCACTTTCATCGAAATATCTGTGGCGCGCTGCCCATTTCTCCCACCACCGTAGGGGTAATTTCCCTCGAGTATCAACCTGTTCGGCTGTGATATCGTCCGGCGTGGCCAGTATATCCTCGAATAAGGGGCGCTGGCCGAGTATTATCCATATCGAACAGGCGAGTGTCCAGATATCAGCTGAAAAGGAAAGGCCACATTCTGGATCAAACCGGGCTTCAGGCGGCGTAAAGGATATAGGAGTGTGCGAGCTATATCGGTACTCTATAGAGGGTCTGTATGCCTCTCCAAAATCACTAAGTAAGACTCTAGATTCTGGAAGGGAGAATTCCTCTGAAGCTTTTCCAAGCCAGATCGGAGGGACGACGCTAGATGGAATACTGGACTCCTTAATGGGCTGCCCATCAAAACGAATGACTGGCTCTAACGTGGGCGAACCGTATTTTTCGTATAACTCCTCAATTGAGAGCTGATCGAAATCGGCTGGGAGACCTAAAAGAATATTGCCGGTATGAAGGTCTAGAATAGTTATTATATAAGCATATAGTTATAAACCATCCACGGATGGTATAAAGAATGGTGACTAACCTCCATGAGCAACTCCTTTACTATGGATATACTGGACGGCTAGTAAGAGTTGTACAATAAGCGAGCGAGCTGTGCTGGCCTGAAAGATGCGTTTGTATGACCCTTCTTTCGCACTAGACACACTGCACATAGCTAATGTTGTCACGTAGCAAGGGTGGGTACCATTAGGGCCATGGAGGATGAATCTGTCTTTGATAGAGGGTATCATCGAACTCCCTAGGTGATCAAGTGGAGAAGAGTGGTTGAGACAATTGAGGACATCAGCCTCTCGATCGTTTGACTCCGCCGTTCTGACGTGGTTGAGGTAATTCAGGACATCAACCTCTCGATCGTTTGACTCCGCCGTTCCGACTTTGACTGCCACGTATGTATTAGACTGGGAATCCCGGCAGAGCCAGGTGGTTGAATAGGCTCCGTAGCCTAGCTTGTGGGCGACTCGGTATCGGGAATGAAGAACATCTCCTATCAGGATAGGATGATATCCACCAGGCTGGTACTTTTCAAGTCTCTCGACTTCTTCTATCGGCACATATTTGAAGGGGAGCGGACCAGACTCAGCACTAGACGAGAAGTTCTTAAAAGCCATGAATGGCATGCGTGCAAGTCCACCAACAGAAGTTTTCCAAGAACAAGGATAGTAAAGCAACGAGGGAAATGTTCGCTGGATAAACATCTGACATATAGAGCTTCGTTGACGAGCCCAAAGTGAATTTTGTGACTTGATCACGAAGACCCGGATAATGTGAGTCCAGTAAATGATTGAGCGGTAAAAGGCGGATTGATTATGCCCACTACCAGATCATCCTTTGAAAGGGGTAGTTTGCCTGTAGCTTGACGTATTGGGTGTTCAGTAGGTGATAGATTGGCGTCTAGAGCGCATGGAACCTCCAGAGGTCGTCGGTAGGTAGGTAGGTACCCGTATTGTCTTAGTCAGTCGCCGTAGCGACCGCGCGAACAAGGTGGCTAGGGAAATCAAACGGAATGTTTCAGATTCCAGCAGAGCAACACCACCAAGCCACAATCCCCATATGGTAGGACACAACTTCCATTGGATGACCCAAAATCACTGGAGAGGAGAATTCGGGAAACTATAAAGTATACATCCAAGAAGTGTGTGCCAAGCCCCTAGTACTAACCAATTAACTACCAAAAACTCATTTGGAAATTGAGCTCTTTACAATTAGTTCTGCTGAGACTATCTCCGAAATATAAATGCAGATAGCCCTTTTGTATCTAGATCGCGATATGTATCCACCGTGCGTGCGCTTCTATCAATTTTCTGAGTATTGGATCATCTTTGAATACTTAACGTAGTCACTAGCGGTTCTATAATCCCACGCAAAGCCTAACTTGTAGGCCTCGTGCTTGTAAAATATGAGGTACGCGTAGTTCACTCGTGGCAGTGGGCCCTGGGAAATAACAGTGTGTAAAATGGTGAAGCTGGCTTTGCAATTCTCACCCAAGTAACAGTCCATTCTGCTGCTGCAGTGTCAATAAAATAATGTTCACTGTTGCTCTGTTTTGACGGCAATCAGTGGTTCGACAATGTATATTATGGCACATACCATTCAGCGGTATCTACACATGTATGTTAACTCTCTAAGATGACAAAAATTCCCAATTTCAACCTTGCTTGGAATAGACATGCTGACAATAACATGCACATATGTATGCTACTCCAATTTCCACAGTTATGTGGTCTTCTGGGTAAATATCCTATAAATCCATGTAGTTGTCTTTATTTCTGACAAGCTTTACTAGCCATCTTATCTACCATTCTTGGATTCTCCGAGCACATTGTAACGCGAATTTGCAGGCTGCAGCTATCACCACCAACCAGCGTTGGGTTTGTGTCGACCAGTTGGTACCCTGCAGGATCCAAATGTTTCGGTAATCCAAACTCTAAACACTATCAGCATTTGGGAAGTGGCCATATCCAATCTCCGGTGCAACATCTAAGTCTGTTTCAGAAGGCCATACTGGCTTTCCATTCGACTTCAGACGGGAGTCTGGCTTCGGCCCCGAATGAGTCGCTTGAAGGAAAGTCAAGTCCCCTTTTCCCTTGACGTAGCCATGAGAAGCAAAATGGGTATTGTTGGTAAGCTGGACGTCGTCTTTGAAACAGAGAGTGACATGCCAACCCAAGGGATCAGGCTTATGTACACCTCCTTGACTGGTACTGGAGTGCTCGTGAGATCTGCGAGTGTACATTAGCAAGATCTTCTCCAAAGACCATGGTCACAAGTCTCTAAAGCTCTGTTCATGTTTGTAGCCACTATTATGATCATTGTGCTGAAAGTCCTTCTCACCTGATGAGGATGGCCTTGGGGTAGAGTTTCCTGTCTCTTGCAGTCTGGTAGGCAAGGGCGACCAAGTCTCGCAGCCTCTGTTGATTTTCAGGGAGCATTCCCCGGTAGAAGTAGTATTTCACAATGTTGATGGTCGACATAGGAGGCCAGTGAGTTATTTATTATAGGACTATATCTTATAGCAGTATATAATTGACGAGATGTTGGCTAGTTCAATTGGTCACTGAGAAAAGCAGTTGGGAGGTAAAATTCACCACAGCTGTCGAGGGGCTTTATAAACATGAGGAAATCTTCTGGGCTGAACCTTTTTATACAGACCTATCACATCACAAGTCAGCGGCCAGCCACAGAAGAGACGCGAGGAGACCAACGTTGCATAGCGGGGCCCAACCAACGACGTACAGGTTTGCACAGTTGACAAAATACCCTCATTATTTGTTTCAAAGCCCTCCCAGGAATCTGGTGACCCGATATTCGTCAATAGCGCAACGTATGTATCTTATGAATGGGGGAAGCGCCACAAATACTCACGTTCAACTGTATCAGCACATATTTGACTACTGCTTGTCAGAATACTTACGGGAGTAATTTTCCTAGTTTGCTATCAGGTTCTCTCGAGATACATGGTTGGGTATCACAAATGACTAGACCAACCACACAGTTCAATATCATATATCAACATTGACCCTCATGTAGACTGTGCAGGTTTCCTAATGTGGGATCTACGCATAAATGGGCACACTCCCTATTAGGCAATGCAAGGCAGATAAATCACACCGATCAAATGGCCCATGGTCCTTTAGACATGACTTGGAACAGGGTCTTCCAGTAGTATAATCCCGTCCCCGGCCGAACATTAGCAAGGATCATCGCCGGTGGGAGCAGGCGCTTTAGGATGACTCTCATTGTGCAGCATATTGTATTATCATCACATCTATGGGCTGACCTACCCCGCTTTATACTATGGTAGTACACCACAGTTATATACGCTAATACCACACTAGCAATTATCAAAATCTCCATCCATCTTCTTAGACTCTCAACGACTATATCTCACAAAAGCAAGCGTATATTCCAATTCGAAGGCAGCGGCAATGATTATATAGCCTTTCTTAAGATTTAGCTTTCAGCTGCATTAAAGCAAGGAACTAGTTAGGCTTTCATTGGCTCAGCAACTTCGCTATGGGATACTCTAGCGACTACATCATCAATTGATAGTTTAGACTGGACAATGTGCCTATGTATTGGTGATACCAGCTTAGCGGGTCTCCAGCGGCTTCGATATGGATATAAATAGGTAAATGGTTGCATATTCAAGTTGTTAGGCCGGAACTAGGGGGTTTCAAGCTAGGAAGCTTCCCTCTTATATTAGTGTTCCTACATATCTAAATGTATCAAAGAATGCCAACTCGACACATATGCTCAAGCAAATGGTCCATGAGCAGGGGTCGTGCTACCAATCTACTATCTACATCTGCAATCTACATCTACATCTACACTCTAAAAGATTAAACGGACACCATAAAGATCGAATCGTCCAAACATTGTGACACATGGCGCCTGCATATTATTGATAGTACAACTGGTGAGGGAGACCAAGTTTCTGTCGCTACTACCTACGTTCCCGGGGAACTCAAGCATTTACCGGTAGAAGTCAGGACTGTAATAAACCAGTTAGTGATATAGCAAACCCCAAAAAGTGAACAAGAAACGTACCGGTCATCATCCTGTCCAGTCTTGACCTGGACAGCATAAGCATCTTCAAGGTCAGATTGGATAATATTGTAACGGTTTTTGCGGACAGCCCGTAGACCGGCCTCCTGCATGATAGCAGCAATGACAGCACCAGACAATGGGTCGTTGCGCACGATCAGGGCGTCGAGATCGACCTCGGGTGACAGTGACATCCTTGCGGCGATAGTTGTGAAGATCAATCGGCGCTCACGTCGGTCACGCAGGTTGGGGAACTCGATCTTTCGGTCCAGACGACCAGGACGCAGCAAAGCCGGGTCCAGGGTGTCAGCTCGGTTGGTGGCCATGATGACCTTGACGTTGCTGGTTTGTTCGAAACCGTCCATCTGGTTCAGCAACTCCAGCAGGATACGCTGAACTTCACGATCGGCACCAGTCTGGGCATCGAAACGCTTCGTGGCGATCGCATCGATTTCGTCAATGAAGATAATGGCTGGAGAGTTCTCACGAGCCATTCGGAACACATCACGGACCATACGAGGTCCCTCTCCTAGATATTTCTGTACAAACTCTGATCCGTTTACACGAATGAAGCTGGCAGTTGTGCTGTTGGCCACGGCTTTCACCAGCATGGTCTTTCCGGTTCCGGGGGGACCATAGAGCAGGACACCACGGGGAGGGTCGATACCTGCAAACTGTTAGCGGTGCCATTAGCCGCACTGGATCTTCATCACTACCCACCGATTTGCTTGTAGAGTTCGAAATGCGTCAAAGGCAGCTCGACGGCCTCCCGAATCTCCTGTTTCTGCATATCCAAACCACCGACATCTGCGTACGTCACATCTGGCTTCTCGTTCTCACCCAGCATCGCAATAGAGGAGTCAGCCTCGGGAGGAAGAATATCGACAAGGGCATTGGAGTGACGGTGAAGGGCGACCGAGGATGAGGGCTTCAGCTTCTCGCGGTCGAGAGTGGAGAGGATACGGACGACGTAATTAGAACCCGTCGAGCTTTGCACAATGCCGGTGCTGGAGATATGAATTAGCAAATGACCATCTCGCCTTTGGACCTAAAATACGGAGAGGCATACTTTTGATCGATTGCCTCCATAAACTGTCCGATGACCAATGGCACACTCTGTATGCGCTTGATCTCTTCTTGTGCCCGAACCAGCTCTCGCTTCAAGCTCCTGTATTGAACGATGGAAGTTAGGTACTGATACAAATCTTCAATGACAGAATCCAATATGCATACCTCTGCTCATCCTTGATGTATTCCTCCTGCAGTTGGATATACCTGTGTTCGACGTCAGTACAGATTACACCATCCAACAAACGTGGTCAGACATACTCGAGATGTCTCTGTAGCCTTTTGAGAGTAGCATATTCATCATTTCCATCAGCCCCTGTGCCATCGAGGGAATCCAAGTTGGCAAGGGCGTCAAGCGCACCTGGCTTGGTAAGAGGCGTGACGTTGTTCGCCGGGTTCTCCACGGCAACGTCTCCCATGGTGGATACTTTGAATGGCGAGCAAGATAATAAAGGAGAGTATATGTATCAGCTGAAAATGAAAGAGAAATGTGATGTGCTTTGAAGATGGTTTGTGAATAACGCGCTGTGTGAAGGGCTCGGAGTTGAGCCATCTGGAGCTTTCGATGCTATGGGCCCGGAAGCTTATCCATCACGTGATGTCAATCAGTGGTCTTGCCAACAGTTTCGAGATTTGGTAGTTCCAACCCTGGAATATTTAGAGATATGAAAAATGCATTGTTAGTTTCATAGCTGATTGTTTTCTATATTACAGTGTACATATATATGGTTTACTCCATCATCAATCCATCTTTTGAATTTTAGAATATATTATATATTGTGGCAATTAGCGATACGGTACTACCAAATCAAGCGCCCGTCAACTTGCAGTGCAAATCTCACCTAGAACTATGAGATAAATTAGATAGAACCTTGAAAATTCTTGATATTTCTGATCACAATTCTCCCTATACCTTGTCTGGATACCAAATATACACACCACTCTGGTCTTGGGTGGGTGTATCAATCTAAATCTTTCGTCAGACGCCAGCGGCTACTGCGGGATATGTAGTCCTGGAGCCAATGACAAGGGGTCTCAGGCTTATTTGCCCGGGGTATTTGTTTCGTTTACTCCGTAGTGGGATGTAGGATGCACGAAGCATGTCAGTTTGGACACCTGATCAGGTCCAACTCAGGAGAATATCCTATTTTGGACCACCATGTACAAAGACTTTTGAGACAGTTACGAGCATCCTTGCCATTCGAGTTAGCCATAACCTCAAGATTGCCCCTCAAAGCCCTACATAAGGGAAATGAAGAAAAGTTGATCCAATCATCTCTAGCGGTGGAGTAGGCCGGGACAACGGTAGGTGGGACAGGTACCAAAGCCGTCATGATTTCCCATGCGGATCGAGTCGGATCCTTGCACGGGGTTCACTGGGAGACCCAGATCATTCCATTCTTAGTTATTGACCTCGAATTTTTGGTGACTCCGGAGGATTGGGCGCGCATCAACGTGATTATCAGACGCTAGTCCGAGCTTTATATAAGGAGAACCGCCCACTGGTCACCGTCACGGCTCTAGATCTTTTTTTTTTTTTTTCTTTTCCCTTTTATTTCTTTTCCCCTTCCCCCAGATTTTGGTCTGGAAAGACTCCCATTTTTCATGGCAATATTTTTTCCCTTTGAAATTTATGGACTGGGTGGCTGACCTCAGATCTAAATTGGGTTGAAGTGTATACGATCTAACCTGACTCGGCCACCTGGGCAGACCGTTGGAATGGATCATCGTTTACATTGAAATACGAGGGGAAGATGGGGGGTTTTAATGGGAAATTTCTCTTGGAAATAGATTTCTAAGAGATTCCCCAAGAGGTTTCCTTCATATTCACTCTGTTCTCTAGCATTTCCCATTATTTCTTGTGTGGCTAGTCTCTTCCATATGCGGGTTGAGGCTGGCAACACCCGCTCTGAACGGGAGGATAACAAAACCAATGGGAAATCCAGACTAACAAGGGAAAAAAAAGAAACCGAAAAAAAGAGAGAGAAAAGAACCAAAAGATTAAGGGAAAAAAACCCCCTGGACAAAAAAAAAAGAGACAAAAGAAGCAGAAACTAACAATATAGTAACACAAGTTAACAGGCGTGGGTGATTTACCAGTGAAAAGCTCTGACTGTCAATTTTTCCCTCATTCTCTTCTCTCCACTTCCCCTTTCATATCCCTAACTGAACGGATCTTGTGAACTGATAGGTACGCCATTCTTATTTCTATTTGCTTTGCTTTTTTTTATCGTTCTACTCTATTATTATTTACTTGTATTGATATTATTTGGTTGTGGCCACGCACCCCCCTTCTTTTTTTTTATGCCTTGTTCTGTAACCCCCATTTGTCCCTGGTTTACTGGAGGAGCTTTCCTAC